TGAGTGGGCCGGGCTTGGACTTAGGTGTCTAAAGCCCGGCTCGTTTGAGCCCAAGAAAGCCAGGCCTAGCCCGGCCCACGGGCTTACATACATATATATATATATATATATATATATATATATAACCAAGTTAAATGAAAGATGGAGAAAATCATTAACTATTATCATTGTAAGAACTAAAATAAAATGAAGTATGGGATAAAATATAAGTTTATTAATATGGCGGTTGTATAACTATGTCTTTATATTTATGGGGAAAAAAAAGAACTATGAAGTTATGAACAAAGAAAAAAATGGAGACATAAACATATAGACAAATGTAAATAGAGAATTATGAAAAAAAAATGGAAACATAAAAACACACCAAAAAATAGAAAAACAAATAAAAAAATTGACAAAAAAAATTCATATAAAAAAAATACAAGATAAAGTAGGCCCATTTAGGTCCGGCCCGTTAGGCTTAACCTGGCCCAGCCCGATGGGTTTTTTCAAGCTTGGCTCATAGGATGGGCTTGTGTTAGAAATATGCCCTTAAAGCCAACTAATTATGAAATAGTTAGAGTTAAAGACATCTTTAATAAAAGACATATTATGTTATCAATGGGCAAGAAAGGTTGTTTTATACATTAAATCATCATATATTATCTTTCAATATGTAGAACAACCATAGTCAACGGAATACACAAGTGGATATGAGGGCTATGTAACGAGATTGCATACATGGAGACTTCTCATCATCCCTAAATCTTGAATATGTTCATGGTCATAGGAATATTGATTGGGCGTCAATACTCCGCAAAGACTAGTACACACAGTATCGTCTCTATATGTGTGGAATGGTAAGGTCTCAAGTCATTAATTGTGAAGACAAATCGATTTATGTTAGGTGCTTGTAGAAGAACAAGTACACTGAACGCGATCCAACACATGAGTTACAGCATGAAAGGTTTTACTCACATGTCAAGTTAGAACTCATAAATTACAATGGTGTAAACTAATCCTTAGACCTGAGGCATCATAGATGTTTTGCGGCTATGTTGTTAATCTTTAAAGCACTATATGGTCATACTGAATTAGGCATAGCTTAAAGGTGCTCATCAGGATTCTCAATAGAGTCAAGGAAGCAAATGAATGTACAACAAGGAATCTCTACTCTCAATAAAGGAGAGAAAGAATACTCCAAGATATGATTGGTCAAATCTTTGCGCAAAGTAGTGGATAAGACTTGAAGGAATTATTCACATTAGGATATTGACAATCGGACTCCATGATCTAATAATGTGAATAAGGAGTATTGACATAAGAGAAAGATTCTATTGCATGGTTATTCCAATTTGAATAGGTTATTTCACAACGTTTAATTTAGCTCGGATAACCATGACTTGCTGCTAGGCGACAACCATGGTTTGTGGATGTCCTAAAAGGTTTCAATTAACCTTTATTAATAAGAAGAATTTAATTGTAGAATTTAATTCGTATATCATTTCTGAGGAGTTTAGTCAACCCACTACCTTGTTAAAGGGAACCTACGGATTTGCATACCCAAAGAATGTGATTAGAGGTACAAATGAGGAGAAATGAAATGAGGAGACATAAATCAATGGTTGATAATCAAATGTCAAAGTCAAAGGTCCAAAGTCAACATGTTGACCAGAGCAATTGACTAAAGTCAAATAATTCGACCGGGTCAATTAAGTAAGACTATAATCATAATTTAATAGTTAAATTATAATTATATAATTAATATTGACATATAGAAATATTGGATTGAGTCTTTAAATATGATTTAAAAGGAAAGGGACAAAATAGCCCAAAAGGCTATTGGGCCCAAGAGATAAGTGGCATAAAATTTCATGACCCATGGACCAAATGGAGCCCCAAATACCCACCCAATTGCCTTTGTGTTTTCCTGTATAAGTTAAATGTTGGAGAAAACCTAGCTAGGGTTTTTGGTTTCATACTTTGGTTGATGAGTGATCATCTTTGTATCTCATCTTCCATAAACCAAAAATTGGTCCAATCAAGAAGTAGACTAGCATTCATACTTCTTGGTTGCTTTCTCTTCATCTCTAGGAGCATTTGGTGTGGTGAGGTAGAGGACTCCAATCTTGGAGCCTTAAGGTGAAGGAGTCAAAATTAAGAGAAACAAAAGGCCTTTCTAACAAAGGTGTTCATTCTTGAGAAATCAAGAAAATGTCATCAAGAGTAAAGGATCTATTTCCTTTTTCTTTTTTTCTATTTGTGTTCAAAGAGACTAGGCTAAGATATTTAGTTTAAAATGAAAAAAGTTTAGCTCAACTAGTATAAACAAAATGAATCCGTCATTTAGAATATTTTTGTTGTATAGGTTGTGGCTAAAGTCCATTTTCTAAGCATTAGACGGATGTTTCCTTTAGCTTAGGATTTGAATTTTCTAAAAAAACTCGGCCCGGCTTGGCCCATTATTTTCTCTCTCCTCTTTGAAACCAGGCTCGGCCTGGCCCAAACCCATTAAATTTGCATTGGGCTAGCCCGGCCTGGCCCATTGACGAGGCATACCCCCACCCTCCACCCTTTACACACAAGAAACCTGCAACAAATTTCTCCATAAAGAGAAAATCACGAAGCCATCAAGTAGCTTTTGCACAGGGCACTTCAATGAGACCATCAAGTTTTCCTTCTTGTAATGATGAACTATTTTAGTAAAATGATTGAAGGTGAATATAGGGTGATGGTGTGAGCTCCCTAGTTATGGGAGGCAGCGGTAGTGGATGTCCAGCAATAGGAAACAGTGGCGATGGCTCACGGGAGATAGGCCATGGCTAGTGGTGATCGGCAATAAGCGGGCAGCGGTTGGTGTGGCAGGCCGGAAGGGGTTGTTGAAGGTGAACATGTGTAGAGATGATAATGGGTCGAATCGAGGGTGGGTATGCCATTCCCATCCCCATCCCCACCTTCATATCCGCAGTATTCATATCGATGATTCCTCATCCCCACATTCGTTGGGGAATGGGTTCCCCGACCTGCCCCATTACAAAAAAAAAAAAAAAAAAAAAAATATAAACACTCTCGTTGAAAGAAAAAAAAATATTAAGGCAAGATAATGAATATATATATATATAATATTCTTATAAGACAATATAAGAATGTTTATATATGAACTAGAAGTTAACTAAATAAATAAGTAATGTGGCTTAAGATTTGTATAAATTATATAAATATATAATATAATAATAGAAAATATAAAACTTAGTTGGTACAATCACTTTAATTAGGGTTGGGCATTCAAACCGGTAACCTGATCAAACCGCCCAAACCAAGCCGATGGTTTGAGTTGGTTTGGTTTTTTTTCAATCTTTTTTTTGTCATCGGTTTGAACCCAAACCAAACCGAAATATATAGTTCGGTGTACGGTTTGCATTATTCAAAACCATGGATAAACCAAACCAAACCGAAGATATTAAAAAAATAAAATTATGTATAATATTATTATAAGAAATATATATAAAATATAGTTTCAATCTTTTCTTTTTATTCTCTCTCAATCTCTCCGTTTGTCTTGTCTTCATCAGTCCCTCTCTTTATTTTTTTCTTTTTCTTCTTCTTACGTTTGTCTTCACTCCCTCTTATTCTTCTTCTCTCTATTTTCTTTTTCTCCTCTTCTTCTTCTCCATCTCTCCCTCTCTTTTTTTCTTCTTCTCCTCTCCATCGCTTTTATTTCTTTTCTCTCTCTCTCTCTCTAAGAAAGCCAAAAAACCGAAACCGAACCAAACCAAACTACCAAGTCCGGTTAACCAAAGTGGTCGGTTTTCATCAATTATGGTTTGGTTCCGATTTTCAAAATAACCAAACCAAGGCCTACAATTCGGTGTTCGAGTTAAGCCCAAAATCGAACCAACCCAAACCAAGCCCACCCCTAACTTTAATAGCATATATTCTGAATGGGGAGAGTTAAGGTGGGGGATTAAAATACCATCCCCGCCCCTCCCCAAACACCATACCCAAAAAATTCCCCGTACCCAACCCATTAGGGTCGAATCCCCGCCAAGACCCTTATCCACAGGAAAAATTGTCATCCCTAAAAAGATAGTCCGGAACAGAGTTGTGTTAAGGCCAGGGATGGCCTTCTCCCACATTTACTTAACCCCTTTTTAAAAACTTTTATTTAACTTATTTGAATGTATATATATTGGGTATTGTAACAAATGTAAAGAAAAATTGCTATGCTTAAGCCTATGGACCCCTCACCACAAATCAATACTTGTCAAAATTGTATTCCAATATGAATATAGTAGTAAAATCATACTACATTGATGAAAGAAAACCACTCATTTCAATTTAGTACATTTGTTGGTAATAGTTTACTCAATAGGCCAATAAAAACATATAACTAAACTTTGTGTTGACGTTTTGGCCCCCCCATCCCCCTCTGCCCCCCTCTTAAAATATAAAATTCTAGTTCCGTCCCTGAGCATAATGTGATTGACTTAGAAGGATTGACAATGTGTGTAATTCTGAGATTTTTCAATTATATTATTGTAAATTATATCTTATTTTTTAGGCATGCAAATTAGGTTACTATTTACCAAAACAATAAATTCCCTATTGAGTTTAAACCAAACCTATCAAAAATTTAATTGCAGGGTGGTAGGGCGAAATTGATATTTACTTGTTGGGTCAACCTAAAAGATTTGCACAGTTTGAATAGGAAAACTCTAGGCGACGTATAATTGTAGAGAATTGTAAATGGATGATGATATGGATCCTCAGTTGGGCTCTACCTCCTGTAACACCCCATAAGGCCCAACCAAAAGAAGAAAGGCATTACGGAGTTGCCTTGTTTTGCTGGGTGACTTTCTGGGCAACCAAAGAGTAGACAGAGGCAGGCCAGTCGAGCAAAATTAACTACCGTATCTATTCCACCATCCTTCGCGGTTCTCACCGATTCTTTCCTCTAACCCTCAACTCTGCTCGCCTCTTGGCATCAAGTTTCGAATTGAAGATCCAAAATCTCAAGTTCCATGAGGCCCATACAACTTCCGGAGCCGCCCAGTCCCAAACTGGGCACGCCGGAAATCTTCGAAGGTGGCGTATACGGCGTCGTTAGGCGCGCCGTTGTGATTGGCAACGGCTTCCCGGGTTCGGAGAATCAGAGCATCGGCTTGGTTCGTGCTCTCGGCCTCGCTGATAAGCATGTGTTATATGTAAGTTAATTACTTGATTTCACTTAATAACGGGTTTAATCCTTTTGTTTTCTTCAAACTATGATTATAATTATGAAGATTAAACTACCCATTAACTAAATTTTCTTTAAGCGGCTGCAGTTTTAAGTTCAAGAGCATATAAACAAAGAAAAGAATGGTTGGCTTCATAGCAAAGTTACCTTTATAATTTCTATGTAGAAATCATATCACTTATAAACCTAAATATGTGATTTCTAGTGCCTTAATGTACATGACATGAGGATGAGGGTGTTAGCGACTTAGCACTGAAGTATCATCCTTTGATAACTCTAGCAAAATATCACCTTAGAGCTAAATTTTAGACATATAACATTAAACTAGTCTAGTTAAGGTTGATTACACTATCAGGTCCAACTAGAATTGGTATGAACCAATGTATAGTTTTCCAAAGACTGTTGTCTTTCAAGATGTATGGGATTTCCAATGGTCATTGGTAGAGGATTTTGTGGCTTTGCTTTGTTGATCACTTATTTCTCAGTTGTGAAAAGAATACTTAATATGAACGATTAGGTGGTTTTTGATATATTGGTGTCTTCATCGAAGATGGTGGCCTGAGTGACCTGAGTGACCACCACATTGTTATTGCTTGTTACAGTCCCTTGCTTGCAGTAAAGAAATTATTGCTTCCAATATGTGTTTGAGGGTTCGTTTTCCCTATAAGTTCGTTTTCCCTATAAGTTTTGTAGTTTAATTTTTAAACTCACGCATACATGTTAACTATACATCCCTTTGTGGTGTAAATGGCTGAACTATCAGGATTTTTTTTTTTTTTTTTTTTTTTTTTTTTTTTTTTTTTTTTTTTTTTTCTATTTTTTTTTTATATATTTTATATTTGGTCCCAAATTACATTAAGCAAACAACATCGTAAAATCATGTTTTATATAAATCATGTGATTTGAGAACTACCATATTATACCACCAATCATTTTCTGGGGATATGGTCTTAACATCAGTGTTTTACCAGCCTTTCAGCTGCAGTTACTTACATGCATACCTTTTGATTTTGTTTATCTTTTAAATTGACAATGCCATGCAGCGGGTTACAAGGCCAAAAGGAGGAATCAATGAATGGCTTCACTGGCTCCCGGTTTCTCTTCACAAGAAGTTAGATTACATCATAAGGCAGATCTGTGTTTTATTGATATATCGAGGGCAGAAAACTTTGCCTTTACCTACAGAAAATGGTGGAAGTGCGGGCTTGAAATGTGTTTTAGAAGCTGATGTCCAGCAGATTGTGACAATGGCTCGTCAGACTTTTGAAAAGTAAATTTCTTTTTTCTTGTATTTTTACAGAGTTATAAGAAGTGCTTTCTTTGATTGCTTTCCTAAATTGTGTATTCAGTAAAGAAACATGGGTTAGTTGAGTGGTTAGGCCTGTGGTTTCCTCCGACGTGGTCTGGGATTCGATTCCATAAGGAACCTATCTAGCTATTTGCTTGAGTTTCCTCCCTTCAAAGAATGTAGGGTCTGGTAGGCAGCCCCAGTTTCGAACTGAGTCTGTGAAGCGGGTTTGGGTGATTTCTGGGTATCCAAAGAGTGTATTTACTATTCAGGAAACAAACATGCTCAATAACCAGAATGGGTTTTGCTTCTTAAAATTTAGAATCTGGTGCTTAACTTGATCTCTGTTTCATATTTGGTACTTATTCTTTTCTTCTTCTTTTTATTTTTTATTTTTTATTTTTTATTTTTTATTTTTTATTTTTTATTTTTTATTTAGGGATGGACCTATATTGGTGGTAGCTTCGGGCAGGGATACCATTTCTGTTGCAAGTTCTATTAAACGACTAGCATCGGATAATGTTTTTGTTGTTCAGGTTTGTCAATGGGACCTGGCTTTATCAGTTTGCAGTTAACTATATATTCTGTTCTGAAATTACTTTGGACTATGAACCTATATTATGACATGGTTTAGTTGTAGATGCGGAGATAACGATAAATGAATCTGTCAATGTTTACATTTATTGTGATGCTGTATGTTCACAATATCCTTTAACATTAATAATTTCCTACATTGTTTTGCTCGAGTTTAGGTCAACTTGAGATAGTTTTTATTTTTACTCCCAAGTACAGTTTTATTTTGTGGTAAATTTTGATTGGAATAGAGTAAATGTTGTTCTTCTTTTTTAACACATAACAGCCTTGTTATTGGTTCATTATATTCCATTGGGCATTTCCTTTTCCCTTTCCCATAGTTTTCTCGGCTTTACCATGCTCCACAAGAACAGAAACAGCAGTATATATGCTCCACTAGGAGGAAAGCAAACATAGAGCAACCAAAAAATAAAAAACTCGCATTCTCAGTCAGGAAGAAGCCGTATAACCAAACTCAACACCAAATCTTGACTTGTTGGCTAAAAATCTATCAAAAAGCTACTTCAAGACATCTCCCATCATTAGAACAAAATCATATCATGATATTCAACTACATATTAGAGTGAAAGGGAAAGTATGAGAGAGAGATTTAAGAAAAAAAGGTTTGGGGTCTGATGATTAACAGCCCTGTCATCTAAATAATGATTTTATATGATAAGGTTATTCTGCAAAAATAGGAGATTACAATAATACCTCCAGCCTAGCATAAAATATCCACTCTAACAATGTGCCATCCTTTTTTATTTAAGACAATGCCTCTATGCTAATCCGTGGTAGTTTCTCTTTCATTTCGAATGCTTTTCCTCTTCCATAATCAATTTTTATTAGTTTATTATGGTTTTATTCATCTGTTTGGCAATGAGGACTGAGGGAGTTTGAAACTATCATGTTTGGGAAGCCTACATAACGGTTTATATGGTTTTATTGTTTAAAGTACACAATTTTATCTTCATTAAGTGCTAAGGTTAGAGAGATCTTTGGAGTGGGAGCCTATTGGATACAGTTATGGAATCATTTGCTGGCTTGCCAAATGACTTTTACTCTGTGACTAGGTTCATAAGTTTCAGCATCTTAACTGTGGAGATCTCTTTTGTGGCTGTGGTCATTTGTTGCCTTGTCATTGGAATACCACAAAATGTGTTTAAGTATTTGATTGACCCACCTTTTTCCATTCGCAGATACAACATCCCAGGTTGCATCTAAATAGGTTTGACTTGGTGATTACCCCTAAACACGATTATTATCCTTTGACTCCTGAAGCACAAAAGCAGGTTCCTCAATTTATTCATAGGTGGTTAACTCCTCGTGAACCTCCTGACAGCCATGTGGTATGTATGAAGACCTAATTATTTGCACTGCAAATTTGAGAAGCTTTAACCTTACTTAAATATCAACTGCTCCCTGCACTTTGAAGCTTTATGCTATTATAATTCCCTTCCCCTGTCCCCCCTCCCAAAAGCTATGATAACTAAAAACTTATAAAATCAGGTCCTCACTACTGGAGCTTTACATCAAATTGACGCTACTGCACTTCGAAACGCAGCTAGTGCATGGCGTGATGAGTTTGCAACTCTTCCAAAGCCCATACTTGTGGTGAACATTGGTGGCCCTACAGGTAATCTTTTGTTATACACTGAATCTTACTTGCTTGATGTTTTACAGGATTGGCATTTAATTATTTGACCCACTACATGATGATTGCTATTATGCTGTTTTTGAATCTCAATACCTCCTTCATGTTAGGTTAGATTAAGCTCTTTGGAATGCTAGCAAAAAAATTAGCGTTTGGCTGTGATGTTTTTCTTCTCTTCTAATTTTTTTTTATATCAATCGCTTGTACTAATGAAAAAAGACCAGAAAAGGAGCCCAGGATACACAGAGTATATGTTACAAGTGTAGTGAATCCATGAACTTTATATTAGTACCCCTGCTACCCATATTTCTAGTATTGGATCAGTCGGAGAAGGCAAAACTTCTTTCTTTAACTGTACAACAAGATCCTTGTTGTCCTAAAAACTCCATCTAGTCCTCTCCTTCCAAAGGGAATACTATCTGGAGTAGATTGCAAAATAAATGCCCCAGTTTTGTTACAAGAGCAGCCTTGCCAACACCCCACAGCAAGGCCAACAAACCAGGCAATATCCACTGGATACCAAAGACCAAATAACAATATTAGTTGGGCAACAGAATAGTGAAGGGAAAAAAAAAAGTGGTCTACACTACTTGGGTGATGTTTCACTTTCTACATTACACAGTATAGTATCACTTCACATGTGGTTCTGGTTGCATGTTTGATACAATTTTCTTAGAATTTCTTTTTAAATACCTGTTAATTTCTTTTTGCCTTTTTGTTCATCAACTAATTTGATAAGATATAGTAGTTTATAAGCTGATAGACACATAGAGTTTACAAGTCACTAACAAAACATATTTGTGTACTAATTGATGCGTTAGCGAGTGGCTGTCCTCCCAGAAAGAAATTGTTTCAGTTAGCAGAGGTTGCGACTTATTTAGCAAAATGCATTCCTTGACATAGGGAGTGACTTATGTTGTGTGGCATACTTTTTTCCTTTCATTTTTTACCGGCTCACTCCAAATTTATACTTCGAAGGATAATGCAAGAATTATTTTATAGCTCTCCTTTTTCTGGAATTTGTTTGAATCTCAAGTTCAAATCATTATTACCTGTTAAAGGACATTTAGGAAAGCTTAAGATGTTTTATCTTTTATGTTACAGAGATTTCCATTTCATGTATGTGATTGAAGAGTCAATACAGACCTCATTTGTTTGAGGAATATTAGATCATTCTTTTTCTTAGTGTTCTAGAATGTTTGGAATAATTTTTCTCATCATACTTTGTTATTGTTGTTTGGAATGGTCCATTTATTCTAGTTAAGGTTTTAATTTTTTTTTCCCTCTTTAATAGGAAATTGTCGTTATGGTGCTGACCTTGCAAAGCAATTGACAACGAATCTGCATATTGTTCTTGCAAGCTGTGGAAGCATCAGAATATGTTTCTCTAATAGGACGCCTGAAAAAGTATTGTTACAGAAAACATTTTCTTAGAAAAATTTGTATTACTATGGCTGGCACTCATTGTTTCCCTTTTGCTTGTCCACAGGTATCTAATGTCATAACAAAAGAGCTTGGAGATAACCCAAAAGTTTACATCTGGGATGGTCAAGGTCATGTGATTTTTTTTTTTTTTTTTTTTTTTTTTTTTTTTTTTTTTTTATCGGTTGTAAATTTATGATGTTAATGGTGTTTTTATGTTGTACTGATATGATTGCCATGAGCCAAACCCACACATGGGCCATCTAGCCTGGGCCGATGCTTTTGTTGTCACTGCAGATTCTGTCAGTATGATAAGTGAGGTTTGCAGCACTGGGTAAGATTAAGGAAGTTACATCTGTAATTGACAATTTAGGGCATATTTTCTTTAACATTATTTTTTATTTAAGTAGATTAATTCTATCTGTCCATATTTTCAGGAAGCCTGCCTATATTATGGGAGCTGAGCGTTGTACATGGAAGTTGTCAGAGTTCCATAAATCACTCAAAGAGAGAGGAGTAGTTCGACCATTTACAGGTTCTGAGAATGTAAGTAAAAATTAATCTGTTTCTGTTACTCTTCCTATACAAGGGTCATCTGATTGTAGAAGGATGCCCTTTTTAGGATTGAATTGTTCTTTTCATCATTTTCTGTCCACTCTGATAGACAAATTGACAGACAGTGTTGGAAAATAAAAGGGGGAGAGGTGATATTGATATCCCTTCAGATCCCAGTTTTGACCCTTTTAATTGGCCCTTCCTCACCTAAAACTTCTGCCGATTATTTTTTAAACTAACATTTCTTGATGAACCCATATTTATATGAATGAAAATTCAGATGTTTTCTTCTAATTAAATGTTACTTTGTATTCAATTGTAGGTAACTATTTGTTCGTAAAAGTGTTTTTTCTCTCTTTGGATGGGTTCTGTTTTTTTTATTTTTTATAGTTTCATGAGGTTTATGGGCCATTATAGTGTTATAAGGTTCTTACTCTTCTAGTTTTCTTGGTGGCATCACAAATGTGTACATTTTAGTTTGCTTATAATGATAAGTTAAATATTCGTGCTTGGAATTTGCTTAAAAACTCATTCTTTTACTTACCCTTATTCTAACCATATTCTTACTTTCTTTTGATCGCCATCTTTACAGAAGGAAGATTTATATTGGTCTGAATTATACTTCTTTTTTCTCTATCTTATTATATCGTTGCTTTATTCAAATTTTGACAGATTTCAGAGAGCTGGAGTTACCCTCCACTTAATGACACCGCAGAAGCAGCGAGTCGAGTGCATAAAGCACTTGCTGAGCGTGGATGGAGATTGCGGCCATAGGAAGTGAATTGATAATCATTGCTTCTTGTAAACACATTCAAATCTTATGTTAAAAGGTACACCCGTTACAAATTAGGTTTTCCAGATAGCACGTATAGGAATGACAGCTAAAGGCTGTGGTAGCACGTATATTTTGATTTTTCCCCCTTTTTGGGGTCTTGAGATGTGTAGAATAAAGGCTATCTATAATTGTGCGGCTTGTAAATTTGAGGGGCGAGCTTTTATTTTTCTAAGGTTGGGTTGGTCTTTATTCTGAAAACAATTCATTTGTAATTTAAAGTGGTTTACTAGATTCTTTTTTATTTCCAATTACTTAGAGAAATTCTGTAGTAGATTGTTATGAGATCGTTACCGTACCTTTAAATAAGGTCCCAGATTATTAATAGTTAATATTGACAGGGTGGCAACATAAAATTTCCCAAAAAGATGTTACGTTAATCTCTTCTCTTTTATCTTACGTTTCGTTTCCTAATTGATTTGAAATTAGTATGATCAGAATTGTGTTTGTCTGGAGTTGTGTTCGAAGACTTTAGCATTGTTTGGTGGACAAGGCAAGCTTGGATCGAGCAACATAACACCCAAGTTTGAGATAGTGGATTAACTTAATTAATTTGACTACCTAGAACTTGTTTAAATGTTTTTGGACTTTGTTTGGTTGATTAGAATTTTATCAAATTGTCCTTCAAGAGCCAGTTCGTACTTGAGCCTTAACATTGGACTTAAAGTTCACTAGTAATTGGAGTTGAAGGGAGGAGAAAGAACAAAGCCCTCGAGACCCAAAGTCTTACAATTGTGAAATTTGAAACTTAAAGTAGTACCAATAGAAATATTTAGAGTAATTCTATAGCTCTCCGTTTGGATGAGGGAAAATAACTTGGAATTTAGCTAAAAGTTGGGAATGTAAGAGGAGAAATTTACAATTCCCTTGTTTGGCAACTTAAGCGCAAAATTTATTAAATGACGCGTGGAAAGAAGCGTGGAAATTTGGGCATCAAATTCCCGAGTTTAATTTACACCAAAATATGCATCATTTCACAAATTTCATAGTGTAATTTACAAAATTATGTCATTTACAAAATTCAACATACATAAATCCAAATACTGAAATCTTCAATTGCCAAAAATTGAAATGATGGAAATCTAAATTCCGTCGTTTTAGAATTTTATGTAATTTTCAATTCCTTTATCCAAACGGAGGGTAGGAGTACACTCAACTATTCACAATAGAGGTGCACCTAGTTCTTATTTGAAAACAAGCGATACTCTAAACTACAAGGAGGAGGAGGGTTTCTCACACACATACTACCAAGATGTCACTGGAGTTCGAACTTAAGATAATTGGCCTGCAAGTCAAAACTATTTTCCACTAAGCTAAACCTCGTTAGCGCAGTGCACTCAGTTATTAAATGTACTACAATTATACAACCAGCAATATTTGAAAATTGTCAAAACAAATCCTCAAATTTTCTTTTTGTTTATTGGGAAAGTAATATAAGCATTGAAAATTAGAGAAAATTTAGTAAGAGAAGGAGTAAAAGAACTGAAAATTCGAAAACCACAGAAAGAAACCGCCTACTATTTACTAGTGTTTGGTCTACTTAGCTTGGTGGATGTGCTTTTTTCAAAGACCTAGCATGGTCATACAGCTCCTCTAGTGTTTCTGAATATATACTATGTGAAGTAAATTAACTCAAGGAAATCTTAGCATCAAGCTTATAATTACATTATGTGTAAATTATTTTCGTGATCTCATTGCTGACTAAATCCCACCACTAATCTGATCCATTACCCAAATCAATCATTATATACTAATTAAGTGCAGATTATACTCATATCATTGTCATACATAAACTTAATGCATAGGTTGTACATAATTAAACACCATCTCTTACATAACACTTGCACTTCCATTCACATTTGCCCATGATGTTGCATAGGTGGAGCAAGTGAGCTTTTGGCAACAACTCCTGTTCCTCTGTACATGCGTTTTATGATGTATACATTAAAACAAAGAACAAAATTAACTAACCCATTAACTATAAATCTCTCCTCTCATATCATATCCCTATATAAAACCCGTATATCCCAGCATCCCTTTGCACAAATACATTCTATCCCAAGCCCTCTCAATAACCTGATCACAGAAACCTCTCACATTCTACATTCTAATATGGACTCAAAAAAGAGAGATGAGGTGGCAATTAGTAGGGATGCCAAGGCCAATTATGATGACAAAGGAAAGGCTGTTGAAGGTGCTCCTCCTCCACCTCCTCCACCTGTTGTAGTTACCACAAAAGCTACCAAAATCCGGAATATCAGAGGAAAGAAAGGTCTGGCAATTATAGACTTCGTGCTGAGGCTCGGCGCCGGTTCAGCTGCTCTTGCTGCTGCTTACATTTCAGGGAATACTGAACAGATTCTTCCCTTCTTCACACAGTTCTTCCAGTTCCATGCTCAGTACAATGATCTTCCAACTTTCACGTATGCAAACTTCTGATTAACAAATATTTTTTGTGTTTAATTAATTTAAGAGCAGTGATAGTTTCATTGAAAAAATATGCAGGTTTTTTGTGGCTGCAAATGCAGTGGCTGGTGGATACATAGCCGTCTCCTTGCCCTTCTCGATAGTCTGCATCATTCGACCTCATGCAATAGGGCCAAGGCTACTACTTGTTTTCCTTGACACAGTAAGCTAATATAAAGCCATTTGACTCACAAATTACATAAATAAATACTAGGGTTTAGGGTTTTTCTCTTGCTTGTTGGATAAAGATTGACTTGCTGAAAACATTGCTTGCTTGGTCTTGAGAAAGAGGTAACAAAATGGATACCAAAATTGTTGTTAAATGCTTTGCAGGTTATGGTTGCTCTAGTTATGTCTGCAGCTGGCGCTTCTTCAGCAATTGTATACTTGGCTCATAATGGGAACTTGAACTCCAACTGGCTTGCTATTTGCACGCAATATACTGACTTTTGCCAGGCGCTTAGTGGGGCTCTTGTGGCTTCGTTTGTCGCTGCAGTCTTTTTCATGTTGCTGGTGGTGAATTCTACTTTTGCTCTAAAAAGAAAATGAGAAACCACCTCCTTATTGAATATCATGCTTTAGTTATCATGGCCATCACAAGCATATTTCAAGAGAAAGGAGATGGAGAAGAAGAAGAAACCACAATGGTTCTAGTTTCTGGTATCTGTTGTGAATTAGTAAAGTGATGGAGTGGACGAATTGTGTTGTGTGGGTTTGATTAAATGCCAGGGACATATATATGTTATCTGTGTATATTATTAATTGCATCATAATTAGGATTTATGTAAACTACTAAATTAATGGAGGAATTGTGTGGGTTTGCTTCAAGGTGTTTTTCTTCATTTTTTTGTTTATTTTCCCCAGTTTCTGGAGAATATTCCGTTATAAGGCTCCAGTCTGAGTGTTCTTGGCCGGTACCCCAGTAGTCCTCCCTTGCATTATTCTTTCTCGTTTTGCAGTTCTTAAAATCTTTTCTCAAAGTGTGCGAAATTGTTACCCAACATAATATTGCTACAATCCATCTCAATACCTTCATTTTGCATTAGCTATGTGGCACGCAGTAGTACTAGTTTACATCATAGGAGCGTTTTCAAATTAATTTCGACTACTTTAAAATGACAGAAGTTAGTAGGATAGGGTTTACCATTACTTGACATGAACACTAATATGACACGACCGCTAAAGACGAGAGTATTTGAGCGGAGTTATTCTTGGTTGCTATAAAATCAATTTCCTATTTCTAACGTATTTGTTGTAGGGCCGGTTATATTTAATGACAATCACAAATCAAATTCATAAAAGTTTTAATGTTTCAATTTGAGAAAGTTAAATATTAGTATGTTTGGTACAAAAGTAAGAATCCATTGCCAAATGATCTTCTCATTAGTTCGACAAAAAGCCAAATTATATTTTCCAATATATTTCACTCTTGATTCGGTTTTGAATGACTCCACCAATTCTTTTCTTTTTCTTTTTTCTTTTTGAGTGTGGGAGAAAGAAAAGAGAGAGATTGATAATGATTTCTACATAACAGAAAATAAGAGTTTAAGAGGAATAATAAGACATTATTTTTTTTTGTTTTGTTTTCAGTGGGAGAACCCATATACTGCAATTTTTTTTGGGTAAACTGCCTTTTGCCCTTGAACTATGTCATCATAATTTTCAATTCAACCAACAATATTTATTTTTTTTTTTTTTTTTTTTTTTTTTTTTTTTTTTTTTTTTTTTTGGGTAAAATAAAGATACAACTATATAAAATAGCCAATTTCTCCCTTACTGTGAGATTTCAGACTCCATCCAATTTTATATTAAAAAATGTCACGTGCTTCGCACGTGGAAATGAAAAAAATAATTTCAAAATGGAAAAATCCACTCGAATTCGTCGCCAATAGCCAGATCCAAGTCAACGCCATGAGGAAAAGAGAAATAGGAGGGAGGTGGAGAGATGAGGTGAGGGGAGAGAAAGAGAAATGGAGAAAGAGACAGAAAGGAGGTCGCACGTCCAGGAGCCAGTGTGGATGTCGTTGCTGTGAATGGGCAAGGTCGACTTATTCTCGAGGTGGCTGATGGCAGTGGGGTTTTGTATTTTCTCTTTTTCTAATTTTTAAAATTTTTAAAAACTATTATTTAATATTTTAAGAGGCTATAATTTTGAGATTGGGGGGCAAATTGACAATTATGATATAGTTCAAAGGGTAAAATGACAGTTTACCCTTTTTTTTGGTTGTGATGATTGGAAAAATTGCGGAACACTTATTTGTGTCAGTATCATGTGTTATGGTGCTACTTGCACCGCCGTAGTTGGATGGACAACTTTAACATAGAGGTATGGTAGGAGGAATTTTAAGGTACCGTCACACGGTCATGTAGTGTTGTCAATTTAATTATTACAATATGGGTGAACGACGACAAGGCTCATATGCCATGGATCCCTGCCTAAGGTATAGTATTAAATGTATATACACATGTTGTAATGGATTGAGAACAACATGTGGCAATATAATTGTCACTATGGAGAACTACTCACATGAGGTACTATAATATGATGTGGCATTGGATTTTTAAAACACAACTTCAATTATATTTTAAAAATCATCTGATCTATTTAAGCCCCAAAATCTAAATGATTCCCCGATAGTATATCCAAAGTCACTAAATGCGATTGCTGCTTGTTTCTTGACCAGTACGCACCGGCATATAGATTCCTTATTTATATGGTCTACTCGAACACAACCAATTAATTGTAAGTAATACTTAATAATCAAGCATTACCTTGTTTGCCCTTTAAAATTAAAATTAAAATACAAACTAAGAAAATGAAAGCTCCCAAATGAAACCATTTTAAAACAAAACAAAACATGAAGGAAGAAGAGTCCCTTTCACTAAATTTTGATATCTTGTTGACCATGCATGTATCTCATTGTTGGGATAAAGTTTTTATACAAGACCGAATCTAGGATCTCAGATGTATGGATAAATACTCTTAATTACTTGAGCTACAAAATCCCTTAATATCATTGGATAAAGTTACTATATCAATAATTAGATCACATAACATAACGTTATCAGAAGAAAAATGCAATAATTATTCATAGCTCTATAAGAAGGCAACAAATCAGTCTCAAAAATGTCCAAGTTTCTCTTTCAACATTTCCATAAAATCCAATACAATAAAGCCTACTTATTCCGCAACCCAATAACCATAATCCATACAGATTTTCTTTTTCTCGCTCTTATTTCCCGAAAAATCTTCCATGATCTCCTCAGTCTTTAATTCCTTGCTTAATAATTCCCCAAGGCTGCAATTGCATTCGTTCTCAAAAGACGTTCAAACACTAAACCCTAAACCCTAATTTTCTTTGTCATTTGCAAAGCATGCATTCACACCAACCCCTTGATAACGTGATGGCAGCTGAGAAAGCCATTGTCATGAGAAGCTACCAAAACTTCAACAAGGAGATGCTGATCACACTGTGCTTCGCATTCCTGCCTCTCTTCTTAGCCCTCTGGTGCTCCTCCGCATGGCATCCGGCCACCGCCAATCTGTCCCGCCAGTTTTACTGGGCACTCATGGCACTCTTCGGTAGTCATCATTTGTACGCTTTCTTGCTCTGCAATGTGCTTATTGTTGCCATCTACTCTATGTCCCCCGTTGGGCGATCATCCGATGTCTACGAAGAGTCCACCATCAACAGTGAGTATTGGTGGAATATATATCTGGAACCAGAGACAACGCCAGAGGAGGAAGAGGAGGAGGATCAGAACAAACAAATCGCATGGTCTGAGGATATTAGTGCCGTAGTGCCTCTTGTTGATGACAACACAAAGATGAGTTGCAGCGAAGAGCCGACAGGGAGGCATCCAAGTGCTATGGAGGAACTGAACGATAAGGAATTCCAGCAGATAATAGATGATTTCATTTTTAGATCGAAGAAGGATATTCTGGGGGAAGAGATTCAAAGTGAAAAATGTATGAAAGAAAAGGGAGAAGAAGAAGATAATAGGGCAACCACATCAGCATACATGTCTCTTTTAATATCTCGTTAATCAATAAAGTCCTTTATCAAAGGTAATTTCAGTAGGAATTAGTATTTGACTATAATTAAAATCGTTAAATAAGTAGGAGGTAATCTGAGTAGGAAAATTAGGTTTTTGACTATTTTACAAGGTTTATTAGCTGCCAGGACTTATGGATTGGGGCGTATGTATTTTCTTGTTGACTGGCTTTAGGAAGAAGGGAAGGGGTTTGAAACTGAAAAAAGAAAGAAAGGCTCCAAGTCTTTTTTGTCAATTTATGATGTTTAATATGTGTTGATTATTCGCGTTTTCTTACCTGAGATATCCTGACAATGAATTAAAGATTCATCGATTAATTCTTCTATAGATATACACTACATGGACATAATCTATTACAGGACAAACAATTGGAATCTCACTCAAATGACATAGAGATGTGTTGAATGGTTTTTTATACTTTTTTTTTATGAACGAAAGTGTAGGGGGATTGGCTACTCTCAGAGAACTTCCACCAATTTGCCCTTTGCCATGGCGATGGGTGGGGGGCCTAGGACAGCTACTATTAGGGCTGGCAATGGGTCGTGTCGTGTTGGGTTCGTATCGTGTCAAGTTTATATACATGTCAGGAATGCTCAACCCAAACCCGATCCGTTTAATAAACGTGTTATGCACGGGTTGACCCATTAAGTTATCGTGCGGGTTTCGGGTCGTGTCGGGTTGACTCGTTAAGTAGTAACAACTAAAAGACATTAAAAATAATTAGACGGGTTAAATAGGTATTTTAGCGGGTTGGTGGGTTACATAGGTATTTTAGCGGGTTAATAGGTATTTTAACTGGTTGGCAGGTTGACCCGCCATGACCCATTTTGTTAAACTGGTTAAATAGGTATTTTAGCGAGTTGACTCGAAACCCACCCGTTTATTAAACGGGTCATGGCGGGTTGACCCGAAAATAACCCGAATTTTAATCGTGCGAGTTGAACCAGCTAAATTCTCGTGCAAGTTTCAAGTCGTGTAATGGGTCGTGCCCAAAATTGCCACCCTAACTACTATTCAAGTGAATAATGGCTGCCCTTACAAAAAGCAATGTGTGTTTCCACCCATTGCCATGGCAAGGGCAAATACTATTCACTTTTAGTTTTTTATTTTATCAATTAATTTGGAGAATATTTTCGGTTGCCATGTGTTATTTTTTATCATATAAAATTCTCATCTCATATTTCGGATAAATTTTTGGATAAGATTTTCCGATAACTTTTTCAGGTTAAATTTTTGATAAGATTTTCGGTTGCCACGTGTCCATATTTATTATAAAATTCACATCTCAAATTTCAAATAAAATTTTTGTATAATATTTTCGGTTGCCACATGTCCATATTTATTATAAAATTCACATATCACTCATCATACAATTAAATGCTTACTCACTCATCATACAATTGAAATACTCCTGATCCTTATAGTCCGACACAATCGAGTACAAGAATGACTCGATCATTGGCAGAGGCGGTTCCACCGGATCACGACGTGAGAGAGTATTTTCCTTCGGAGGATGTAATAGTGCCATTATTTTCGACATAGAGCACACCAAGGAAGCCGACTGCAGGCATTGTTCACTTGAGAAGCCATGTGTAATGGTTTTCCTTTTTTTTTGTTTTGCCTTGAATAATCTATTAAAAATAAATAAATTGAAAATGCAAGAAAATATAAAAAAGAATGACATTAAATTAAATAAAACGACAATTAATTTTTTTACCTCGTCGTCAAGATTTTGACCTTTTTTATCTTTTGTACACGACCCTCTGGCTTCGATGGAATATGTCATAAGATGGTGAATAAAAATGAATACTTGAAAGTAAATAAAATATTGAGTAGAAAGTGAATAATAGTTGAAGGAGAAGAAAATGTATAAGGATTTGGTGTAAAAAGTGAAGAGTATTGGTTGGTATTTATAGAGAGAAAAAAAAATCATTAATTTTTGGGTATTTTTTAAAAAAAAAATTGAATTTTTTTTCATAATTTTATTGCAAAAAAAATTGGCTGTCATTGGATTAGAGAACAAAAAGCAATCGGAGCGCCCAGACGACGCCACATGGCTACTAGCTGTTGGTGGAAACTAAGGCGCACGCGTGCAAATTGTTTTTACTATTTTTCCAAGGCTGAGACGTAAGCCAAAATTGGGGTTGGAGCTCGGGCTCGCCTTGCCCTTGGGCCAGCCCAGTCTCGTGGCCCCCATCGCCTGCCCAGGCAAAACAGGGCCGTTAGAAACGTTTTTTGGGCTTGCCCCCTTCCCCCCCACCAACACAGCCTGCACCGCTGGAATGGCTCTCACTATCAAAGCCGGTCCTGGATTTTCTAAGGCAACTTTTTCTCAAAATTAGGCGTCACATTAGTTTTTAAAAGCAGGTGAAAGGCTGCTTCCAAAAACTGTTGCGGGAAGAAGCAAGCAGAGCAGAGGAGTTTAATGAAATTTTTAGATTTCCCATATTATCCTTATTTGTTTCAACAAATTACACGCTCTATCCTTCTCCTTTTCACGCTCTATTCCTTCTTCTTTGACTGTCGTTCCTTTTCCTAGGTATTCAAATTACCCAACAAATCATGAACCTTTCACTTCAACAAGATTGAGATTGAAAAAATAGAAGCTCCAAGATCTGATTAGACCAAACAACAAAAGAAAATAACATATTTTAGGAATTTCTTCCGACCCAACTCTGGAAACCCATCTCCTCCAACCCATCATCGTCGATTGCTGCCAGGGAGGGAGAGGGAGAGAGAGAGAGAGAGAGAGAGAGAGAGAGAGAGAGAGAGAGAGAGAGAGAGAGAGGGAAAAAAATGTGGGGTCTGGGAAGGAAGAAGAAAAGAGAAAGGAGAAGGAAGGAAAAAAAAAAAAAAAAAAAAAAAAAAACTAACTGCTTCCCAGCCAATGCAGCTGATACTGCTGGAATTGGATTGAGAGCATCCAAGAGACAGAGAACATAGGCTCTTAGTTCTTAGTTTATGCCTTATATTGTGTTTTGAACTAGTACAACTTTTGATTTTGTGATGTGGCCGTTTTGTCAACTTTTGGTAATTTTTATCATGACTTGGAAATGGTTGTATTCCAAATTAAGTAATTATGTTCATTTTGTATTTTGAATTGCAAATGTTGGAAAATGATGTATGTATTTTGAACTCAATATATAATGGAAATTGCCTTGAAGCAAACAGTTTATACATTTGGAAATTACCTAACATTTCATACATAAACATCTTTCATACAAATTGACATGGGAGATTACACAAAACCACTTTCATACACATAAAGCACTTTGATTTTCCAAAATGTTCCACAAATGGCCACAAAAAACATCACCCAAGTCTCCTAAATTGTAGACCCTGAAATTGAAGTGCTAATTTCACATTCTTGGAAGATCCATCCTTTCTCCATTCAAGTACTAGCATTCTCAACAACACAATCAAAAAAATCCATGAACCTAGAAGATTTATTAGTAGAAATCTCTATGCTTTCAAGGCAGCTTTAACCTCTATTTTCAATTTTTGGTTTACCTCTCCTCCTTGTGTAATCATTTCAATAGCCCACATATCACAATCTTCGACCTTTCGCATATCTGTGGATCATACCATTCAAAGAATGCACAACCTCTTCTTACCCCATAATCGGCGCAACCCCAAATTCTTCTCTGAGGGTTGTTGTCAGCCCAAGACGTTGTCAAACGACATTGATTGCCGCAACAACAAATGGGCAAGCACACTTCGAATCTTTGATTTGTAGGCATGTCGTCTTCATCTTCTTCGAATTGGAACCTAGGGACCAATTTATGTTGATTTGGGGCTTAAGGTCTGAGGGCTTTGGGGATGTTTCGAACTTAAGGTTTGAGGATTTTCGTAAACTTGAGATGCCGAAAATGCCCTTCAAGAATTGTCCAGCTAGACGCCACGTAGGCAGATAACTAATTTCCTGACAATCTCGCTAACGGAGGGGGCAAATTATAGGGTTTCTTGGAGTTTGAGTACATACTCGTAAATGACTCTAAAATTTGGTATGAACTTGAAAATGACCCCATAGTTTTGGGGGGTTTTATGTAGTTTTCCCTTTTATTTTATTTTTTATTGGTTTAAAAAACTTATGAATATTTTATTAAGAGTGTTGCTAAACACCCTTGTTCTATTACCCCACCAACTTTATCTTCAAAATTTTAAAGACAAATGTACTCATTTGTAAAATGACTTCCAAAGACCATTCCCCACCCACTATAATTATAATTAGCTTTTAAATCTTTAAAAATATTTAAAAATTCAGAAATAAAGTAATAATAATAATAATAATATAGCATTTTTTAAAAAAAAATAAAAAACAAAAGAAACGTATATCTCCTTTATCTTTCCTACCTACCCGACCTAGCCCCACTGTAAGGCTATTCTCTACAGAAACCCTCTGGTCAAGCAATACAAAAATAAAAATCGAACTACCAAAACTAAATAGACATATAAATATAATAAATGCATTCTCGACCAATCTTGAATTTCAGATTTATCTGCTTGATTACAATGATGGAACCCAACACCCAATTAAGATGGACCAAAGTCGTTTGCCAAGGAGAAAAGAGAACTTGCAAACCAATACCCAATTCAAAAAACCGAAGTTATAGCCAATCACAAATGGCTCAGATTCCATGTACAACTTTGACTCAAAGTTGGGTTTTTAGGGGTTAAACTTTTCTGGGTATCATGAAAGTTTGAGGATTTGGTGATAAAAAATCAATATTTTCAAATATTTTTATGGGGCGTATTTTTTGTGGATTTTAGCTTGGTTTCATGGCCTTATCTATGTTTGGCCATGAGAGATAGAGGAGAGGAAGAGAGAGAATAAAAGGAGAGAACGGAAAAGAGGTAATAATTAAAGGGTATTTTAGGAATAATGGTGGGTGGAAAGATAGGATTGTGTTTTTTTAAAATTTACATAGTGGGTGAGAAGATAAGGTGAGTGGGGGAAATAGGACAGGGGGTGGAAATAACAGCACTCTTTATTAAAGGTTTCAATTTTTTTTAATTAATATTGTATTCTACTTAAGCAAAAAAGTGGGCCCATAATGCCACGTAGGCAACTAACGGAGAGATTTGACGGAAACCTTAACGGCAGAACCACATTGTAACAAATTGTAAAGAACGGGGTATGTAGTTGTAAAAATTGAGAAGATACGGACGAACATGTCTTAAGGGTGTAACCATAGGGTACCAAATTGTAATTAACCCTAATGACTATGTTGTTTGTGATGTTGAGAGTTGCCTGCTTCACTTGTGTATTGATATGAAATTAATTAGAAAGTCCAAAATCTGAAAAAAGGTTATGAATTCATGTAAAAAGAGAAATCTATGATAAAGTGTATTATGAGTATTTTTGGTAGTTAGATAAGGTATACTTAGTTAATTTTACATTTTAATTTAAATATTAGAGTGTACTTAAATCATAAGATGTACTCAATTAATTTTAGAGTTCTTTTAAGAACACTCATACATATTGTCATCGCATCCATATAAAACGCAGTCCGAGAGTGGAGAAAATTACCCTTGAATCAAAGACGTGTTTGTAAAAGATTTACTCAATAACAACTAATTAATGGTTTAATCACATCATTAATTGTCGGGTGACTTTAACGAAGTGGAGAATAGAAGTTCACTTCACTCGCACGCGCGCACTAAACTGACTGACTCCTGTTCCATACGTGTAGTCAGCGTAGGGGAACTGGACACGTGTAAGCCTCTGGTGTCTGACTAGCCGTAGCTGGTAAAGTCCACGTCACGTGGCCGTCTCCCACTCTCCGTTAAAACGCAGCCTCCCATTTTCTTCCTCGCAAGTTCTCTTTCCCTTTCTTCCTCCTCTCTCTGCTCTTTTTCACCTTGCAAAATCAACAAAACCCTTAACACAAAAGTTAAGAATTTTGTTAAAATTTAATTAAAATTGATTAAATTTCGCTCAGCTTTTGCAGATCTCAGAGTCGCGCTTGAAGCTTGAGAGGGCTCTGTTTCTATCTTTGTTCTCAGGTGAGTCGCCAACTCGTGCTGAGTCAACCCTAGGGTTTTCTATTTAATTCACGGAATTGGTTAATTATGTGCGTTTTTTTAACTGGGTCGTCTTTGATGCCCCTGATAGATGTTTTTCTGCCGTGGGTCGTGGAGTTTTGGAGTTTTTGATTCGATTGTGTTGGATTTGTGTCTGCTTGGTTGCTGAGGAAAGGTAGGAAAAGGGAAACAAATTGAAAGAAAGTAGAAAGATTTGAGTTTTGTGTTTTGTTGATGTTGTGCTTTTTGGATAAAGTGATAAACTTTCCCCAAGTTTAGTAAGGGTTTTGTTATAATCTTGTTAGTTTTCCTATCTTTTTCCTCAGAAGCCAAGCGGATTATTAGAAAGCTGCGTTTTTGTTTTGTTTTGTTGATTTTTCTTGGAAATGTATGGTGTTTGTTGCTTGCAGCTTGGGATAGTTGAAGGGTGAAATTTTTGGCCAATTTTCGGGTAAAATTCGAGTAGCTTAGAGGGTTTTCTTGTTTAAAGTTCGAGCTCTGGGTCTCATGAGAATTGTTAGGGGAATGCAGAGATCGTTTCCCAAGGAGCAGAACGTGCTGGGCTGGAAGAAAACCTTCAGCCAAGGGATAGGCGTGACTGCGCCCAAGGCCAGAACCCGTGACAAGCATAACTCTAAGTTTGGGGTTTTGTGAAGGAGATTAGGCTAGGGTTTCTGTTGAAGACGTTAAGCATTGAATGCAATGACTCGGATTCTGGTTCAGCGAGGTTCTTCAAGTGGTTCTTCTTCGAACCCAAGCCGTCCTTCTTCCTTTTCTGGGTCCTCTTCAGGTTGGGCACAGCCACAGGTTAATAGTCCTCAGGTTGTTTCAGTTGTGAAAGATGAGGAAATTGGAGAGGAGGCACAGGAACATATTATTGTTGATGAGCTGTCAGAGTATTGTGGGAGTGGTGACAATAAGGCTGTAAAAAATGACGATCTATTGACCGAAAGCATTCATAATGATGACAATGTGAGTTCAAGTGATGAGCTAGCTGAGGGGGAGAAAGTTGGTAAAAATGACATTGCAGACCCCGGGGAAATGATGAAAGGTTTAGGTGGGTTGATGATTTCTGAAAAGGTGACAGTTGAAAATGTGGACTCAAGCAGGGATTCTTTACAAAATGCGATTGGGAGTTCTCAGCCACCACCTCCTCCTGTTCCTCCCCCGAAACTTTCCTCAGCAAACTCAAATTCAAGGAGATCTGTCTCAGGAAGTTCAAATTCTGTGCGAATTGGACCTTCGAGAAGAGCAGTTGCCTGGCCTGTTGTTTCAACTAGGACTTCACCAACTGGGTCACGGCCTTCTTCCCCCAGGTCTCATGGTGAAGGCGAGGGGTACAATAGTGCTGATGAACATAGCCCTTGCTTTGTATCCTCCTATGATGATGTTGTAAGTTTCTGATCTCATATTTACAAACATCTAGGCAAGTCTGTCTGTCTCATGGATTTTATTGCATATATTCCTCGTGGTTTATACTGAATTGAAAAGTGTGGCATAAGATATTCATCTCTTTTAGCGATTTTTGTTACAATATTTAAAATTTTGCTTTGGTTTTTGGGCACGCAAGCCTAATCGCATCTCCAAATTGAACCTCTTCACGTTATAGGTTTCTGAAATTAGAGCTCTACTTATATCCAATTGTATCCTCACATCTTCCTTGACAAAACTATGATGCTTATTTTTTCAGTTCTTTTATAAGAACTAAGATAACTGTATTAAAAGAAATGAGAAGTACAATCAAAGTGGAGCAGCAGCCCACAGAAGATACTACCCTTCAAAAACAAGAAGCCAGTGCCACAGCTAAAATACAAGAAAAATCACTCAACCATAAAGAATCCAGAAACACTGACCACTTGCATTTTATTAAAAACCTTAGAAATAGTAACTTCCTATGTCCACCAAACTACACTCCAAACTACAAAATCAATTAGAACTGCAGTAAGGGGAATGCCTTTGAAATGTTTCAACAAAGAATCTCAAACAGAAGCTAATCCTCTAAGAGGATGTATTTTTGAAATGTTTATTATTTTTCAGGTGAAACTTTGGAGGTTGCATTTTGCACTCTCAATTTGATGTTATCATTTGTTGGCTCCATTCTTCACTTCAACTGCAGAAATCTCAATTTGACATTTTCAATGTATGTCAGGAAAGAGAACGACAGTTTGAAATTGATATTAGACGTGCAAAAGGTTTTGAAGTGAAAAGAATGCTGGAGGATGGGAATTGTCTCTTTCGTGCTGTTGCTGATCAAGTTTATGGGGATTCTGAAGCATATGACTTGATCAGGCAAATGTGCATAGATTATATGGTGCGATTCCTTATCTGTGATCTTCTCTGTTGTATGCTATTGTGATCATTTTAGCCACTGCACAACACTACATATGTACACATTTTTTCACTTTTTAATTCTATGAGAGCTTAATTGGGAATATGGTCATTTAATGTTATTACATGCTCACAAATAATAAAAAGAACTCTGAATTCTTCTTGAAAGTATTCCATATCTATATGGTTTGTTCTCCAACAGTGGTTTGCCGAACAATGTTATGTACTGTCTGAGGTTGGTTCATCATAATGAGTTTCATTCATGTGGTAGATGCCGTTGATAAATGATATTTCAAGTTGATTGGTGGAATGAGTCGGTAGATCTTCTGTTCAGTTAGTGGGTATCTCAAGTCTTAACAATAATTTATTTGTTGTGCTTTATGCGTGCATAATGAGAAGAAAAATGAAAGAACTGAATAGTAGAAGGGAATAAAATCAGGGAGAAGAGTATATGTTTTGTACATACGAAAACAGTTGTATTTTATATTCCTAGCCACTAATTGGTAAAGAAAATAAATTACCAGAGAGAAAAGAAATGTTGCCTTTCACTATTATAATCTCATCAATTAGCTGATGGTTTTCCAAAAGAAAGTCATACTAGACCAGAAAGGAAATTATCATAATCTAACTTGTACCCTCTTAACGCTGTAGTTCATTATGATTCTTGATACTTAGTTCTCTTTATTTTTCCAGGAGCGAGAGAGGGATTACTTTTCTCAATTTATTACAGAAGGATTCACCTCTTATTGCAAGAGGAAAAGAAGAGACAAGGTATGCAGTATCATAATTTCATTAACGTTGTTTCCTTGAAATATATTATTGAGCAGAGGAGGTATGGCTGCACATGTAAGAAGCTCCATATAGTTTCTCAGATTGGCATCCTGAATTCCTCTCCTTTATTCCCAAATTGTCATCAAAGACGCTCATCATATTCGAATTTCATCCCCAAATTCTTCCTCTTAAAGTTCATTAACATAATAGTTATGTCTATGTTGGAGATTAGCGAAAGTCTTGGTAGTATCTATTAAGATGACAAACCTATGGCCCACTGTTACCAACACTGATAGTGTCCACAACTTAAGCACCTATATAGCCCAGCAAGTGTGAGGTTTTATTGCAAAAGGCCTCAGTGTTCCATGCCCTCCTCACGTGGGACCACCACATAGTGGGACACATGAGCAGCCAATTCCACATTGGTTATTGATTAACTTTTTATTTAATTAAAGGTAGAGGGTAGTTCAGGCTTGGTAAATTGAGTCCACCACCTAAAGTCTTTCCAAACCTAGCATGGCACCCTCAGAGACGCAATTGCCCTAATTGGCTGTTGTTTTCAAGGATGACAATTGCACTGTTGGAAGTATAGATACTAGGTTTCCTATGCATGCTGATTGTGAGAATGTGCAAGGTCTAGAAGTTGAATTATGGCACATTGATGACTATCAGTGATTGTCAACAATTATGGTAGGTGATTGAGGTGATTTTTGAACCTTTTATCTTATCTCTAAGATTGGATGGTACCTATTACTCTTCCTCACGGCCTCCTTACTTACTAAGACAGTGTTTAATTATCTGATGGCCTTTCAAGTAGTCCTCTTTTATTAATTTCATATTATTGTGGCTTCAGTTTCACCATGTGAATATGTTTGCTTAATTTTAAATTTAATGATAATCAGTGGATTATCTGACTCAGTGGGATTTTGCACACAGTCCCCATCTTTTCCACTGCTGATCCGTTTAATAATTGATTTTATCCTGTGTCAGGTGTACGGAAACAATGTGGAGATCCAAGCCTTATCCGAAATGTATAATCGACCCATCCATATTTATTCCTATAGCACAGGTGATGAATTGTCCTAGCTGCATAATGATTCTTGCTTTCTTCAGTGAACTTTGCTGTTTGCAATATATCATTTTTGTTAACTTTATGTCTGATGGCAGAACCTATTAATATCTTCCACGGGAGCTATGACACAGACACACCACCCTTACGATTAAGTTACCATCATGGAAATCATTACAACTCTCTTGTTGATCCACGTCGTCAGACCATTGGTGCAGGACTTGGGTTCAGCTGTCTTCGTGGGATGGGTGTATGTGCTTAATCATTCTATCTTCATCTGGCCTTGATTATGTTAGTATTACTTTATGTGGATGACACATGGATGACATAGATATTCCTTTTCTATGTCATCCATGTCTAGTTAATAATAAATAACAAGTTCTGGTTATGGAAAAGGGAAGGGGAAGGGTTATTTGGGAGTATTGATTCAAGGGGTGTTTGGGTAAAGTGATTTTATAATTTTTTTGGGGGTGGAAAATAAGATGAATGGGATGATGATATTGGGGGCTGGAAATAGCTCCATTCATTAAAAAAAAATTCTCAGGTACTAGTATTAGCAATTGGAGAAGTTGTTAAAACGTCAGGAACTGATCATCAGCATCATATCAACGAGTGTGTGTGTGTGTGTATTTTTTTCCTTTTGTTTTGGGGAATTTGTATAAAGGGTAAGAAATATGCAATTATTCTTTGTTCTGTAAACCTTGCAGTAGTTAATGGCTTGTTACCATTCTTCAATTGACACTTCAACAAACGTGATATTTCATCTTTTCATTGCTGCAGGCAAATGTTGACAAGGATCAGGTCAAGGCTGCTATTAAGGCTCAACAAGACCAACAAATTGATAATGCAAGTGTCTTGATTTTGTGCATTATAATTTTCAAGAATATTTTACCTGGAATATCATGATCATATCTTTTTCCCTCATCTTCTCCTACTGGCAGGCACTTCTAGCTGAGGGGCGATTCTACTCAGATCTTGAGCTCACAGAGAAAGAAATTGAACGCATGGTGATGGAAGCTTCGAGGGCTGAGTATCATGCAGATGACACATTCAAGCAACAACTTGGAAGGAGAGAATCTTCCACTTCTAGCGCTGAGCCATCATCTTCTGGAGCTAGTGAGTTATCTTGTGTTTTCTTTCCTTTTTCCTCGTACAAACAGAACTGGGTAGATGAACTTGTTAAGTTTTTAGAAGTAGGGGATCATTTTACATGGGATTAAACTGCGTTTTTGTAGGATATAGTTTTGGCTGCTCTTTGTTGTGTGTTTGTCAAATGACTTGATTAATTCTGTGCAACCTGTGAGTAACAGGATCATCAGGAAGTGAGACTAAGCTAGGAGTGAGGGACCATGGTTTTCAAGATTCCCCTCTTAGCAGCAGTATGCAAGTCGTGCTGTCGATGGGGTTCAGCTACCTGCAGGTGATCGAGGCTTACAGCATATTCGGAGATGATGTCGATTCCATGGTTTGTTACTTATTGGAAACTAGCAGCAGTAGCAGGCGCAAAGGCAAGGCAACTGAATGAGCTGGTACAAAACAAATTTAGGAATGCTGGTGAGATTGTGTTGGCTTCCTTGTGATCAAACTGCAGTCTTCGTAAAGAAAATGATTCCTATTCAGTTGTAGCCTGTGAACCTTAAATATGTTATCTACGTTAAATCAATAAACTGTAGTCTTTGTTATCAAACTAATCTGTTTCCAGAGGTACCGTCGCGCCATTCTGATATAGGAAAATACAACTGTATCGTTATTCACACTTAGAATAACTTTCAGCTTATGAGCAAATTGAGCCGAATCTGTTTAGAGAGATGTGTAATGGTGTTTATCATTCTCAACTGTATTGTTATTCACACTTTGAATAACTTTCAGCTTATGAGCAAATTGAGCCGAATCTGTTTAGAGAGTTGTGTGATGGTGTTTATCATTCCAAAAATGTTATCGTGCTCTCTTTCCTTATATGTTTACGTATCAGTAATGGAGAAAGTAAGAAATAAGAGAATTTAGGAATCGGAGAACTACTGTGTCGGTATGGGAAGAATCATTCCCATTAAGCTGTTTAGTACATATGGAATTAGCAAAAGAATGAGATTGATTCCCATTGTTATTGTTTACTAATTTGCATGAATCAGAATCCAAATTAATTTTAGAATTATGGTAAAGTGGTAAGAGTATTTTTGGAAGTTATTAAGAAAAAATAGGAATGAGAATTGTATCGACTACTCCTTCTTAGTTGATCTGATACCTGGTTTTGAGGGAATGTGATTACGGATTTTGAGATGGGGCCCACTTATTTTTTCATTCCTAATTGCAAGTAAATGTAGAGGAAGTTAGGAATAGAAATCATTCCCTTTCCTCTCATACCCATTACTGATACGTGAACATGCCCTGAGAGTATAAAGAATAACTTGTACTTAGGGTCGAAAAACCAGTCCTCTTTGAGGGAAAAAGAAGTCATGCATTCTTACAAGGAAGAAATTCTCTTCTTCGAGGTAAAAAGAAGCAAGGGAGAATCGTGGGCTTTGCTTTTAATCAATTTGGTGCACAATCAACAATTTTTCTTTATTCAACTCATGAATTGTAGATGTATGATTGCAAATTGACATTTGAAACACAATCACAAAGAGTGGAATGTGGAAAATGCCATTTAAAATGCGTTGTTTTATTTTTGGGTCAAAATACGTCACAATGAGAATTGAGAGAGACATAAAAAGATATGCGGATGAGAAGGCAAGAGATGAAGCATTTGCAAGAGAAAGGGAGTATGTACTCAAACAAGACATGGACAAGAAGGATCGGGAAACCATGGCTATGGATACGAGCCATATGTCCCTTAAAACAAAGTCATTTTGGAAGTTAGAACGAAGGGATGTCATGAGGAGGCTTTTCCGTGACGATGGGCCAAGCAATACTGATTAGTTAAATGATGAAAACCATTATGTTGTATTGCTTGTCTTTTATTTAGTTAGTTGTATTACTTGTCTTTTATTTAATTGGTTGTATTGCTGGTTTTTTACTTAATTTAAATGATGAAATTTGATATGTGAATTTTATAATAAATATGGACACGTTGCAACCGAAATTCTTATCCGAAATATGATATGTGAATTTTATAATAAATATTGACACATAACAACCAAAAATCTTATCCAAATTAATCGTTTAAGTAAAAAATAAATAAATAAATAAGTGAATAGTATTTGCCATTTGCCATGGCAATGGATGGAGAGTGAAGACATAACAAGCCTTTTGCAAAAACTGACACTATTCACATGAATAGTAACAGTCCTTACCTCCCCTTACCCTTTGCTATAGCAAATGGGTGAAAATGCTCTTATTGAAATGAGTTTAGTGATTAATAAAGCCAAGTAGACAATTTATTTGTAGTTTACTACATTTCTTAGTTAGAAATAAATTTCATTAAAATAGAAAAATTAGAAAAAGGTAGTTTTTTTTTTTGGTCAATTAGAAAAAGGTAGTTACACAAAAAAAAATCATATTGGAGAGGTCTAGGTTTTCTTGGACATTCCAACAAATACAAAATGACTCATTTCCTCCTATTTCACTTGGTAAGGCCAACTATTGCCACACAAAGGGCCAAAAGCCCAACAAAGGGGTAAACTGCTGTTTTGCCCTTTCATGTTATAATTGTCAATTTATCCTTTGATCTATTTTTTGGGTAAATTAAAGATACGAACTATATAAAAATAGTCAAATGGAAATTTATCTCTTTCTGTTTATATCGGGGAGAAGGTTAGTTGCTCAGTACCCATATAAAAAAGAGTGGATTTTGTTGCCTTTCCTTTGTTTTTTTGTATTCAAATTTTGGATTTAAGATTTTAGTTGAGAAGATCGGATATCGGGCCGCTATGTCACGGCTCGTTTGACACCAGAAAACTGCTACCACACCATAAATTGAGGCTACAAACACAGTAACACAAATATGCCATCTTAGACAATCAATCATAAAAAACAGAAAGATAAGGGCAACCAGAAAATCCACCTAAGTCCCAATTCCACCATAAATCGCAATCGCCCAAGTTGCTGGATAGAGAAAACTTATGCCTTAGTTTTTGTTTTGTTTTGTTTTTTTTGTTTTGGTAAAAACTTATGCCTAATGTCTAAAATATCGATGGTTTCGGAAATATCGGTAGTCCAAAAGCAAGGAAATTTCGATGAAAATATTGAGAAATTATCGATATCGATAAAGATTGAATAAAAATAAAAAAAAATGTAAGAAAAACTTGGAAATTTTTCTTAAAACTTTAAAAGATGTTTATTTAGTCAATTATCTATTACTTTATCACAAAAATTGGCATTGCATGATGGGTTTAACTGATTTAAGTTGATTATATAGTGAGTTGACAAACATTGAGAGTGTAGAATATATATATATATATATATATATAGTAATTAATGAAAGAAGATTGAACACACCATAATCATTTATTTATAATTATTTACTACAATATTTTACACTTTATACATTGCATGGTAAGATACATGAGTGACTTGATACCACATAAAGTTCTTATAAGATTTTTGAGTTATTTACACTAACACATCCTGAGGTTTCGGTTTTTTCAGAAAATTCCTTCAAATTTTAGAAATTACAAGAACACCCCCTTAAGATTTTAAATTGTTTTCACAAAACTCCTTTTTATTGATTTTCTATCCAAAAATTGATGATTTTATACAAAAAAAATTCTCCAAATAACAAAGTTGGCCTTTGAGATTAGATTGCATATACTTCTTTGAGGTTAATTTTGTTATTTGCATAAGTTCTTTTTTCTTCAATGAAATCATCAATTTAGGACAAACAATCAACGAAGATGGGTTTTGTGAAAACAAACTGAAACATCAGGAGATGTTCGTGTAAGTTTTGATATGATGTTCATGTAAGTTTTGAGACCTGAGATGGTTTTGTGAAAACACAAGAAATCTTAGGGGGTGTTAGTGTAAATTACTCTTCAAATTGTTCAGTGTCCTCATCATCTCGATATTATCGATATTGTAGCGATATTTAGGCCAAATGTTGCTGAAGTGAGAAATTATCGACGTCGATATTTTCCGATATTATCGTCGATATTATTGATACTTATACAATATATGTATGGATATGTTCTAAAATATCTTAAATCCCAAAAAAACGATAATATCCTCAAAATTTCATCGATATTATCGATATTTTAATCCTTATTTTGCCTTGTTTTGGTATATGGTCAAAACTTATGCCTAGGTTTTTTGGTATTTGGTCCAAACTCAGCCCTGAGTTAGTCCTTGCATCGCACGTCATTCGACAAAAGGATAAATTTGTCATTGACAATTTTAATAAAAAGGCGGGAAAATAGAATAGCGGCAGAACAACAGAGCTGAGAACTCGAAACTACCCTTTCCTTTCTTCTAGAAAATTCTGCAGAAGAATGTGAGGGTATTTTCGTCATTGTGAAGAACGGCGTCGCGGGGTCACTTACAGAAGAAGGCTTGGGTGGGGCCCGGTCCATCTTCCATAAATTGCGTCTCTGCTTCCTCCCTCTTCCTCTGCGGAAGCTTGGCATTGCTGGCTGAGAACCAAACCAGTGACAACACAAGAAAACAAATAAAGCAAAAAAAGAAGAAAGAAAATGGCACAGAACGGGAAATTAAGGCCAAATCTGGACAAGCAGAGCACAAAGCTTCTCAATCTTACTGTTCTCCAGCGAATCGACCCATTTATCGACGAAATTCTCATCACCGCAACTCATGTCACCTTCTACGAGTTCAACACTGACCTCAGCGAATGGGTATGCTTTTTTTTCTTTCTGTTTTAAATTTTTTTTGTCATTCTCTGATTGCATTCTACTCATTTTCTGTGGGTTTTCAAATTTCAGAGTCGCAAGGACGTCGAAGGATCTCTCTTTGTCGTCAAGAGGTGATTTTCTCTTTACTATGTTGATGGTTTTTGGATTGCAAAATTTGGGGTGGTTTGTTTTGGTGTTAATTTTTTTTTTCAAATGGGGTTAAGTTTCTTGCTGTTGTTATTTCAGGAATGCTCAACCTCGGTTTCAGTTTATTGTGATGAATCGCCGGAGTACTGGTTAGTGTGTTTGCATTTTGTTCTAATTCTTGATACATTTGTCATTCGGTGCTTTGCTAATTATTTCGACTGGAAGTTTTATTGGTGTTCGACAATGGGTTTATCAGATTCTCTTGTTACAAGCTAAACTCTACTCCTTACTATATGGTTGAAATTACTGAAATTGAATGATGGAAAATTTGCTATGATACTATTGATACAGGGTTTAGGGTTTACTTAGAAAGTAAGCCAAATGTCACATCATTACTGGAGTCTGGACCACATTTCTGGGTTATTTTTTCTGTTCAATTTCCTTTCCTTTCCTTTCTGGTTCGATGTTCTTCTTTGCCTCTCGTCTTAAAATCCTTTGCATTTGCTCCTGCATGAAAGGTTAAGGATCAAGAGGACAGTATTTGAGATTAAGATTTGACAAGTCATTTACTTAAGACTTCCAATTGATCTTTTGGTATGGTTATAAGACTTTCTATAAATTTTGTTTTGTTTTGAATATCTCACATTACTAACAAGCTTGATGATGTTTTTGTCTTTTAATTTTCAATTTTTGTATGGCTTACATTTTTGTTTAATTATTATTTTTCTCAGTTTCTGTATTTTAAAACATTTCACTATGTTTGCATAAGCAGAAAATTTGGTGGAGGATCTTTTGGGAGATTTTGAATTCGAAGTTCAGGTTCCATATCTTTTGTATCGAAATGCAGCCCGAGAGGTCAATGGTATTTGGTTCTACAATGCAAGTGAATGTGAAGACGTGGCAAATCTTTTTAACAGGTAGAGCTGTCGTCTTGCAGTCTAAGTTGATTGAAAAAATTATAATCTTTGTGGTGTTTTTGATTTGATACAATCAATAACTTTGTGGACGCTATAAGTATAGCAGTGGATGGATGTACCTTTACATGGTAGTGTGTAGGACAGGGAGAGAAACTGGGAGAAAATAGAGTGAGAAAGAGAGATAGAATAGAGGTTGAAAAGTACAGAGAGAAGAGAGAAACAGAGAAAGGGAGGCAAAGTTGGGGGGTAAACTCAATATATCTCAAATGAGTGCCAAAGTCTGAAATCTCTATTACAATTTACAATAAGGCATTTATGTAGGCTGAGGAATGGGTTTTGAACTCTTCAGTATTTAAAGAATTTCCATGTCTTGCTGTTTTTGTAGGGTGATGTTATTTCACCAGATTTTTTTCTTTATTCTAAATTGTCTTGTTTCTTATTAAATTTTATCTTGTATTACTTTTGTCCAGGATACTTGGTGCATATTCCAAGGTGTCATCGACAAAGAGGTAATATTTAGTTCATTCATACTTCACAGATTTAGTTATACCGTTTGAAATGTTGAAAGGATAATGACTTTTTTTTTCTTTCTGAAATCTGTGGTATTATAAGTTTTTTTCCTTGCATGACAATAGTATTATGAACTTCTGGGTTTGTGCTATTGATCATCTTGAAGGTTGATATTTTGTTTTTGTATACTTCTGAGATCTGGGTTATTACACAATTTACCTTTGGAATGTTTTACCTATATTCTGGTCTCAGGACAATAGTATAAGAACTTCTGGGTTTCGAGCATCTTAAATGTTCAGTTGTCTTGTGTTCTTTTGTAGCGAGTTTGAGGAACTGGAAGCAGTCCCAACTATAGCTCTTATGGATGGTCCTTTGGAGCCATCATCATCAACTGCCTGCATTGTCACAGATGTTCCAGATGATCCTGCCTTTGTGAACTTCTTTAGTGTATGTTCTCTTCCTCTTGATATTATGTGTTTGTGGAAATATGTTCTGGCATTCACATTTTTCCTACTTGATATCTTGGTTATAGTATTCTTGTTTTTGGATCTTTTGTAAATATGATTGTAATACTGAACAACAGAAAATGTAGCCACTCTATTTGTGTGCTGGCATGTGTTTTTGTGTATGTATTTTATTTTTGGACTTTCTAGTCTTACCATGTGGATTATGGGATGATTCTAACATGATTTCAAGTGTGTAGCATCAACTGCCTAGGGTTTCATGAATTTCTAACTTTTGAGTCATTGGTGTAGGAATTTTGATTGTTCTATACACAATAGTAGAATCAAAATGTTTTGCTTGTCTAAAAATTTCTGCTGTTGATGCTAACGTTGGTCTACTTTTAAATTCAGTGATGTGTAATAGAGTCGTTTTGTTGGATTCAAATAAATAAATAATTCCAATGGATTACCTCCCTAAATGTGCTGGGTTTATAGTGTTTTTTTTTCTTTTACATTTTAAGCTCACATATATATTGTTCTTGTACTCGATGGATGCCTGAATATATATACATTAACACAGCACACACCTGCACACAGCTCGTTCTTGTACTCGATGGATGCCTGCATATATATACATTAACACAGCACACACCTGCATACAGCTTGGATATCTAGGATTGGGACTCTTGTCCTTTTCTCTTAAGCACATAACTTTATGTTTGTCTTCCACCCCTGCATATGCACATATGTTGGTCAACATACTGATGATATAAATTTATGTAACAAATGTGCATCTTATTTCATTTTCCCGTATCTGGGCTGGACTGAATTTTATAATTAATTGCAGACGGCTACAACTATCGTGAATTCTTCAACTACAACAATTACTGGACAGCCTTACCAGTCTTCTTCGACAATCTCTCTACCTTCCCATCCAGTCGGAGTTGTCCCTTCCCCTATTCCTAGCATGCAGATATCATCTGCAACTTTATCCCCTTTCCTTGACATCCCTGAATCCCACAGAAACACCAAACTGATCAATAATCTTGTAAAGCCATCTTCGTTTTTTGTTCCTACTTCCTCTTCACCAACATCGATGCCACGTGTCTCTTCATCGGTGCCTACTGCGCCTCTTCTTCACCCTGCTGTAAGTCTACAACGTCCATATGGTGCTGCTTTGTTACAACCTTTTCCACCACCAGCTCCTCCACCATCTCTCACTCCTGCTTCTTTTCCTATCCCAAACTGTGGGCCAGTTAACAGAGACAAAGTTCGAAATGCACTCATGCTGCTTGTGCAGGTTAGTTTTCAGTACTGGTGTTACATAGTTATGTGACTGCTTTCACTTTTCAGTTGAGAAGATCGCATGTTTGCATTAATCTTTAAAATTCATTCACGCATATTGTGACAAGCGTTTCAAAATACAAAATGCACCAGGAACATTTTTTAGTGTTATGTTCGATAAATATTTGGAGCTGGTTGTACAGGGTTTACTGTATATCAAAGAAACCAATACCTAGTTTAGCTACTGGTTGTACAGGATAAAATTATTGAGTTTCTGTTGATATCTTTTGATTGTTGAATTTAATGTGCCAGTTTTGTGAACAAAGAGTTTAGCTATTGTTGTTTCTTGCACATGATTTTCCTTGTGGTCATTACCTAGGATCTGAAACCCTTACTAATAGATTCAGCAAATTATACTAGTGAAATTAAATTTAACCAGGAAATGTGCATTCAAAGCTTATCTCTCTTTTATCCCCTTGTGTGTGTGTTTTGTTTGTGGTAATTTTAATCTAGTTTGTGGAAAATAAATTCTGGTAAATTGCAAGTCAGTTGACAAAAGAGATGATTTGGCCGAAGTTGTTACATGTCAATGGTTGACTAGAGTTCTAATTATCTAGACTGTGAATTAAACTACCAAATAAGAACTCAACCTCTTTGCATGAGTTAAGCTCCTGCCTAATCCTTATGTTCCTCTTAATGATGATTATTACTAACTCTGTTCATAATTTGATAATGTGTTGTAGGACAATCATTTCATCGACATGGTATATGGAGCACTCCTGAATGCACACCATTCATAACCTTGTGAGAGAAATTTTACTGTCAGCATGTAGGCCACTGAACATCCTACTCGAAGCGGCATACAATCTACAAGCTGGATTGTTTTTGTTCATTGTGAAGCTTTTTCTTATGTTCTGCTCTTTTTTTTCGTAACCCCGTCAGATGTGTGCGTATGAATGTATAGCATGTCAATACTCGTTCGCTTGAGATAGTACTTGACATATATGTAGGTGTATTTTGATATTGTAATTGTCTGTGACATTACTCTTGAATGTTTGGTTAGTGGTGCAGTGAGATTAGCGCTTACATACATGGACCGTGGGATTCATGCAAGATGAGGTTCATTCTATTATAATAAATAGGTGTCCTAGTGATCTATAATGAAGATGAGTCTTTTCATATTTTGGGATTATCTAGTCATAGGTGAAATTCTTGGATTTATGAAAGACGAACAACTGTAGGTTCAAGATATACAATAAATAAGGGGATTTGGTTCAATGTAAGTGATATCTTCCTGCTATCTATAAATAGTTGTTTTAGTTGTTTCAGTTGTTGATGTAAGAAATGTCCTGAATCAGTTATTGAAATTTTAAAATTTCTCTCATTTATTAACTTGTATTCTGTTAGAATCAACAAAACATAAAGCTCTTTAATCTTGGCTATTCTCATTCTAGAGAATCGACGAGGCATTGAACCCCTTCATTCTTGGCTATTCTCGTCTCGAGAATCAACAAAGATTTAATTTAAGGTTTATTGCGTTCGTGAAATTTTATCGTTCTTTGCACATTACATGCCCTGTCAGTTTAGTCTTCATTTGAAGCACGATCAAAGACCAATTATATTATTCTCAGCAATTTTATGCCTCTTAACCTAAGGAAGTCAGCTTGAGCGTTAAAGTGAATAGTTCTGGTATTAAAGGAGGCCCTCAAAAGATTTACCTCTCGAATATGGACTCTGATTGCTCAATGAGAAGGGAAAAACGCACAAAGGTGAACATTTTCCTCAAGTCTTCTCCAAATATTGGTAATGTTGACTAAACATTGATACTTTATTATCGATATAGTAGGTTTATTTGAGAACAATGTTAAAAGTTCTATTTGAGAGTATTTCCCAAATGAAAATGAACCTTTTCTCTTGAGTGTTTCTTTCCCTGTGTCAATTGTGGTATTCATTTCTCCCCTCCTCCAGATATCCTTTGACCCCCATTTCAATGGTGCTCATCACTAGGGTTGGGCACGGTGCGATTTAGCTCGGTTTTACGGTTGGAACTGATCATCAACCCATGTCAGTTAACCAAATCTCATAAAAGATGCCAAACCATCATAAGCCTCAACTGAACAATAATGAAATAGCCTTATTTAGTGTAATTCAAAGCAGATATGATTAAGGCCGTTTACCATCTCAGATATTGTTTGTTTATTTATTATTTTTAAAGTAGTACACTGAGATATATTTGAAATGTTAAACTTTATATAAGCCATCAGGTTTTTTTTTTCTTTTATGCCGGAGATTTTTTCTAAAATAAATATTTTTTAAATTTCCCATGAATATCACAAAAGTAATGAACTTTCGAACAGAACGAGATCAATAAAACCAAACCGAAAGGGGACACTTTTTTTTTGGTAAATACCACGAGATGTCCCCACACTCGAAGGGTGGGATTAATCCCTAGTCGAGGTTTGACTTGTCTCTGGCCACAAAGTACTTCCAACAGGTTTTGAACCCCTGCCATTAAAGCACTAGGTAGCTCACCAACTGAAGGTGGCAGTTTGCCATCTGTATCACACCTTGTTTGTCTAAGAATTTTTGCTTTTGTTGTGGGTTTTTATGAGAATCTTAAATTAAATGTAAAATGTAAAATGTAAATATTTTATAAAAAAAAACTTTAACAAAGGGAAAAGCTTTAAAATAAAAAATTCATCTCCAATTTTTCATAAAAATAAAAAATCATCCCCAACGGCCCTCTCCAAACCCTAGCACCCCACCATCTCCTTACCCCCACCCTACCCCCTCGCGTCACCGCCACCCACCCCCACCCTCTCCTTATTGACCTAACTTAGCCTCTCTCTCTCTCTCTCTCTCTCTCTGCAAGTTCTTGTTACCCGCTATTGGATTTTTTGTTTTGATCAAAGTAGGCTTTCATTAATGAAGAGGACAAACAGATCGTACAAAGCTTGGCTTCCAGAAAGGAAAACCACGCGAGCACTAACACCCACAAAAAAAAAGAGTAAAACTAAAGTACAAAGAAACTGAAATACAAGGAACCAAATTTGTTACCCGCCATTGGATTTGTGATGCAATGTTTATGGTTTTCAATTCTTCCCAAATTTGAAGTTAGTTTCAATTCCTCAGTTTCTATCTACACAGACAACTCCCAAACTCGTATTCTGTATTTAAATTCATATGGATGATTTACAAAAACAAAGGTGGGATGCACTGTAAATGGTATTTTAAGAATAATGGTGGGTGGAAAAATAGGATTATGTTTTTTCAAATTTATATAGTGAGTGGAAAGATAAGGTGGGCGGAAATAGCAACACTCTTGCTTGTTTGTATGCTTCTAAACAAAATCAATTCACAAACTTAATAATAAAATTGTGATTGTCAGTTAGCTTTGTGTATATTTCTTTTTGTTTTTGTTAGTGAGTTTCTAGAGCAAAAACACACCAAGCTCGTACTAAACTCCTTAAATTTTATGTGATTAACGAGATAAAATTCCAAAAGAATGTTATGGTAGTTGTTACATACTCGTAACTTTAGAATTTAGTAATTTTTGGATTTAGAATTTATAAGGGTTTAAAACTTGTACATTTTTCGAATTGTAAATTGATCTATTTATATTGAATTAAAAAAAAAATATATTGATATAAATCAATCGGAGTTAATAAGAGAAAATAAGCCTATTAAAAATTTGATTGATGATTTCCAAATTCGAAAGATTTTAGAGTGTTGCTAAATGAACCTTAAAATTAACTGAGTACATCCTATTATCTAAGTACACCGTAATATTTTAATCAAAATGTAAAATTAACTAAGTACACCCAATTTAACTACCAAAAATATCCCTGGTACACCCTAATACATTTTATCACACAACACCCTAATAACAATCCTAAATTAGGTTTCTCTTTTTACATTAATTTGTGCCCTTTTTCAGATTTTGAGTTTACATCAAAATCTTTAATTTCGTAAGCTATTGTGGGAGTAGATTTGCTAACTCCTTCCACTCAAAGCTTGATTATTGTAAATCCTTGTGATTTTCTTTATTTATTTTTTATTTTTGGATTGAAGTTGTTGCCCTACAAATACAAGATGCAAAATGTTAATTAGCTAAAACACGAGCTGAAATTGCCCTCATGAACTCTGATGATGGACAAGAATCTCCTCAAGCTCAAGTTAATCCGCAGATAGAAAGTGAATTCCCAACTTAAATTTCCTGTAGCAACAAAGCAATGTTGGGCTGATCCCATTTGGTTCTTCCTCCAAAATTCCTTACTTTTTTTTGGTGAAAAAAATTCCTTATTTAAAAAAAAATCAATATTGTTTTGTATTACAGAAAACAAGCACCAAGCAATATAAAAACTTATCTACATTTGATTAGGGTTGAATATGGTGAGTAGGGTGTAGGGATGGCAATGGGTCGGGTAGGGGCCGGGTATGACAATACCGTACCCGTCCCCACTCTCCATCCCCGCCCCCATCCCCGAACCGATCCCCGTTTAATAGGTTTCGGGGAATCCCTATCGGGGGACTATCCCCCATACCCGCCTCGAATCCCCGATTTTGTTTTTGCATAAAAAAAAAATTTATTATACATTTTAACATTAAGTTTCATATTAATTTATCATCCAACACATCCAAATTAACTATAAAATTCAACTCAACTATTCAAAATCACTTCAATATGAAATTCCAAAGAAAATCAAGAAGAATTAGGAGAGGGAGGTTAACTTAAGGTTAAATATAAATATTATAATTATTTATTTATTTATTTAAATATAAACATATATACTTTCGGGTCGGGTTTGGGGATGGGGATGCCAATACCATCCCCTTCCATACTTGTTGGGGATTTTCAAGTTTGGGAATCCCCGTATCCGATACCCATTTAGCCCTAAAATCTCCCCCCGTTAGGATCGGGGACCTGATGGGGACCCGTCCCCGTGGGGATTTTTGCCATCCCTAGTAGGGTGTACTTATTAAAATATATCATTTTTTGTCATTTTATATTAAGGTAAATTAGTAATTCAATAAATAGTTTGATAGTAAGGTGTACTCAGTTAATTTTAGGGTTCGTTTAGCAGCACTCAAGATTTTATTAACTTGGAAAAAAGGGCTCTGTGCTAAAATAATCATTTTCACAACTTTTAGGGGGTCATTTGGCATGACGGACTGTCATGGACTGGACTAAATCCTAGAACTATCTTGGATGAGCTCAGATTGGTCTAAGCTGGATTAAGTACTGACCTATGTTTGGTGCTGCGTCGGACTAAGAAGCTGAATTGTAAAAATAGTGAAGACCTATGTTTGGTGTTGTGTCGGACTAAAAATAATTCTTATAATATTTAAATTTAATTGGGGTTTTTGACCTAAAAGATAAATAAATGCTACAAAGAAACCCAATTCAAAGATTTATAACAATATCTGGCACAATTTTTTTTATTTTTAAAAACAATAATAAAAAGAAAACAAATAAAATTCTTTTATTATTTTTTATTTTTTAATGAAGAATAAAATTATGATATTTGTTTTTTGGCTTCTCAAGATTAATCTTAGTTGGTCGAAACATTGTTAAAGGAGCTAAGCTCACTCTATATATTTCTAGGTTTTTTAGGGACCAAGTAAAACAATAATTAAAAAATTTATATATATATACAGTCCCATTCTATTGAGGGATCCCTCAAATAATTTTATTTGAGGGACGCCCATTAGGGTACCCTACAATTTTTTCCCAATGATCCAAACCATCTATTTTTTAGGTATTCATTCATAGATCATCCTTATAAAAAATTAGACAAATCGAAAACCGTTTCGACATCCAATTGTGTCTTACAAAATCAATGAACACGGTGCTTCAAGAAAGTACTAAAATTTCAATAACTCAATTCAGTGATCAAATAATATCAGATTTAAGTGATTTTTTGTAGAGTTGATCTTTGAATGAGTATCTACAAAATAGACGGTTTAGATTAGTGAAATACAATCTGGAGTGGGGCCTACAAGGGATGTCCTCAAATAAGTTTATTTGAGGGATCCCTCAATGGAAGCTTTTTGTATATATATATATATATATATATATATGTATAATTTTTGTATATTTGACTTTTGACTTCAAACTGAAAAATATAAGTTGACAAGGTAAAAATTGCTTGCGATAAAGAAAGCATCACATCATAAATTATTAAACTTGTTAAATAAAAAATAAAAAAAAAAAAAATTTCTAAATTACTATAAATAATATATTATAATATTTAAATGTAATTAAAGGATTTTTATCTAAAAAAATAAATGCTGCAAAAAAACAAAACAAAAAAAAAAACAACCAATCAAAGATCTAAAACAATAATTAAAAGAAAACAAATAAAATTCTGATATTTTTTAAAGAGAGGCGTCAGACTCATGTGTTCTATTTAGTAAGCGTGTTATTTAGTGAACCACTTTTCAAGCTCACTGTATTAGACGAGCGAGTGATGTGTTTTTTTCACTATTAGACTATACAGTCTCATTTAAGTTAGTCCCGTCTCTTATCAAACAAGGATTTTGAGTGCTATTTACCCCAGTCCAATCCAGTGAGGTGTACCAAACATGACCTTATTTATAATAGGCCCAGCCTCATACAGTACCTCTTTGTCCTCTTTAATGCAAATGGGCCATTTTAGAATAGAAATTGTGAAAATGAGTTATTTTAGCCAATTTCACAAAATAATAATAATAATAATAAAGGACCAAAACATAAAACAAGGTTCAGTTTTCAAGCACCGAGTGCTGAACTGCTGACTGCTCCTACAGTCATTCTTTACTCTCAGACGCAGAGTAAGACTGAAATTATCAGTTTCTCTCTCTCTGAGAAATGACGGCATCGTTAAGAGAAATGTCCAAAAGCTTTCTGAGGCACACTTCTCATCCCAACCCCTATATCCCTCCAGCCCACTTTCTCTTCTCCAGGGGATTTTCTTCCAAGCTTTTGGTCAAAGGTACTCTCTCTCTCACTGTTTTGTTTCTGTGATCTTTTCCATTGATATGTTTCTATCATTTCAGACAACTATGTCTAAGGAAGAAATGATTTGATTTTTGATTGCCGTATGTGACCTATTTTGCAGCTTAGCTGTTTGTTGAATTGCCTCTTCGGAGCTCTTTTTGGGTTCAATAAAATGTCTTTGTGTGTAACTTCTTTCTTACTGCTATTAGTGTTGTTGAAGAATGCTTGACGAGAATTTGTATGGTTGTGTTTATTTTGCGGAGTCGAATTTAGGGATTGTAAACTCATTCCTTGGAATAAGATTTTTAGAAGCCAATGGATTGGGAATTGCCGTTCGTGTCTGGAAATGCTTGGAATGGAGCTGTTCTTATTTTTATGAAAAATTAATGGAATTTCGCTTTGATGGTGGAAGCATAAATATAAGAGCATGGTTCATTTTGAGTTAGTATAAAAGTTCAAGATTCGAATATGAGAATGCAAAACCTATACAAAACATGAGAATGCATAATTAGGAAATGTTAAACTCATTTTTACCCCCAATTTGAACATGATAATGCAAATACCTAAATCTGGTAGAATGCATTATTTCTATTCGGGAATGTTAAACTCATTCTTCAGCCTTAATTTTTCAAAACAAACACAGCATTCAGGAACGGGAGATCCACTTGAGCCTCTACGGCGCTATGTGAAGGGTAGGGGTTGGGGTTTATGATTGTAAGTTATATATGTTCACCAAGATTGCTGTTTTGTGCATCTTGCAAGTTACATTGTTTGACACAGCCGAACTTTTGAAAACTCATGGTGTTCTGTCTCATTAGGTATCTCGTTCACCTCCACAGAAGAGTCATTGACTCAAGCATTTTCACCATTCGGCAAAGTTCTTGATGGTATGCCTTAATCTTGTTGATACAAACTTAAGCATATTTTTCCATGTTAATAAACTGCAAAGTTCAAACATCCAGCTGTCTTTCTTCTTGTTCAGCTAACATAGTGAGAAATAAAGTTACGAACAAGTCAAAAGGTTTTGGATATGTGACCTTTGAGACGGAGGAGGATGCCGAAAAGGCTTTGGTGAACATGAATGGGAAGGTAAGAGTGCATTAATTCTTCTTGCACTTCATTCTGCGAATGTTTCTTGACACTAGAATCACTTGCAGATGGTGGATCAACGCGTTGTTTTAGTGGACAAAGCATGGCCAGACAACAGGAAGGCCAAAAATGCAGGTTGAGAGAAGCTACATTGTGCCTGTGATAGTTTTAGGACATACTCTCTGAATGAGTTGGAATGGGTGGAAATGTTCTAAGAGACCTTGAGGTGCAATTTCTGGTCACGCAATAATTTTTAGTTCTCTTGAGATATCACAAACTTATGGCAGTATTTGTACTATTCAGAGACGGAAACCCACTTAAAAACTTCCTTTTTCCCCTTTTGTATTTTTCATAAGCAAAGCTATTGTATTTTTCAAAAGAAAAATCTCTCTTCATAATTTCCACGACCAAATCCTAAAGGTTTTTTTTTTTCTTTTTTGGGTCTGAAAATACTTCATTGGAAAGCCTGAAAAGGCAAAGGCAACAACAAACAGAAAACAGGGGAGGTCCCCAGAACAATACAAGTAAATCACAAGGAGGCCATCGATACCTCCCAGGAGAATGAAATGGAAATACAACAAGTAAACTACCTTATATCAGAAAGTTAACTACTAGCGGGGCATGGCAAACCATCCTTAGCCAAAACCAGAACCAATGAGGGAGGAGGCTGTGAGGCCTAATGCATAGATCGCACCCTCATGTTTGACAGAGCTGATGCAGCATGGGCAGCTTGATTTGCTTGGCGAGAAATCCATTCCCACTTAATTGAGATGAACCACGAAGAAAGCCTTCTGATTTCCAAAATGAAGGGGATAATTCTCCAGTTGCCACGCAGATTTTCGTTTCTCATACAAGAGATAACATCCATTGAATCGCTTTCAAGTATAATCTTCTGACAGTTTTCCTCTTTTGCTAACAGTAACCCCTCCAAAACAGCTTCAGCTTCCACCTCGATTGCAGAGTTTCCGATACAAGCCTGACTCAAACCTGCCAACAATCTACCCTCAGAATCATGCAGACAGCAACCCACACCGCCCTGCAGAGAGTTCTTGTGCCATGCTCCATCCACGTTTACCTTAACATAAGGTTGAGGAGGAGCCTTCCAGAGAGCATGGGGAGGAGAAGCTGAGGGAGTAGGACACGTAATAGCTTCCAAAGTAGGACAAAGTTCCCCCCATAAGGAATCTAATAACAGAATAAGGACAGGGGGAGCGACCTTCAAAAAGAGCAGAGCACCTCTCTTTCCGGATTTCCCAACAAGGAATACCCACCAAGACAAGAACTTCCTTATTCCTCCCTTCTAAAAGAGCCAAGGAAGCAGTAACTCCCAAGAGCCATCTGTCAAAAGAAGTTACGCTTTGTGCATTCACGCTGTAGTTTAAAGGGATACCAAACCAAACACAAGCAGTCCAAGGACACAGGAGAATAGCATGTTCAGCAGACTCGTCACTTGAGTTACATAAAGAGCAAACTGGATTAGCCCTTATTCTGCGATGAAACAGGTTTTTAAGGGTGGGCAGGGAATTGGTCAGAGCCCTCCAAAAGAAGAGTTTTAATCTTTGGAATGACTTTCATGTTCCAGATTGACTTCCATAGTTTTTTTTCCACTTGGTGGGAGTGATGTTCCGGCACACTACACACAACCTCCAAATTTTCCATTGCCCAATGGTAACCACTCTGAACAGAAAACAGGCCATCTTTATTCCAAGGCCAAATCAAAGTATCTTTGCGAGTAAGATTACGGAGAGGAATGGCACGAATTAGTTTTGCAACAGTAGGATCAATGACATTTGAAATGCCAGCCAAATTCCATTCTCTCAAATCACGATCAGTAAGATCATTAACCAACGTTGGAATAGGACCAGAAACAATGATGGTTGGCTTGGGACGCAGGATGGATTTGTGATGCAGCCAGTTGTCCCTCCAGATCTTCACTTTCAAACCATTGCCAATTTGCCAAATGGCACCATCAGACATAATCTTTCGACCTTCCAAAAGGCTAGCCCATGCCCAAGAAGGACAAGGCCCCCTTCTAGCTTTAAGGAAATCACCATCGGGGAAATACTTGGCTTTCAGGACATGCACCCAAAAAGCGTCAGGATTATTCCATATACACCAACACTATTTTGCCAGGAGGGACAAATTGAAATTCTCCAGTTCTCTGAAACCCAAGCCACCCTCAGCCTTTGAAAGGCATAAAACCTCCCACCTCTTCCAGTGACTGTGAGCATTGGAATCACCATTACTCCACCAAAACTTACTAAGAACACCATTAATTTGTTTGCAAGTGGTAGAAGGGAATTTAAAGCAGGACATCGGGTACATTGGCATAGCCAAGGCCACTGCCTTAATCAAAACCTCCTTTCCAGCAAGATTTAAGAATTTTGACTTCCATCCTTGGACTTTTTTCTGGATACGATCAACAATGTAGTTCAGAGCTGCAGTTTTGGATCTCCCCCATATAGATGGCAGACCCAGATATGTGCCAGGATCAAGTGTCGGAGATATTATGAGCATAATACTGATTTCCCTAGCTAGCGTATCGGAGACATTTGGGCTTAAAAATAAGGATGATTTATCCACATTGAGCATTTGGCCTGATGCCAAACAATAGTCATCGACAATCTTTTTCAAGACACTGCAGTTCTGAGTTGTAGCACTAGCACGGATGAAAAATAGTGAATAATCAGCAAATAAAAGGTGGGATATTGTTAAAAAGTTAAAGCATACCTGGAAAAGACAATTGCATATTGTTAAAAAGTTAAGAAACATGAACGGGATTGATAAAGAAAGGTTTGTAAAGGTTCGTTTTATTTTTTGCAATAGGTCCTCAAATAACTTATTAAAGCCATAAGTTTGGATTTTCTTCCCTTTGGTCTCCCTAAAAAATAATTAAGGAAAATATTTCCCTCCTTACCAGGTAAGTAGGAGCTCTTACATTCTTGCCAATAGCAATGTGACAGGTGTGCAGAAGTTTTTCTTTAAAATTCACATGTTCTAAAACGTTACAATATTCTAGTAACTTAAATCCCTTTTAGGATTTGGGATTAAAGTTAAAATCCCAAAATGCTAAATCCTTAAAACCTAATAAACCCATAATAATAAAAAATAGTAGCAAACCCTAAACTAGGTCTTGACATGTTTTGGTTCGGTTCGATACGTAACTTTTACCAACTCACTCTTTTTTGGTTTTCTTTCTAGATTGAATAAGGACAATCAATTGTTTTCAAGTTCAACATTAAGGTTAAAACTTAACATTATATTAAAAGTATAGCATAAATGCATTTTCAACTAAATTGACTCATTGTCAAACAAAAACCTTATTTATATGACTTATTTATTATGGGTTTTTGACCAAACTTGTCCATGAACTTGTCACGAGTTACATTTTGGTCATCTAACTAAATTATTCGCTCAAATGGTACTCAAACTCTCTATTTTGGGGCAAAGGAGTCCCACTGTAAAATTCTATCAATTTTGTCGTCAATGTCAAAGCTAAAATCATCAATTTGGACTAAAATATTAATAAACTATGATTTTTGATAAAAATGTTCTTTGAATTTATGCCCGAGTTCCATTTTGGTCCTCCAACTGCGGCGCTCAAATCTAGCCCCATCTAGGGATGGTAATTTTTCCCGCATGTTAGGGTCTTCGCGGGGATTCAACACTAATAGATCTGGTATAAATGATAAAAATTGGGTATGGGACAGATTTGAGGGAATTTTAGAGTATGGTGTTCGGGTAGAGACGGGGATGGTATTTCAATCCCCTCCTTGTTTAGAATATATATAGTATAATTTTTGAGAATGACTCTAACAAAATTTTATATTTCAAATATTATAGTACTACTAGCCTCTTCGCACGCGCTTCCGCGCCTGGGAGAGAGTTGTTGTTGTTTTATTTATTTATAAAATTTAAATTTATTTTAGAATTAAAAAATATACAAATTTATAAATAAACCCAATCCTAGACATGTATTTATAAAAAAACCCAAGCACTATTTAAACATAGAAACACACCCAAAATCAACCCCAAAGTCAACTTTTGGGTGTGCTTATAAATGAGTTTTGAGTGTATGTAATGATGGGTTTTGGGTGTGTTTATATGTTTAAATAGTGCTTGGGTTTTTTTATAATTTCAACCCCCATTTTGGGTGTTTTAGTAAAACTCCCTAAAAAATAATAATGGATAGTTGCGTTCCATAAAAATAGAATATATTATTTGAATTTTCTTTGAATTTATTTTTTTAAATATGAAAAAGTGTGAATTTACCATATTATCCTCATTTAATTAATAATTTCAATTCTTAATGTTTGCATTAACCTATGTTTCGTGTAGTGCAGTTTCCTATTTATTTTGTTTCAATGTCTTGTGCGGTTTCTTTTAGTCATAGCGTTTCATGACCCAAAAAAAAAAGCCCTAGGGGTTGAAAAGAATATATACAAATTTATAAAAAAACCCAATCCTAAACATGTATTTATAAAAAAACTCAAATACTATTTAAACATAGAAACACACCCAAAATCAACCCCAAAGTCAACTTTTTGGGTGTGTTTATAAATGGGTTTTGAGTGTTTGTAATGATGGGTTTTGGGTGTGTTTATATGTTTAAATAGTGCTTGGGTTTTTTTTATAATTTCAACTCCCATTTTGGGTGTTTTAGTGAAACTCCCAAGAATATATGCTGTTGCGTTCTACTTATGCTCAACTAAAAGAGAATTCCATCGTCAATACACATAGTGAAGGTAAAGTTCTTAACTCAACTCTTCAATTAATTTTTTTTAAAATTAATTTACGTCCATTATTCTTGTGTTCACAATTAATATATATGTGAAATTTAATTATTTATATTTATACTAGCCTTTTAGTGCGCACTTCCGCGCCTGTGAGAGGCTTTTTGTTTTGTTTTTTTTTAAATTAAAAAAATTAAATTTATTTTAGAATTAAAAATAATAATGGGTAGTTGTGTTCCATAAAAATAGGATTCATTATCTGATTTTTATTTCAATTTTAATTTTTTAAATATGGAAATGTGTGAATTTATCATATTATCTTCATTTAATTAATAATTTAATTCTTAATGTTTGGATTAACAAAGGGCATTTTCTGTATTTTGAATGTTTTTGCTTTATATATATAGATTTTGCATTTTGTATTTGTATTTGTGAAGCTTATTATAATGTCACATCAGAAATCAAGCAAGTAAAATAGTAAAAACTATTCATTCATTCTTCAAGAAAAAAGTTGATGGTGATAAATTAGACATTGACAAGGCTTCTACATTCAATGATAAGGCTTCACCATCAATTGAGCCACTTCACACATCTCCATTAGTTGAACTCAATGAGTTTGATGTTGCTTCTTTGGAACGAGACATTGGGAAACGTATTCAAATATGTGAATACCCTATTAATCAATGTGATGAGGTTCAACATGCTTATATCAAAGTTGGACCTTACCAACCAAAACTTTTAGAATATCCAAGGTCTCGGTTTAGATCGCAATATCATCGATTTTAATATTCTTGGTTCTCCCAATTTCCATGGTTAGACTATTCCCCTTCAGAAGATAAAGTCTATTGTTTTCTATGCTTTGTTTTTGGTAATGGTCATCCTGCACTAACTACTGAGGAGTTCAACAATTGGAAAAGAGTTAATGATGGAAAGAATTGTATATTTTTTTACTCACGTCGGCGATCCATCTTCATCGCATAATACTTGTGAAAGATTTATAGAGAATTTGATGAACTCATCTTAACATGTCGACAAAGTTATTAATAGACAATCAAAGGAGGATATTTTGAAGAATCGGTTACAACTCAAGAGACAACGATAGAGTGTGTTCGTTGGCTTACATATCATGCATGTGCTTTTAGGGGTCATGATGAATCTTTGGATTCTAAAAATCGTGGAAATTTTATTGAAATAATAAAGCATACAACAAAGTTTAATGATGAGGTGGCTGGGAGCTACTCAGTTGGGTTCTCATTATGATTCTGTTTGTGATTTGATAGATGTGTATGATGCAGTTTGTACGGTTCATGAGAATATAAAGAAAGATGGATCCACAAGATCCTTACGTGGGGAGGCTATTGGTGCATACAATGTGATTACACAATTCGAATTTGTATCCATCTTGCATCTATTGCAGGAAATTATGGGACTCACATGTATCCTTTGTCGAGAATTACAACATAAGTCTCAAGACATCGTGAATGTTGTGAACCTAGTTGGTACAACAAAAGGTATCCTTCAAAATATAAGATTAACTGGTTGGGAAACTTTTATTAAGAAAGTAAATTTATTTTGCAAGAAACAAAACATTGATATGCCTGATATGAATGCTCAATATAAAGTGGGAACTGGTCGTTCTTGTCAGCAAAAGGACAATATTACAGTTGAGCATCATTACCGCGTTAACAAATTCAATGGTGCAATAGATTTTCAACTAGGAGAGTTGAACAATAGGTTTACTGAATGGGGAATGGAACTTCTTATTCTTAGTCCAGCTTTGGACCCTAGCGATTCTTTTAAATCATTTAACATTGACAAAATTTGCAACCTTGTTGAGAGATTTTATCCTAAAGATTTCACCAAAAGACTTACATATTTTCATATGCGAGTTGAAATTTTACGAGGAAGATGTACCTCATCATCCTGTACTTCCAAAAGTGTCTACTCTCTCTGAATTATGCCGAGAATTAGTTGAAACGAAAGGGTCACAAAGATATTATTTGATTGATAGGTTGATCCGTCTTGTGCTAACTCTCTCTGTTTCCACGAAAACTACTAAACAAGCTTTTTCAACTATGAAACTTGTTAAAACAGCTCTTTGCAACAAGATGAAGAATGAGTTTTTAGCATATTCTATGATTGTCTACATTGAAAAAGAACTTGCTTACAGTATCGATTTAGATGCAATAACAAAAGATTTCAATTCTCTCAATGATCACAAGACACAACTTCAATGGATACACTTTTAATATTCATTTTGATCATATTAATTTTTTGTTGTTGCATTTAATATGTATTTGTTTTATTCTAAAGCTTAGTGGAAATTAGTCATAGCTATGAATTAGCGTGGTTTATATGATTTAATATATACTTTTATTTTAGCTAGCCTAACTATCTCTCCCATCAAATCAATAGAAAAAGTAGTCAAGCACCCATCAAATCCTTCCCAGTCTCAGTATCCTTGGCGCCCATTCTCCTCTCTTCAACATTAGATGCAGAAGGTGTATATTTGTTATCATTACCCTTGTTATACATATGTACATTATATCTAAATAATGTACATATGTATAGGAATAATCCCTAAGAAACTCTTGGTACGCTAAGTAAGCAACTATAAAATGGAGTGATTCTTGGTGCAAGAGAGAGGGAGAGATGGAGAGAGAGGAAAAACATAGATGAAGGAAAAGGGGGTGGGGCGGTAGCAAGGAAAAAAACTTACTTGTAACGATGATTGCACTGTTTTGTTATCACTGACCAATAACATCATGATACGTGAAAAAATTATCTAACATGTCATTGTGTTATTGGTCGGGGATAGCAAAAAGTATTATCTCTATTGCATGAGAGTTTTTCTTGGCAATATGGGGCAGGGCACTGCCAACATTGGCTACAGTATTCTTCTTTCTTTTTTTTAGTTTTTTTTTCCTTAAGGGTAAAATTGGAACCTAATGTCCAGCTGGAAAAACAGTTTTTTGGACCTTGTAGTTTTTGTGAATTACTTTTCGCGATTTGTGTGTTGTTGCAAATTGCAATTTATGGACGATACTTAATTTCGTCAAATTTCGTTGATAAACCTAAACCATTGCTTTCGAATTGCAACGATTGATATGTAATTTGCGGAAGTTAAAAACTACAAGTAGAATAGGAACTTTGGACATTTAGGACATGTAAATAGATATCACCTTTTGAGATGCCCTTATCACCTTTTGAGATGCCCTTTTATTTTTGGTACAATATATTGGGGAAAGGGAGTTTACACAAATATTCATTGGGACCTTGAGGGTTTCGAGCCTTTGCCAACATGAGTGGAGGTAGAAGGCACCTTTTGAGATGCTCTTAGGAAAGAAATAACCTACTCCGTACCCAAATCGCACTTTGGTTCTTTCCTGCTCCTGAGTCTCATTGTATGACTAACAAACGTGAGGAAAAAAGAAAAGAAAAGAGAGGTCATATGATAGGGCATGCCGTTGTCGATCAAATTGATGGAAATTAGAACTATGAATAACAGACCGCAAGCAAATGCAGAATAAAGAATGGACCAATCGTAATTTAACCCATAAAAACATCAGTCAACATTCTATTGCACTCAATAGGGTAGGACCCGCAACATGGCAGATTAAGATTAGCAAAACAAAAAGGTGTGACAAAATTGATCACTCTGAAAATTGGCTACTAGAGTAGACAGTGAACTAAAATAAAAGATAAAAAAATCTAAAAGTGCATCCCTTTGCTACAATTGTCATAGACCATAGACAATAGTTCTATCTTGACCACTGCCCTTGTTTGTTTGAGCCGTATTCAAATTCAATTGCCATGCAGAAACGTAAACATCAACCTATGCCCAGAAAATTGCCAGAATACTACTTGGATAAACCATGAATCTCAACAAAAAAATTCTCAGCACCTTGATGCGTGTCATTCTGGCACAAAAGTTATAAGCATTTTCCTATAACCAACAACTGAACGATCCTCATGACATGAACTAACGTGTCAATTCATCAATTTTAATCTACACCACGGAGAATCTTCTGTACCAAAGAAAAAGGTAATTTTCTGGCATAATCCTATCTTCAGTAATCAGGCTGTTTTCACCTTACGTGATGGAGGTCTTCGAAATAAACTGATCAGATCATCAAGACCCTGCCGAAGAGCAGCACAGAAATTGAAAAAAATTCAGATTTCTGCTCGTATTCCATTCAAAAACTACTACATATAATATGAGAGAATGGCAAAAAAGAACTTCGATGCTTTGATATTGTAAGGATTAGGAACAATACCCTAGTTGTGATGACAAGGAAACTGAAAAGTACTATCAAATACGATCCCAACACCAGAAGCAACAGCAAGTCGAATGTCACACTAGCAACCTGAAATAACATGGGTGAACTGATTAGTTGAATGTCCCATTTCTACCTGCATATTGTTTCTATGGCAGTCCAAACATAAAAATAAATAAAACTTTGAAAAGACTTATTTAAGCTTAAGCATAGATATTGATGGTCACAGACTGCCTTGAAAGTATATTAAACCAAGAAACTTGTAATTACTAATGGGCATTGATATAGGGGCGGGAGATGGAATTGTTATACTCTAAAACTAGCAAGTATAAGAAATCAACATAAACTAGCACAAAATTAGAACATTTTCTTTTTTCCAGTACACATTTAGTACCTGATATACATTAAGGCTAGCTCTAGTTGAATCATAGAAAGTAAACATCCCGTCAAGCACCTCATGCTGCACATTCACCTCATCGGTATGATCTTCCAATTCCTGTCAATAATATAAAATCTGACAGGTCACAAACATATACCAATGAAACGAGGAAAAACCAGATTTATTCTTTAACAGGCAGGTTGGTTTAAATTTTCCTATTTGACCATAAGGTCCCTCCCTTCCCCCGGTCTTTTATTTGTTTCTCTTTCCTCAATTATCCCATGGTCTACAACAGTATATCCAACCCCACCTACAATGGTAGCCAGCACACCAGTTGCTATCCTTCCCCAGTTTCTATCCTGTGCTCTATTTATGACAAGTTTTCCATGCTTGCATCATATTCCACATATGAAGTCTAAATTTAGGTAATTTGTTTGTTCATAGCCTACATTTAGGTAAATTTGAATTCAGAAAGTAATTTAATTTAAGAAAACCCAAAAATTTGTACAAAATGCATAATCCCATAGTTGCATATTGAGCGCAAAAATGCAACTTATTAGACCAACAAAGTATCATTGACAAACTTCTGAAGGTTGAACTCAAGAGATTGTCAACAATAGAGAAACACTAGATGCTTCCAACATATTCTCAAATTTATAACTTGGTTCTTTTTCATACAGTAAGAAAACTAGAGAACATATATGGACATATTTAATAAATATTAAACAACTATCAGCACAATATTGAGTGAAAGCAATTGCATATTTGAGCTATAACCATGAAATGTATGGAAAATATGAAGATGGTAAAACCTTCTTCAATGCCAAGATAAATGGGTCATTCTTTGATAAAAACGGCGCCACACGGGGTGTTTGTGACAAGAGATCCAACCATGACTTTATGTAAGAAGGATTGACTGCTAGACTACTGTTGTCTGCAAAGATTTGGACGTTCTTTCCTTCGTGACCATAGATATGCCTCTGAGTACAATAGAGGAGAAACATGCAGAAAGATTATAAACAAATAACAAAAAAGTCAGAAATCAATTACTTCCGATCTATTTAGTAAATTTTCCGGTTAACAATATTCACTTCTATGGAACATATTTTAGCAATTCATATTCCAGAATTCACATCGTCTAACACTTGTTGTTCAAGAAACTATTGACATATCAATGTTCATTTTATAATGTGAATTGATAATGGACCTGACCTGAATTAACTGTGTACATGAATCGAAAGACACACAATTAGGTCAAAATCCTTCTAAAAAATATATCCAATGACCAAGATTAACTACTTTTACAGTGTACAGTAAAGAACAGGTTTCTTAATCAGATTAAGCTAAAGTTTCTAAATAACATGATGTTTATCCTTAACGCCACAGCACATGCTGTTTATCCAGACGAACCTCATCATGCCTCTCAGACCTACCAGTTTAATTGTCAAACACCCTGAATGTTAACAGAAAATATTCCACATAAACCTCTTATCCTCAGAGGCTTCAGGTATCTCTGAAACATTTGTAAACATTCTATCTCCTTCAATAGGACCAAAAAAGAGTAGCACACACACTTACAATCAATAGCAAGTAAGAACAGAACTGTATGCTCCTAGAGATCCTGTTAAAACCAAGAAGCGAAAGCAACAAAAAGAAAGAAGTTAATTTCCAGATAAATTAGCCTTACCGCAAGGCTCTCAGCAACTAATTTGACACTTTTAATGATTGCAGCTTCATTCACGAATGGTCTGCACAAAACCAAGATCTCAGCAAAAGACCACTTATAATATATGTACCAGTAATAAGAAGTGGGTCTAAATAAATATAACCTGCCATCAACCAGACTGCCAGTACTTTCTAACAGTTCAGGAGCAACAGAGAGTTCAGAAAGAGTGGCAGCAGTAACTCTCAGCCGTGAAAACTGTTCATGCTCCCAAGCTACCTAGAACACGTAAAATGGTTTATCACCTGGTATAAACAGTAGGGTACAGTGCAACAAAAACACATCATGTTTCTAGCAATGGACTAGTACTTTGAAGAAGGATGCACCCAGATTGATTTACAAGCTCATGGAAACACAAAATAAGTAGCGGCCATTTTGGTTGCAGCAGCAAGAATATATAATTTTAAGAAATCAATAACTTATCTTCTTAAGGTATGACCACAACATAGACTGAACCAGCAAAGTATGGTAGAGGAATTGATTTTGTGGATGACAGTAAAGATGAACACAGATTAAAACTTGCAATGAGCCCCAAGCATAACCTAGTAATAAGTTTGATTATCCTGGAGCTGATTTTAGGTTAAGAGGTATGCAGTTATTTTCTCAAGTTGTAAATGTTTTCCATGATATTTCATTACAAGAAGATATTACGCCCAATAAATTTCCCTGTCAAAGCCAGTAGTTGAAATGATTAGGGGTATCATAGTTTTCCTGGTCGAAGAATTTCAGAGATAACCTGGGAAAATCAATGCAAACTACTTGCTGAGTTATAATAAATAATAGCTATATTGTTGCATCGAACGTGCAAGATAACCAAGCATCTTTCCTAATTTGAGGCATTAAGCATTATACTTAAACATAGAAATTTTTCTCATAATCATTAAATTGTGAAGACATGACATAACAAAATAGTCTTGTTTGTTTACCACAAGATGGCATTTCAAGTATATCAACTTACTCGAGGATTTGAAATATTTATCTTCTTGTGCTTCAGACCAACTTTAACGCCCAATTCTTCTGCTACATTAGAGAAACCCTACAAGAAATCCCATCACTTAAACAATGTAGTGCAGCAGCAGATCTCAAGGTAATTTACCCGTACATCTGTAGTATGTTTTGTAAAATCTTATTTGCTTACTTCAAAAATTTGTTTAATGTAGGCATTCTCTGGAGGCTTAGACACATGAATCCACAAGTCATTATCCCATGATCCAATACTATTCAAGCAAATAGCATAGTCAATACTCTCGCGCTGGCGTTGATCAAAGCTCCGAAGCCACTGTAAAATGCAAATAACTAAGGTAAGCAGACAAAAAAGATAAACAGAGGGGCACTATATTTAAGAAAAGGGAATAAAAGACTTGATGAAAGAAAATGAAAGTTGAAATAAATCGGGAGGAGATGAGCACCTTATGAGTTCCATTGTAATTATAAGGGCCTCCTGATGTTAACCCGAAAAGTAAATTGTACCTTCCTCTTGTCTTAGGATTGGAGTAAAGAACAGAAAATAACCTAGCAATTTCAAGAAGTGCCACAACACCACTTCCATTGCTATCACTTCCAACTGATAAAGCCTACAAAATAGACGAAATTTTAAACCTTTATAAAGTTATAAGTAGCTGAAATAATTCATGATATGCTGTAAAGTTACATACAGGAGCTGCCCCAAAAGTGTCATATGATGCTACTATAGCAATAGTTGGAAGTTGATTTGCATCTCCATCAGTTTTGAATCCTGAAAGCCATCCCTGTACTCATTCAAAAAGAAACATTCAATTTCCAAACTAGGGGAAGCAAACTAAGCACTATCAACTGGATCTTCAGTCTTCCAAGAAAGATTCCATTTAAAATTATGCTACTAATGAAGACAGTTGCTAAAACGGATTGCAGAATAAGGTAAAAACTACAGCTGAAATCTGATTGATGCTCAGACATGCAATGGTATTCAGTACTATTGACATCTGATGTCAGTCATTACTATCTCCTAGGTATTAATATAAATACAGAACTGAGAAATCAAATAGGCTTGGCCGGCCATCTAGTTTTAAGAAGTGGAGGAGTAAATATACAACGAACTCGCTTCACTTTAATGCATTACAATGAATTAAAATGCTAACTAGCTCATATGCGCATGAGAATGGTATTTCTGGTTGCAACATAAATTATCCACCTATAACTAAAAGGATTTGAAACACCTTTTGAGCTTAGCAAGGCTACAACACCTCCAATGCAGGAAAAGGCTGTGACACTCAAATCCTATGAGATATAACTAAAATCAATACATAGAGAACTAATAATTCCTAGGTGATTATCCTTATTATAAGATCATATGCCAAAATTCTTACCAATTTTACATTCTTCAGTCAAAGCAGCTAAACTGTCAGCCAAACTAACAGCAAAGCTTTAGTCTTCTACAGGGGAATGTACCCAATATAACATAAGAGCATCCGAGGGTAAAGTATAATTACTAGTCATATTTTAAGATAAAGCAAGTCATCTGTGGAAATATAACAAACCTAATACGAGACTTCAAGGGTACAGCAGAATTGATAATCACATTTTTAAACTGTACCCTCAAAGTCATAGTTTCAGATATACTTCCAATATCAAATTAACTGTTTTAAACTTTGGATGGGCATAAATATGTGCTGAAATATCTGAGACATGAGATATCCGATATGGATACTCTTTATAGACGTGTTAATGGAAGAATAACATTTATTGCCTCCTAAACAATATAACTTATGAAAAGCGAACAAATGTGAAACCAGCATAACAACGAAATATAACAAACCATACTACACTTCCTTGATACTCTTACATTGTGCAACACATGTATCATCAATTTTAGGATATGAGATTTTTACAAACATAATAAAAATGTTATATGGGTAGAAAAACACAAAGAAGGCTTAATAAGATATGTTCCAACTGTTACAAGGTAAATAAAGGAGCTAACAGATATTTCCATACTCTACTGGTTTAAGAAACTGCTAAGATTAAACTTAGATGAACTGACAGGGATATTAATAAAAATAAAAAGAATGTGAGAAACAAACAAATAAAAAAGTTGAGCTTGAACCTGAATGTTTGTGATGGTGGGTGATGCACGTTTCTTAGGTTCTGGCACTGAAACAACAAGCTTATATCTGCAAAACCAGAAAAGACAGAGAGATTCAGAGTTGTGCTATGACAATTAAACAAAACACCTCCTAAAGCTCATGCCAAACAAGGATGTATAAGTATAATTGAAGTTAAATGGTATTGGCATAACTAAAAGGATAAATAATACACTCATGTCAACAATGAAAATCAGACAGTACCAAAAACAGGATTCTATGCATTTACTTAAAGCGCAATAAAGATCTTTAAAAAGGACAGGAAGAAGAACAATAAATAAGGTCACAAAATATAATGAATCGTGATCTAACAAACAAAGAGAATTAGAACAGAAGTTTATTGCTGCATAAGTTGTACTTGCTTCCAGTCATATTCGATAAGGACTCCTGAATCAGCAACCACAGATATATTTTCAAGTTTCAAAATTTCCAGCCCCGAATAACTTTTTGGTGCAATGCACAATCTTACTTTAATGACCTTGGCCTCCAAAAGATTTCATCTACGCACCTCTTTTCTTTTATTCTATACCTCTCTATCATCTGTATCCTCCAGCTGGTTCCTAGTCCAAACCAGCTAACCTCTCATCTTTTACTCTTTACTCTGTGAAGTAGAATTTTTCTCACTTTCTCCAGCCAGCATACCCTCCAAGAATTCTACAGCCCTTATCCATCCTGCTGGTGTTATACTGTCACTTTTCCTACCTCAATCTCTTCTTTTTTTTTGAGAAACACAAAATTATTAAGACGATAAAAACTGAGTAAAAAACTGGAGGACATGTAGTCCATCAGGAACAACCAAACCAAATCCAATCTATCCCCACAAAACTAAACTGGGCCAAAAGTAATGGAACCTTAACCCACGAAATCAGACCAATCTGGAAAGATCAAGCTGAAATCCTTAAAATGCTTTGATACATCCAAACAACTGAGTCAAAACCTACTAGCAACTAGTAAGCTGCGCCAAGATCCACCAGCAGTGAGTAGCTATGCAGTTTTATTTTAAAGTAGTTTTGGCCGCCACTCCTCCACAATCCTGATCAACTTGGAACAGAAATATTTTCCTTGCAAGCTTTACATCCTTATAATGGCATTCTATGTATAATCTATAAGGACCCGAACTCACTCTGGAGGCCACCCCTCCAATTTAATCAGTCTCTCACTAGAACTTACTCTCTGTAGTGACCGTCTTTTTTAGGACAGATATATCATCGACAAGAAATTCATCAAAATATATAGTATCCATATTATACTATGCAGCTATCTGTCTAGGGATAAGTTCCATGGTTTCAATCAGAAAGCCATTTACTTACCCGCCAGTAGTTGCAGTAGCGGGTTGACCAGTGGCATCATTCCTCTTGACATCAGCCAACACAGCCTCAATATCATCATCTTCAAAAGCAAAATACACAGGATACTGTAACAGAACATACCACCACAAAGATGTCCTTCAGACAACAACAATTTTAAGAAACGAATAAAATAATCAAAAAGTATCTAAAACTTAAGAATTACTCCCATTGTAACACTTGGATGCCCCAAACAAACCCCATTTAAGCACTACATCACAGAATTGCAGGAATTAACATATTGTAATTTCATGTATGGATGAGGAATGCAATTCATTACATCTGAGACTAGAACTTATACATATTAGATGAGTGTAGATGCCCTAAAACGGTTCACAGTTCATAACTTCGCAGAAAAAGACTGGTGAATTTATTTTTAAACATGTGATTGCAAAAGAGCAAATGCAACACAACGAACAGATTAATATAATTGCCTATTACGCATGCACAACAAAGAATAATGCCTTTACTCTACTTTCATTGAGGGGTAATTTACTTCAAAGTCAAGATGCAAGACATTACAATCAATGAAGATAAAAAAATAGTGGGCTTGGTTCCTCTGAAAAATATGATTTTGTAGGATTTCAAAAAGTACAAAACCTTATTAGTTAAAGCCAAACAGTTAACAAGGTTCGGGTAACTAACAAATAGCAGCAAGTAGCTGCTGCTACCAAATTCCTGTTGAGCTGATATGCTATAATGATCAAATAAAGCGCCTCAATCGTATGGTATGCATCATTCACTAAAGGAAAAAATTAGGAAAAAAATTAATCATACATCTTAAACCCAAGAAAGCAACCGGAAGACTGAGAAACGAAAACATGTAGTCAATTTGATAAATTATATATAGAATGTTTTGAGGAAAACAATAGAAGCTAGCTTAAAAGCAATCATGAAGCTAAATACAACAGCATATGCAAAAGCACATGCGCATCATAAACCATAACTAGAGAGGTGCAAGAAACAAACAGCAGAAAGACAACTGCCTTCAATTACAAAGAATAAGAAAACTTATGGTAAGAAAACTTATGGCTGTTTGACTTACAGGTATCTTGGAATGTATAAGTAATTTTTCAAGTTCGGCCAGATCATTCTTCAATAGCTCCACTCCATCAGTTTGATGATTACTTTTTGCCCTTTCTCTATTTTCTATATTAAATATTTGGGGCAGCAAAAACAGCAAACCTCCCAGAGGCTGGTTTTGAGTAATATATTCTGCAATATGATTAACAATCTCAATTAGCAATCAGCAATCTGAAAAGGAAAGTTGGTTGACCGACTTAGCTAAGGCACTTATAGTTTAAGAATATGGGATCAACATTCTTATTGAGTTACTCAATGATCATAAATTTAAAATTCAAACCGTCATATCTTATTGAGTTACTCAATGATTATAAATTTAAAGTTCAAACCGTGATATCTTATTGAGTTACTCAATGAGCATTATTTTAGTTCAAAATAGTTGCTCAAAGTCACATATTCAAACAGCCCCAGTATTGTAGCAGTTCGAGGTGGCATTTACTGTTTGTCATATGCGGGGCTTGTACTAATTAGCATTTAGAAAGTAAAAGCATCGAAATTTAAGCACTTCTAAGAAGCATTCACAAACTTAAGTGATTGTACACAAATGGCCTCACCAATCTCACTTCACTCAAAAGACTAAGAATACACACATATTGGAGAGCCCAACTAAAAAAAACATGAGATTTATTCAAAATCGAAGATTACCCACATAAATGCATAAAATATAGAAATACATGAGATGAAAAGAAGCACTACCTTTGACGAAGGAGATGTTGAGTTCACGTAAGGGGATGATGAGGACAGTGCGGGAGAGATCAGAGCCAGGAGCGAATTGCAAAGAACCAGCATGGTGGTTGAGGTTGGCGAGTCGAGATCCGAAAGGAGCACCGGAGATGTCATACTGGATCAGCCGATACACGTCGACGACTGTAGCGGCGTCGCATAGCTCAACGCAGGCGACGAGGATGAAGACGAGAGCAATCATCGAGTACATCGACTCCAGCACTTGGCGCTCTCCGCCAGGCTTCGCTTGGGCCATGGCCGTTATCTGATTGCGATCTGCTCTCTCTGGTCTCTAGGGTTTTGGGATCGGAGGAATCAAAGAGAGAAGTCAGGAAGAGAGAGAGCGATGTAAATTATAAACGAAAGAAATCAGAAGCAGGCTGCTGCTGTTGTCACGTTGTGTGATTGTGTTTCTGGTGTGAGGAGTGATAGTTTAGTGTGGACTGACCCTCACTCAAGTCCCCCCTAACTAATTTGATTTTAGAGTGATAGTTTTGTTTCTGGCTAAACTCAAATTTTCACCCTTCAAAATACAACTATTCATGTATTTTCATGATTCAAATTTTTTTTTTCCTCCAATCTTGCAGACCCATGATTTGAGTCCGCAACTTTATTAAATTATTTAAGAATTATTAATCCCTAAATTTTTTTTCTCGTTAACTTTTCTTGACATTATTTTTGTTTCAACATTCGTGATTTAATTTTCTAAACATTTTAACATAAAAAAATTAAAATTCTAAAATATAATAGAATTTCACTTAAAAATAAAAATAAGTACAACAACATTTTATTTCATGGGCTTTGAAAGTAAAAACAAGTAGCACACGATTTATATTAAAAATAATGGAACCACACGATTTTTTTTAAAGCGGCAACAATCCATGGAGTTGCTACTTTTGCGTATGCCCGGAATAATTCGAACCCTTCATTGAACCATTGCCATAATTGTCTTCCATGAACTTTTGCCCGCCTCCACTTGTGTTCTTTAATTATTTTCTGAATTATTTCTCATCTCATATTGTCTTGTTTCAATCTTGTTCTGAATCATTGCTCAACTTTGTTCATCTCACTTTATTGAATTCCCTTATCTTTCCCTATCTTTTCCTATATTTTCTTATTTTCATTCAATTATTTCAAACATTTAGGTCATCTCATTCTCGTCTATTTAAGAAATGTTATTCAACTGAATTGACCACACAATCTTCTTCAATCTCATGCCCCTTCTTACAATGAATTCACGTGGAATGTCATACAAATTTTCTTCAATGATGATTCTGATGATGATGACCTTCATCAACAGAGGGGTGCAATGGCCATTCAAAACCATACGTTTTTGTTGGAGCAATATGCTCAACAATCCAAACATGTTGTTTCTATTATTGGCCGCGCATAGTCTTATGGAAGACTACTTCTGTGAAATACTACTTTATCCCCTAGTGGACTTTCGCGGACAGTTCCATGTGAAAAGAGAGCTTTTCTATTGCATCTTGAATGATGTTGTTGCACATGAGCCATACTTTACACAGAAGATAGACGTTTGTGGATAACAAAGTCTATCCCTAGAGCAGAAGCTAACGGCTATTTTTCGAATGCTCGCATATGGATACTCGGCAGACTCCACTGACGAGTACTATAGATTAGGTGAATCTACAGGCCTTGAATGTTTGCGAAAGTTTTGTTCCTTTATTGAAGTCGTGTATGGTTAGTGATACCTCCGTTCCCCAAATTCGGCCATTGGCCAACCTTTACAAGCTCTTGCACAAGGCTAGTTGCAGAGGATTCCCAGGCATGTTAGGCAATCTTGACTGCATGCATGGGGACTGTAAGAACTGTCCCACTGCTTGGACAGGCCAGTTTACCGGCTATAAGCATAAGCCAATTGTTGTTCTAGAGGCAGTGGCCTCATATGACACTTGGATATGGCATGCCTTTTTGGAGTCGCCGGATTGAACAACGATATCAACGTCTTATCTCGTTCCCTGTTGTTCAATGATGTAGTCAATGGAGTGTCTCCCCATATCCAATATGTTGTCAATGGAAATGAATACAATCTGGGTTATTACTTGGTTGATGGTATCTACCCTTGTTGTGCTACATTGGTTAAGACGATTTCCTAACCGAATACTCTTAAAAAAAAAGATTATTTTCCCAAAAACAAAAGGCTTATATGAAGGATGTCGAAAGAGCTTTCGGAATACTTCAAGCTCAATGGGCAATTGTTAGGGGACCTGCACATATGTGGCGTAAAGAACAACTTCATTCAATCATGATGGCGTGCATAATATTGCACAACATGATTGTTGAGGATGAGTATCAGGATCTAGATGCAGAATCTGATGATGATGATAATTGTCCATGAACATTTAGAAGAGCAAGAACAAGACTTGCTTATGAGCTTGAGCCAACTATCACATACAATATAAACTGAGACAGACAAACTATCTTAGACTACATGGTCTGTCATAATAGAGTCCATGCTTCGCAAGTGCATCAAAATCTAAGAAATGATTTGATTACCCACATTTGGAGATGCGAAGGAGAGGGGCAATGAGCTATGTTGTGTGTTTAAATTTTGTAAGTGTGTTTAAATTATGTAAGTGTGTTTAAATTATGTTGTGTGTTTAAATTATAAAAGTGGTTGTGTGATTTTAATGAATTATGTGGTTTATCATCAAATTTAAAAAAAAAACTAATCATAGAAAAATAAACGACAATCATAAATAAAGATAAACGATAATTATAAATAAAGATAAACAACAATTACAAATAAAGATAAACAATAATTATAAATAAAGATAAACAACAATTACAAATAAAGATAAACACCAATTATAAATAAAGATAAACAACAATTACAATAACAATTATAAATAAAGATAAACAACAATTATAAATAAAAATAAACAACAATTACAAATAAACATAAATTAATAACCACTATGTGGAGGGCTTGGATAATAGTCTCCAGAGTTGTCTTCTGAATTGTAGGGGGAACTTGTATTCATCTAGGCCTCAAAAATTTTGTCATGCTTATTCCCCCAATACTTCTTCTTTCTTGGAGTAAATTTGGATAAGTCCATGGACATTATCATCTATTCATTGGCCTTCTTATCTTGTTGGATTTGATAGGCATGTTTCTCTTGTAGGAGCTCTAACTTTCGCCTCCTACCCTCCTTTGCCTCATTTCCTTGTTGAACCAATTCAGACAAAAACTTTCCACTTTGATTGAGATAACCTTCAACATTTCTTTCTTTTTTTATTTCTTCTTTCCAATTTCTGCCTTAGAGTGCGCATGACGCACATCATCTTCATCTTCCTTCCAAATTGACTGTATTGCGACTATGAGAAGAATCTTTGAATATTTATGTGGGAGATTCACATAGATCGTTCCATTTTGGGCAATATTTTAAGATTTTTTCAAGCATGATACAACTTGAAAGGCCTATTTGGAGGTTTATTATCATTTAAAAAAACTGTTTTTGCATTCATATCCTACCTATGAAATAAAATAAAAATCAAGTTAATAATTGCAAAGAATTAGAATTATAAATTTAAGCATTGAAAAAAATGGGTACTCACTACGTCTTCAAGATTGGAGCCACTTACGTGCCTTGCATTGGCCCTTGTCATACATGCCTTCCATAGAGAACATTGTTGGTTGATGATCTTGAACTGAGAAGCACTAGCTTGCGATGATCGAACCCTAGCTCTGCTCATGCTTGGATCATTTTCCAAAAAATTTTGGTACACACGCAACCAAAATGAGTAGTTTGATTGATTAGTGCCAATCAAAGGCAACCTTGGGCCAGGGCCACCAAGGCTACAGCCCGAGGCCCATAGTTGAGGGGGGCCCAAATTGTTTTTTAAAGCCTATGTATATATGTGTATTTAAAAATAAAAAAAAATAAAAAACAGAAGACAATTGCTGCCTAGTTGCTACCTGAGCATGTATACCAAAGAGGAAGCCATCAATCAGTCATTATATTCTCAATCTCAAGAAGCAACTTATTGAGGGAGAAAAGTCCCTTATTAATTACTCAATATAATATGAAACAAATAAACAAAATATGGGGAATTCAAAACAAACTTTCTTAGCCACAAAAAAAAGAGGAAAAAGCCATTCGACCTTCTCTGCTTCTCAAAAGTTCAACGCAAGCAAATTTTGTGTGTGGTGATTCTTGTCTTCTCCAACACACACAGAGTTGGATTCCACAAGCTAGATGTATAAATTTTGTAAATTGTAATACATATCTTTATTAAATTTTCATCTTTATTATTTGATTCAACAGAAAACTTGGCTGGAAGTTTTGTTCTTTATAATTAGAAGTTTCAAGTTGAAGAAAATATGCTCAAAATCTAGGTTTTATTGTTCTTTGTTAATTAGTTTTATTGTTTTTTATTGTGTTGTGTTTATTATAAAAATTAAACAATGTTTCCTAAGAAACAACTTTCCGGAAATCTTAAGAGACAAAGAAAGAAAAAAGAAGAAGAAATTGCTCAAAGTTTAAGAGGATCTTTGAATAAATATTTTGTTAAACAAACCAATACTCCACTTGAAAATTTAGATGAAGATTTACCAAATGAATATGAGCAACCAATTCAATTGGAAGAATTAATAGAAATGAGAATGATGTGAATGGAGAAATTGGTGATCTAGATGAAAATGAAAATATTGATGAACCTTTCCTTGATGAAAATGAAAATATTGATGAACCTTGCCATGAAAATGAATGTCCCGAAACAAGATTTGATTTGAACATTTATGATCCACGAGTTTGAGATAATCTTGATGCAAAAATGAGATATTTACTTGTAGAAAAAGGTCCCATAAGAGAAACTAATCTCAAATTCCTCATGGACGAATACAACAGACATTTTTCTTCAAATTATTATCTTCATACATTACCAAATGGGGAAACTAAGGATCGAAAATGGCTAGTATACTCAAAGGAGTTGGATAAAGTGTTTTGTTTTTGTTGTAAGTTGTTTAAAACAATGAATTCTAGAAGTCAGTTAACGAGTGAAGGAACTAGAGATTGGAAACATCTTGGTGAGAAGCTTAAACAAATTGAACATCTCACTAACTTGAGGTATTGTATTGAATTGCAAATCAGATTGAAAACAAATCAAACAATTGATAAAGAATTACAAGATCTAATCAAGAAAGATACACTATACTGGAAAAATGTTATTGTCAGAATCATCGCTATTGTGAAGTGTCTTGCTATACATAATTTGGCTTTTCGTGGAACAAATGAAAAAATTTATGAAGATGGTAATGCTAACTTTTTAGGCCTACTTGAAATGATTGAGGAGTTTGATCCAGTAATGCAACACCATTTTCGACTCATTCAAGATAAGAAGATTCATTATCATTATCTTAGCCATAAAATTCAAAATGAGCTCATAGCTATTTTAGCATCAAATGTTAAACATGCAATCATTGAAAAAATAAAAAAGGCTAAATATTTTTCAGTAATTCTTAATTATACTCCTGATGCAAGTCACAAAGAACAAATGACTTTAATATTGAGGTGCGTAGATGTTTCAAGTACTCCAATAAATATAGAAGAGTACTTTTTAGAGTTTCTAAATGTGGAAGATACATCGGGATTAGGGATTTTTAATGAATTGCAAAATGTAATTGAGTCCCTTACACTTAATGTTGATGATGTGAGGGGACAAGGTTATGATAATGGCTCTAATATGAAAGGGAAAAATCTAGGTGTACAAAAAAGATTACTTGAAATAAATCCTAGAGCATTTTACATGCCATGTGGTTCTCATTATCTCAACTTAATAGTTTGTAATATGGCCAACTCATGTGTTAAAGCAAAATCTTGTTTTGGAGCATGTCAATGCATATATACGGTATTCTCTAATTCAACAAAGCAATGGAATGTGTTACTTGATTACATAGAGGGTTTGACTTTGAAATCATTGTCAACTACACGTTGGGAAAGTCACATTGAAAGTGTCAAAGCAATAAAATCTCAAGCTTCCCAAATCAGAAAAGCTTTATTTAAATTAACAGAAATTATTGAAGATGCCAAATTGAGTAGGGATGCTCAGAGTTTCGCATTTGGAGAGCTTTCAAGTTTTGAATTTATATTAAGTTTGGTTATTTGGCATGACATTTTGCATAAGATTAACTTAGTTAGTAAAAAGTTACAATCTGAAGACATGCATCTTGATGCTGCTGTAAGACAATTAGAAGGACTTGTTTTATTTTTTGAAAACTATAGAATAAATGGGTTTATTTCTGCCATGATTGATGCTAAAGGAATTTCCCTTGATATGAGAATTGAGCCTGTATTTCCCAAAAAATGTCAAGTTTGTAGAAAAAAGCATTTTGATGATATTTCCAATGGTGATAGGGAACAACAATTAGCTGAAGAATTATTTAGAACTAATTATTTTCTTGTTATAGTGGATATTGCTATTGGTGAATTGAAGAGTAGGTTTGAACAATTGCATTGTTTTGAATCTATTTTTGGGTTCTTATTTGATGCTGCAAAGTTGACTTCGTTTGATGATAATGAATTGAAAAGTTTTTGTGTGAATCTTGGAAATGCTTTAAAACATGGTGATGTTTCTGATGTTGATGCAAGAGACTTATTTCAGAATTACAGGTGTTGCAAGTGATGTTACCAAAAGAACCCTATGAAACAGATAAACCATGGACAACCATTAAAATTCTTGAGTTTGTAAAAATTGTGGATATGTTTCCTAATGTAATGGTTGCTTGTAGGGTATTATTGACTATACCTGTGACTGTGGCATCTGCTGAAAGAAGTTTTTCTACATTAAAGTTATTGAAATCTTACTTATGGACCACCATGACTCAAGATAGGCTAAATGGATTAGTGATATTATGCATTGAAAAGGATATGTTAGAAAACATTAAATATGATAGTATAATTGATGATTTTGCTTCTAAAAGTGCAACAAGAAGACATTTTAAATGATGTTTTGTGTGGTTGAGATTTCATTGCTATTTTTATTTTGTAGGATTAATTGTGGAGGATGAAAAGAAGATTGATCAAATCAAGAAATGCTTATGGAGATTGGGGAGGAAGCATGTAGACTCAAATATGTAGCTTTTGATTTTTAATGCAATGTTTACAATGCGGGGTACTCTTTTTCCTTCGTTTGGGGTTTTGTCCCATTGGGTTTTCCCCAAACAAGGTTTTAATGAGGCCCCAAAGGATTCTTCCTTACCTTTTGTAAATTCTTATAATTTTAATAAAATTAATTAGTTGATATATTATTATTATTATTATTATTATTATTATTATTATTATTATTATTATTTGTGTTTAATTGTATAAAGAGGCACACTTGAAAAAATTTGCCATGGGCCTTAGAAAACCCAGGACCAGCTCTGCTGCCAATAGCCCCATCTTCAGAGATAGAAACCTACCATTTACACAATGCCTAATCTTCTTGTGGTTTCCAATTCACACCTCTTTGGGGTTTTGGGGTCATTCTCAATAAGAATAAAAGTAGAATGAAAAAAATATAATAAAGGGAGAAAGGAAAAAAAAATGATTTTTGGTGCATTATTTACCATATGAAATGGCTATTTATAGAGTTTGGAATAAGTTTTGGGGTTGGATCAGATCAAGATTAATTATAAATATTATTTTGACCGTTGGATTTAAATTTGAGCCATTGGATATGAAATTTTACCGTTCAGATTGCCTAAAATTAATCCTGATCATTGATGTAAAATATAGTTGTTGGAATAAAAAAAAACAGCACAGCTTTTGAATTTTTAGGCATTGGAATCAACTTGCACAAGGCTGCTAGCTGTGTCGCACTCTCTGTTGGCCGGACAGCAAAATTGTCACGCGGGCCCAACAACTTTTCTTCTTCACGTGGGCTTTCAAAAAAAAAAAAAAAAAAAAAAAAAAAAAAAAATTAAAAAAAGTTGGTTCTACATAAAATACCACTCCAGGCAAAACTTGGATTGGAATTCCACCCCAAATTTGACATTTCTCAAATTTCCACCTAGCAAAATATATGGGTTGGAGAAGAATTTTGGACTCAAAACTCATAATTTGGGTTTCCACCCCTTGAGTTGGAGATGACATTAGGGGAAGTCATGAATAGGAAACTTAAGAATTTTGCCATAAGGAATTGGAATGGGATCAACTACTCCCTAGTTGGTCTGAATCCTAGTTTTGAGGGTATTTCATTATGGATTTTACCATAGAACTTCCATAATTTTTGTATTCCATATGTTTAACGCATGGGAACTAAGGAATTGAATACCCCATGTGAAGATAAGTAAATATAAATGGTTAGGAAAAACATATTTTTGTAAGTTAACTAAAAAAATCAATAAACCCTAACGAGGTCTAGCCCAATCAAAAAGGGGCTTGGCTTCCAATTGATGCAACTATCAATAATGAATTTATTTCAATCCTTTTAAGTTTCATCTTTGAGAGATTAAAGATGTGTTGATATTGATACTCTATAAAAGTCATTATACACTCCTTCGAGTAGAATTTATCTCTTTTACTTTTATAATAGGAGAGTGTGGGATGCCTATTTGAAACTTTAACAGTTTTCTTTTTTTATCATTTTGTATTGATTAGACGGTTCTGACTCAAAGCCATCAGTATACTGTATATCTATTGGCATTACATTGTAACCATGTATAACCAATAATGTTATCTCAATCACTCATAGGTTGAATCAACTAAGGATAGTGTTGTTGTTATACTTTTAAGCCAAAACAAGAACTAAAACGATGAACAAGGAACAAGGAACACGAACAATTTAAGGTTTCCTCCAATATTGGAGTACCTCCCTAACCAATGGAAGCTTCTTATTAATTACCAAAGAAATACAAGAGAACACGAACCCAACAGCTCTCAAGTACACAAACAGATGCCTCACAAACTTATGTCTACACTGCTCCTAAGGTTATCTATTTATACTAAAAGATGACATAGGTTACAACCAAATCCTATTATACATAGGAAACCAAATCCTAGACTAAAAGTATATCCTAATAAAACTAGGAAATTAAGCCAATGTTAGCTTGCATCCAAGCTAACCCAAAAACCTATAGCTTTCCTTTTCCTACATTGATACCAATTTTAGTTTAGGCAGATATTGATTTTATGCCAATTCCAACAAACTCCACCCCTTGGCATGAAATCCATACCGAGACATTACAAGATCAAACTTGCTTCACATGCACCAAATTCAAGCAATGCTTGAACTTTGATACACCCACCATCTTAGTTAACATATCAATAGGATTATCTACTGTAGCAATTTTCTTGATACGAATGTCATCTTCAACTATCACTTCTCAAATAAAGTGATATCTCACATCTATATGTTTGATCCTTGCATGATGTACCTGATACTTTGCCAAGTAAATAACACTCTGACTATCACAATACACATCCAACTTGTGTTGATTAACACCCAAATCTTCTATCAACCCTAAAGTTCAGATTGCTTCCTTAATGGCCTTAGTCATTGCCATATATTCAGCCTCTGTGGTTAATAATGCAGCAGTTGGTTGTCATATTGATCTCCAACATATAGGACCTTTTGTCATAGTAAACACATACCTTGTCGTGGACCTTCTTTTATCTAAATCACTAGCAAAATCAAAGTCCACATATCTAGTTGAGAACTTTTCAACTCCTCCACAATTCTTCTCAAAACAAATTCATGTCTCCCTTGTTCCGTGAAGATATCTCAGTATCCATTTAGCAGTCTCCTAATGCACATTTCCAGATTGTGCATAAATCTACTAACAATTCCAATTGCATGAGCAATATCGGGGCGAGTGCATACCATAGCATACATCAACCCCCTCACCAAACTGGAATAAGGAACAACTTTCATCTTGACTTTTTCTTCCTCAGTTTTAGGGCATAGTTGAGTATTCAATTTAAAATGAGGAGCTAGTGGTGTACTTACATGTTTGGTTTCCTTATTAATTCCAAATTTGTGCAGCAACTTTTCAAGGTACTGTTTCTGCGATAAATACACCCGCCCCTCTTCCTATTTCTCGTGATCTCCATCCCCAAAATCTTCCTTGTCTCACCGAGATCTTTCTTTTCAAAATCTTTATGTATCTAAGCTTCTTGTTAATCTTAGTGATATCACTAGAAGCTATGAGCATATTGTTTACATAAATCAATAAGTAGATATATGCGCCTCCTCTCAGTTTCTTGTGGTACACACAATGATCATAATGACTCCTTGTATAGTCTTGATCTTTCATAAACTTATCAAATCTCAAGTATCACTGCCTGGGTGATTGTTTCAAACCATATAGCGACTTGTTTAGCCTGCAGACTAAACCCTCTTTTCCTTTTTCTTCATACTCTTCAGGTTGTCTTATGTAAATTTCTTCAGACAAATTTCCATGTAGGAACACAGTTTTTACATCTTGTTGCACTAACTCAAGATCAAATTGTGCTACTAGAGCAAGAAAAATTCGAATGGAGGAGTGTTTCACCACATGAGAAAATATTTCATTATAATCGATTCCTTCTTTCTGAGCATATTCCTTAGCCACTAGCCTAGCTTTAAACCGCACCACCCTTGCATCATTGACTCCCTCATTCTTTGCATATACCCATTTGCATCCAATAACTTTTCTTCCCTTAGGCAACTCTACTAATTCCCAGGTCTTGTTCTTCTTGAGAGAGAGCATCTCGTCATCAATTGCTTCACGCCATTGCTTCTCTTCTCTATTGCTTACTGTTTCGGTAAAATTTGTAGGGATATCAACTTTGATTACCGATAATGCATATGCCATACATGCAACACAATCTTTGAATCTGGCAGGGAGCACTATTTCTATTTTTCCTTTTTTTCTAGCAATGCAATCCTCTTGTGTTTGAATTTCATCATTCACAGCTTCTTCTTCATGAATTTCTTCTTGATCAACAACATTTTGTTCTTCATTCAGGACATTGCTCTTGGTCATTGATTCTTCAGATTCCTTTGTTACTAGCTCTACCTTATGGACAACATCCCGATTTTCTTAGAGTTTCATATGAGATTCATTGAAAGTCACATCTCTGCTCACAATTATTTTCTTGAGTTATGTGTTCCACAACCTGAATCCCTTGACACCATTATTGAATCCCAAAAAAATAGCTTTCCTTGCTCTTGGATCCAGTTTGTTCTCTTTCACATGGTAGTAAGCATTGCACCCAAACACCCATAGATTTTCATAGTCTTGAGCTATCTTCCCTGGCCATAATTCCATTGGAGTCTTACCATTTAAAGTTGTTGAAGGTAGACAATTCAAAATATGACATGCATAATTTAGAGCTTCTGCCCAAAATCTCTTATGTAATTTGGCCTGTGACAGCATACATCTCACCTTTTCCAACAACGTTTGATTCAACCGTTCTACAATCCCATTTTGTTGTGGGGTTTATCTAACACTTAAGTGACGAGTAAAACCCTCATTTTTGCATATCTCAAAGAAGGGATCAAATGTATGTTCCCCACCATTATCACTTCTTAGAACTTTCAGCTTCTTGCCAATCTTTTTTTCAATCATATTTTTCCATTCCAAGAAAATATTCAAAACCTTATTTTCATGTTTCATCATATATACCCATGATCTTCGTGAGTAATCATCAATGAATGACACAAACCATCTCTTTCCTCCTAAAGATTCATTCTTTGCAAGTTCCTATACATCAGAGTGTACATAATCCAATATTCCCTCAGTTTGATGTATTGCAGTGCCAAATTTCACATTTGTTTGCTTGCCAAGAACGTAGTGTTCACAAAATTCTACTTTGCCACTCTTGGCACCCTTTAGAACTCCTTGTTTAATCAATCCTTGTAGAGCTTTGTTTCCTACATGCCCCAACCTCATATGCCATAGAGAAGATGAGTCAATTTGATCATCATCTGCCGCCATAGCCACCTGTTTTTCCATACTCTTGCCCTCCCAAAAATAGAGCAATCCTCTTCTAGGAGCTTTGATCATCACTAATGCCCCTCTAGCTACCTTAAGTATGTTATTCTCATAATAAAATTTGTAACCTTGTAATTCAAGGGTGCCTAAAGAAATCAAATTTTTCTTTAGGTTTGGGACATACCTCACTCCATGTAGCTCTTGAATTACACCATCATGGTGCTTGATCATAACACTGCTAATTCCTTGTGTTGAACACGGATTATCATCACTCATGTATACAATTCCAGTCATTGTTTTAAAGGTTGAGAACCAATGACTTTGAGAAGTCATATGATGAGTGCAGCCAATGTCAAGCACCCATTCATTCATGTAATCCATGTTACCAGCTGCTGTTAAGGCACATACAAAATCCTCATCGTTGGTTTCAACAATGTTTGCCTCTGAATCTTATTTCTTCTTTCCTTTGTTTTTAGCTTTGATTTTAGGACAATCCTTCTTCTAGTACCCCTTCTTATGGCAAAACGCCCTTATCCAAGAATTTCCTATTGCTCGAACTCTCTCTCGTACGAGACTTGCTGTTCTTCCTATTGGAATATTTTCTCTCCTTTGATCTTCCTTTCACCATTAAAGCTTCAGAATTGTTCCTCTCTTTTCTATCAAGATTCCTTACCTCATGGTTCATCACAACACTTGAGATCTCATCAAACTTGTTTGTTTCTCTGCCATAAATCCACATCATAACGAATGATTCATAGGATTCAGGCAAAGAATCCATCAAGATCAAAGCTTTGTCTTCATCCTTGATAGTTTCTTCTAAATTCAACAGTTTAGCAATCAATTTGTCAAACTATTCGAGGCGATCAATCATCTTTGTCCCCTCCTTATATTGAAAACGATACAGCTTACTTTTAAGGTAAAGCCTGTTTTCAACACTCTTCTTCAAATACTTAGACTCCAAAGTATTCCATAGGTCCTTTGTTGATGAAATATTCATCACACCATATTTTTGTGCCTTGCCAAGACACAAACGAATTGATGAACATGCATGGGCATTTAGTCGTTTCCATTCCTCCTTCTTCATCGACACATGCATATCTCCAAGCACAACAGGTAGACCTTGTTGTATAAGCACATCCTTAACCTTGCACTGCCACATAGTGAAGTTATTGGTCCCAACAAACTTCTTGATCTCAAACCTAGCACTTTGCACAGTGGTTTTGGCTACCTCAGTGCCCTCGTTGTCTCCATTCTGACCAAAGTTTGCAGGCTTTGTCATTGTTTTGGCTTAACCACCGAACTTGGGCTCCTAATACCACTTGTTATACTTTTAAGCCAGAACAAGAACTAAAACGATGAACAAAGAACAAGGAACACAAACAATTTAAGGGTTCCTCCAATATTGGAGTACCTCCCTAACCAACGGAAGCTTCTTATTAATTACCAAAGAAATATAAGAGAACTCACAAACCAAACATCTCTCAAGTACACAAATAGATGCCTCACAAATTTATGTCTACACTGCTCCTAAGGTCATCTATTTATACTAATAGATGACATAGGTTACAACCAAATCCTATTATACATAGGAAACCAAATCCTAGATTAAAAGTATATCCTAATCAAACTAGGAAATTAAGTCAATGTTAGCTTGCGTCCAAGCTAACCCAAAAACCTACAGATTTCCTTTTCCTACATTGATACCTATTTTAGTTTAGGCACATATTGATTTTATGCCAATTCCAACAGTTGTTGTATTGACTTCAATGTTAAATTATCTCTGATTTGTTAGATCGAAGTAAATGTGTATAGAAATGTAGTTAGGTTTGTTGTCCATTATTAATTGACCAAGCAAGTAAAATTTTTATGGCGTGCTTAGAGTGACCAAGCAAGTCAACATTGCTCTATTGAAAGCAGGAAGCGAAAGGATAATTAGAATAATATATAAATGTGATGATGATTAAAGTCTTGTTCGATCTTAAGTAGAATAATCTCTATTATGTTAATGCCGGAAATTGGTTCAACGATCAGATCAACTTGTCGAGATTGAGATCATGCAATCTTTCCAAACTAACTTAGCATGACCAAGCAGGTCGTCCTCCAGAACAAGTTTTAGTGCTTAGAGATTACAATTTGTAAGTAGAAATTGAATAAGAACATACATTCAAGCAACACGAGAGATTTAAGTGATTCACCCTTAATTAGGTTACGTCCAAGAAGGTGTCTGGTGTTTTCATTATTGAATAAAGAAAGAACAAAGTACAAAGTATTTAATCCTCACAGCCCATAACCCATATCCTATTTAACAAATAATATTGAGGCATCTCAAGAAATGTGAAATTGATGTTGTAGGGTTGACTTGCCCTTTCAGACGATCCCTCTTGGGTTGGAGAGTCACCTTTATATAGTAGATGGAGATGACCTAGTCTTTGTATCAAGTTTTGCAGCGATGGCCTTCCCCTTCATGCAGCTTCGCTTTGAGTATGAGGAACAAAGTTTAATCTTTTAGGCGACCATCTTTACCACCATCATAGTTTCCAAGCATTGTAAATTGAAGTCTATATTTTGTGATAAAATTATTCATTAATATAAATTTGCTAAGTTTGTAGTCGCTTTGAAACGCGAACAGTACCTAAGACTTATGCACCAAAGAGATGGCAAAAACAGTTTGTATGATAGCAGGCCTCCACCAGGTTCGAATTTTGTGTTTGTTTGTGCCTCTCCCTGGTTTTGGTTGTGGATGCTTGTCTTTTAGCCTTAGGCTGAAATATGTTGTTTGTTTATCGATGAGCTCAATAAGTGTGGATTGTGAAATGTTGCAAAACACATGAGCCATGTTTTGCTTGATGAAAAATTAAACAATGTATCTGCTTTGTGCTATAAGCCACACTCAACTGCTCCTTAATACGTTTCCATGAATTCAATGCAATGCTCTCATTTTAAGTTTCACAAACATTGCCTTCCTCTGTTCGGCCATGTGTTTCAACTCAAAATAGTTTTCCAAACTGGCTTTAGCTTCCCAATGCAAATAATATTCTGCATGAACCTTCCAAGGGCATGAACAACTTCAAGTTTTCCTCCAACATTAAAAGATCAACCTCTATTTCAGTCCTTTCATACTAATTTATGTCTCCAGCATATCATTAAAGGGGTTCTTCTCGCCTAAATCAAGTGCCAGTGACTAGGTTTCGATCATACCATCTTCGTCCTCTCTGTACGTTGGGATCGATTTCCACTGCCAACATGACCTCTACCTTGTCCAACCTTGAATCTCCAGGGCAAGAGTGGCCCAGAACAACTCTATTATATACGAAGACTTGTACACGGTACTCGAACAAAGGTTACGACAACCCAGCATCCTAGCTGTTGATTACACAGATAACGTTTTCATCGTAGCCCTTCAGAATACTTAACTCACATGACAGGCACATCACCTATTTAAAATAACTAAGAGCATAACCAGTAGACCAGCAAGGCCTCAGCAAGCCTCCAGTACGCTCTTGCGTCACTTTGAAAGATTACTACAGGAATGAAGATCACTGCGAAATCTTCAGAACAAAATTGCCAATCTTTTAAAATGGTCAACCATGTTTTACATAAGCCAATTTGTTGTAAACTGTAACATAGGTTTTAGGCCACCTGCCTTAGGATAAACATTAACCATGAACCACTAGCTTTTGAACAGATCTTGCTAGAGAAACAGGGATAAGGTAGCTACTAGTATAACTTTCAGAAACTAACCTGAACCAATCAATCAAACAGGCATCAGCTCAGACCACATTACTTCATCTCAATCTTGAGGATGCTTCTCTTGTTTGACTATACATACATGCAGGATATAATACAGGTACTGACGAAGGAAAGCTAATTTTGTAACCTTATGGGGCAAAATTTCTGGGAGGCATGCGACTCTGCTTGTTAAATTATGAACAATGCAAAAGATCAAATGTTTCAGTCACTTCAAGCCTTCTTCATTTTCTGGAAAGATAAACTGTAAGTCTTCATTATCTCTATAAACTTGATAAAGAGCAGCAGCTTTATAGACAAACATCCCAAGCATAGCTGGCACAAGCTGTGAAGAAGAAGCATTAGTGTAAACAAGAAGAAAATAAACTTTCACCAGTATGAGTTCTTCAGCCTTTCTATGAATGGTCAAGTACATGGTTTCAGAAAAAAGTTTCCTGACACAAGAATAGCTACAAGGTTTACCTGGAAATCAAAGAGATCGCTGGCAAAAGATTGATGAGACAGAATCCACAATCCATATATTGCTGCTGGTATTACAAGCCTTGGAGATGAAAGAGCAATACCACAGCCCTTTATTGACTTCTCTAGAAAATCCTCAACATCCTCGCTTCTTATTCCAATTCTGGATGAGAGGATGAATGTATGTTTGAGCAAACCAAACGCAAGGAATATTTAACAAAAAGAATAAGACCAACTACCAAAAAGAAAGAATACAAAGTTGTTTCTGGTTGTACTTCTTGGTTTTCCTCTGCCTGAAAATTTGAGGGACTGCATCTCTGGATATATTGTCTGCTTGCTGGTACAAGAGTTTAAGGTACAAACAACTGCATTGAGAATGATATAGGCTATAAGTTCTTCAAGACAATCAAAAACGTAAGGAGCTGCATTAACAACTCATTCAAGCTGAACATGTCTTCTTATGGAAAGTATTTACCAATTCTTTGTCAAACTTTTCATGAAAAATAAATGTAAAAATAACAGCACACCTTAAGTAACTTTCCTTCCATTATTTTAATCAAGATTTTTGAAATATTATCATGCCATAAAGCTGAACCAATAACCCAAAGCATAATAGAAAAGGCATAAGTGTTGGTAAATTGTCATAGACTTAGTAAAACAAGAATTATGTCTAGATTATCGGCATAAACTATTGCTCTAGAGAAATAATCTCAACCTAATAAGTTGTATCAACAAACCTGAAAACAACTCCCGTAGCATAACTGACAGCAGCCTGTGCGGTAGACTTGCAAGTCAGTACTCCAAAACAGATACATACACTAAATTCACCAACGTCTAGTTTAACATAAAAGTGAATGAAAGTAACGAGCTACTGTGGATAAATAAGTTATGAGACTAGAAAATTTCACAAATACTTGGGTCAGCACCTTTATTGTGATATCTCAGAAAGTAATTAATATTCATTCTTTTCATCAACTAAACAGAGCACTCCTACCAGAATTGATGAAAGTCTTTCCTAAGCATGGTGGCAACAATAAAACTACATTTAAAGCTCAGTGTGTGTTTTCTTGAAAGGTATACCTGGAATGATAATGCTATTAAACAATACCCAGTACATGCGGTTCCAATACCAATAGATAATAGCATTAGCTCCCTCTGTAGCTGCAGGAAAGGACAGAGATTCATCACTTATTTTGTAAGACACCAAAAATCAAGCCACACCAATGTTAAACTGCAAACCAGCAAAAAACATATATGTATATGTATATTAATAATATTTATAAATATAGTTTTTGATGCAGGACGTGTAGGACCTAAATTTATTAGTTTCCTAATATATTTGTTAGTTTCCTAGATTCTCGAGTTTTCCAAATTCTAGTAGGATTTCTACTTTTCTAGATTTCCAGATTTCGAGTTTTAAGTTTCCTATTTTATTTGGGTTAGGATTTCTGTTTAAGCAAGGGATTTTTATCCTATTATGTCTAGGTTTTAGTTTGCTATAAATAACCCCATGTAGTTCTTTAAAATTCCATTTTGAAAATTGATTAAACCTTCTCTTAAAACTATGTGATTTCTGTCCGTCCTTCTCAGTTCTCTGATTTCGGTCCTTTCTTTCGTCCCTTTGATCTATATTTTCGTCTCCTCAACCTCCGATATTCTTCTTGTTCAACTGTTCTACCCTTTCCTTCGCCTTTTCGATCTATATTTCGTCTCCTCGATCTCTTATATTCTTCTATGTTCTATTGTTTGAGTGCTTAATCTAATACCTACAGGCTGTACTACTACATCAGTTTTTCTATATTAAGGATGCCTCTTATTGTAAGAAAAGGGCACACATATTCTTAGGACTACCCCACAATATATTTCAATGATCGGAAACCATCTATATTTTACATCATCCTTCAAGGTTATCCCTGCAAAAATTCATCCAGATCGGAAGTTGTTTGATCATCTAATGGCTAAAGAAGGTAATCTGTTAGATAAAGCTAAAACGAAAATGTCGATAATCAAATGGCTAAATAATTTTAGATTTATCATTTAGATTTATGGCATACATCATGAAAGCATACTCAATAGTTAACCTAAAGTAAAAGTATAGAGACTAATATTAACTAAACTAGAGATATATCTCTACGTAGGCTTTACATAGAACACGATATGTCTGATTACAATACTTAAAGCAATGTGTCCTCACGTTGCTGATGCATTTCGGACAAAAAAGCATTTACTCTACTGGAATATTCAAATAAACAAATAACAGTTGATTTTTCAACCATACAGATTGCTTTATGCTACAAAAGGCTTAAGGACTCAAGAATTGATAGTTTAATTTGATATTAGATTGAACACATAAAAGCTTAAATTTGATAGAGCAACCTATTGAGATCACAAATCGATAAAGATTAATCATATAGATAGCTTGCTAATAGTATTTATGACTTAACAATAAGGTAATTCTATTTGTATCCCTTAACTTGCTCGACACACACTCAGAATTCATAGTACCCATTTTAACATTTTCATTTAATTTTAACACGAAGAAGAAAAAAATGTGGCCTCCCTTCCCCTCCACTACCAAACACCATGGGTAGAATCCTTGCACCACAGCCAGAGGCTATGGCTGTGTGCCATGGCCAGAAAATACGATAAAATGAAAAATAATAGCAGCCTAACAATAATGCTGATATAATTTTGAGCCCATAACATCTACTTGATTGATCAGTATAAATGGAAGACATGAACTTAGAATTTATTCAAAGAGATGGTGAACATATACATTAGTTGATGTGCAAACACTGACTTCTATGTATTTGCATATATATATATGGCTTGCCTCTTATAAAGATGTCCACTATGTATATAGTGGAACGAATATAGACATAACCCATACTGACTTGCACAAAATACCAAGGAACATACTGGGTTCAAGTGTCATACAGCTTCATATTGAAGAAGGTTGAGTTTCTTTCTTCTTTCACTGTCATTCTGCAAGGCCTGTTAAGACAAGTAAAGTATGAACAGATAAAAATATCAAATCTCCCCTTGTAAAGGCACCATTTTGATTGAACAAATTTTGAAATTATCTTCCCTTTTCTCTTCCTTTTTTTTTGGTCACAATGGAAGTGTCGAAAGCAAGCATAAGAGAAAAATTAGAATGTTAGGATAACCAATGAAAGCATACCTTAGCAATGGCTTTTTTATTTATTGGTGCAGATATGTCACCTAGTACCCATTCATTGGTTCTTGACAATTTCAAAAACCCACCAGCATCATTTTCTGCAACCTAAAACAGTACATACATTAAAAATCGGAAAAAGAAAGTGAACACATTTGATTACTTGCCATTTTAAATTTGAAACAAACAAATACAATGTGATTTAGCACTTGGATATAGTAATGCTTGCTTGAGCAGATGAAGCAAATCCATTATTTATCAGGAAAAAAAAATGCAAAAAGTAAGTTCCCCCCCCATCTTCATTATGTTCATCCTGTTTTCCAACTGATTCAATGATCTAAAATCCATGCTCACAAGGTTTAAGCCTCAATGATTAAAATGTGTGCACCTCTGGACTACATTAACTTTCCCTCAGGCATTCACACATAAAAACTTTTGCTTTTGTAACTAAAGAAACTAAAAGCACCAGTATGAAGCTATCAAACTCAGTTAATGAAACCCTTTTGCAAGAGCCACGTACTGGAAGCTTTGAGGAAACCCATTTGCTAGGACCACATATTGGACATAAATTTGAACCCATATTTAGAATTCAGAATTGCTATGTTTGACCAAAAAGAAAACCACTATCTTCATTGTTTGATTCATTAAATCCCAACACTCAAGCATATCAACTACAAATTTGGAATTTTTACTAATCTTAAGCAGCTTGATTCATTAAATTACAGTGAAGAAAGCATGAAAGAGCTTTGTTGTCCTGTACCTGCTCTGCTTGTTGAGGAGTGTCAGCAAATCGGCCAACATCATCAGCATCAACAACAGATTTCGTAAATTCCTTCTGCCAAAACACATCCGAAACTTTTGATACAAGGTCTCCATTCAACTGTCTTTCCTTAAAGAACGCCTGCAGAACGTCCTCTTCTGCAAGTTCACTCACTGCAATTAAAAACAATTAAAATTAAAACTAAAACCCACGACATACAAAAACTGCCAAACGAAAGCGTTTCAAAAGTTACATTACATATATTTGATTAAGGGGATTACCAGGAGGTGGGCTTGTTCTTAGGGCTGAGACAGATGGATTTCTATTGGGAAGTAAACGATTACGGATTGGGAGAGTTCTTGGGAAGGAGAAGCACTCAACCCTGAGAAGGGTCCCCATTTTCCCTGTGACTGGGGTCTGTGGCCGCTTCTGTGTACGGTATCAAAACTATCTTGCTAAGGAATATCTAATGCAATGCAACGATGAGGGAAGTAGAGGGCTGCTGGATTTTGATTGGAGATAAGGTGGTGAGAGAATTCGTCCAAAATCAAAAAGGTTGTGACCCAGGGGCGTCACTAATTATCACAACAAAAAATATGACTTCAGATCTTCTGTCCCCATTTTCCCTTTACCATTTCTGTCCCCTATCTAATACTTTGACACATGTCCACCCACTTCACCACAATTTCAGAGTGTTAAGTCATAAAATTATTTTTTTTAAACAAAAACAAAACAAAACATTAAAGAAAGTGAGCTGATTTTTCACTCTTTTTTTCTCCATTTACAATCTCTTTTGTTTTTTAAAAAACTTTTTAATCAATTTTGTTTTTTTTTCTCTTTCCTATACCCTTACCTTATATTAATTTCTTTTTACTTCACTTTTATATTATTTCTTTTTCTTTATAATTAATTTTCCAACTTCTTCTTTATACTTAATGTAATATAAAAGTGAGGTAAAAGAAATTAATGTAGGGTAAGGGTAGAGAAAGAAAAAAAAGAACAAAATTGATTAAAAAGTATGAAAAAGAAAAATGGAGTGTAAAAGCACTAGCGGTGCCCCCAAGCCATGGCAATAGGGGGCCCAAGCCCCTATTTGAGGTTCCAGCGGGCTTCTACAACTCGGGCAGCTCGTAGACTCCACAAGTCTGGGCAGGCCTGAAGGCAATAATAGCCTGGGTTTGCTGACGTCAACAACGAAAAAAAATTAAACAAATCTATTTAAAAAATAAAAATTTAAGAATTTTTTTAAATAAATACTTAGTCATATTCTTCACTTCCCACACCAAATCTCTATACAAATTCATCTCTTCATATCTCATGTGAATAGTGATTGTCATGGCAATAAGAAGAAACACCACAAGCCTTTTGCAAGGGTTGCCACTATTCAAGTGAATAGTAACAATCATTGCCTTGCCCTTACCCTTTGCCATGACATATGGGTGGAAGTGCTCTAAGTGGAGAAAAAGGGAGTGGAAAAATCAACTCACTAAGGCCATCCCCAACCCATGAGGCAAAACTCAAAATATCCCAAATTATAGCCCAATTCCTCTCTCAACTCAAGAAAAATAAGGGGCTAAAATTTGAGAAAACCCAAAATTGGGGCCAATTACGAATCCAGCTATACCTAGACTGGAAAATTTTTTGGTGGAGCCCACTCAAGGCTGTCGCGCATTAGTGTCGCAACACTTTTTTATATATTTATTTATAATTCCAACAATAACCCAAATCAATGATTTATATTAAATCCAAGCTATTTTAAAGGTAAAAAAAAGATTCAAATGCTGAAATTTAAATCCAACGGTTAAAATAATATTTTAAATTAATCTAAATCTTATCCAACCCCAAAACTCACTCCAAACTCTATAAATGCCCACATATTTCTCACATAAAATTATATTTATGGAATTTCATTTTTTTTATATCAAATTGTTCAAAAAAATTAAATTATGAAGTTATTAAAAAGATTAAATGAAGAAAAGTTATCCATGAAAAAAATAAAAATAAGACTTAAACTATTCTTAAACAATTTAATAAAGTTGCAGACTTAAAATTTGAGTTTGAAATGTTGGGGGAAAAAACGGTATGAGTCCGAGCAAAACTCAAATAGTTACTTTTTGGAGGGAAAAAATTTGGGTTTAGCCCCAAATAAGTTGAAGAAGACCTTAGATGTACTTTTAGTTTTTAGTTTTTTTGAAAAATATTTATATATATATATATATATAATTACGAAACTGGCTAAAATGGTCATCTTGTAAAACAATTATTTAGTAATAGCCACTTCCACATATGTCATTCCAAAATGACCACAAACTATCTCGTATTTGCTTAGATGTCCCTCCTTTAAATACCTAAATCATTACTAGTAGTCCCCGTTAGTGCCCCAATTTATTTTGTGTAAACTCGTGTTGGTTTTTGGCTTTGTGGTGAGTTAAGATCCCATATACAGACCCAAGGCTAAACCCTTATTGCATCTGAACAAGTTGACATTAATGAGGGAGAGGTAAAACCCAGGTGGGGTTTTGGGTCCGCTAGCACACGGCGAAGCAAATCTGTCCATCTCGTTCTTATGGTGAACATTAGGTGCATTCCAAATTCGTTGTATGTGTGCTAAATTCGTACTATGCTATTTGTTTTCCTTGAATGATTGGATTTGTTGAAGTGTAGTATGTGTGGGAGCAAATACTTTCATTTCCTACCACAGCACGCCACGTGGAAAAGAAAATTATCTCTTAAATTAATTAATTGAACCAATTTATTTGGCCAATTAATTAATAGGGATAATATCTTAATTATAGGATATTATCTTTATTTAATAAGGTAATATCATTAATTAAGATATTATCATAATAAAAGAGATAATTATCATCAAATTAGGAGATTTGGATCCCAATCAAATCCCTCATGGACTCAATCTTTACGAATTTGGATAAAGAATAAACTCCTTCCTATAAGAATTTTATTCTCTATGAAACCCTAGCATCTGAGACTCCTATAAATAGATGACTTCATTCATCATTCAAGGTACATCTAAACCTACTCCTAAAACCCAAGGAAAATACCCAAAGCTCTCTCCCTCTCCAGTCTCCATATTTTCTCCACACGGCTTTGGCCACCACACACGACTCCTGCCGCCAGATTCACACCATGCATATATCTCCGTACCCTTTTGTTAGCTATTGTTTTCCTACAAACCCTCGAACTAACTTAGGCATTGAAGGGCCTTTGGCCAACACCCCCCGGGTATGGTCTATTTACTCTAGTCTTTTTAACAAGAATCGAGGAAGATAGAGAAGAAAGATTAAAGGGCGAAGGATCTAAGTGAATATTCTCCCGCGATATTTTTTGCACAAACATTTGGTGCTATCATTGAGAGCACGAGTTATACTCAACGCATGCTCAAGGAATCCGTTCCTCCAATTTTCCAATCCACCGAAGCCTTCCAAACAACCATGGTTGGAAGCAAGAAAACAAGGGGCAAGACTGCTGCGATGGCCCAATCCCACACCATAGCCGAGATTGTCACGACATCATGGCCATAATCGCTCTTCCTCTCAGTCCCGCGACTAGGAACACCATCTTGACACCCATCACTGTGCTACAACAGCAAGTCCCCTTAGTTGGAACCACCATGCAACCTGTTGGACCAGCAGCTGGGACCACCACATCGGCCTTTGCTGTCGTCGTACCATCTCAAGGCCGGTGGTTGGATTTAGCCAATTTTATAGCGCCGCCACCGAGCATGGTGGAACCTCCCATCAAGGTGGGCTCACTATCACCACTGACTTTGGCCCAATGTTGGAGCAACTTGAGTCATTCCCTTCATTGCCTCCACGCTCGACGCATGCTCTCGCGTACACCTCCAATGAAACCCTAGCCTGTGTGTAATTGGGCTTTACACACTTCTCTCTTTTCGGTCCACGAAGTCAAGTAGACCTTAATCTGATAGTTGACCAGCTAACTCAGAAAATGGACGACCAAAACAATTTGATAAGGAAAGCTCAACAAAATAAATTTGGCTCAAAACCTTGGCCTTGGACAACAGGGCGAAAAGAGAAGGATGGACGAACGCGTCAATGGGTACCAAGCAAGTCGAGTAAGAGTAAGTAAACAAGGAGAGGGATAACAACGCGGTCAGCCTACTGACATGTCACAAGCATCTGCCAGCCACACTCAGAGCAGACGAGGTCTCTCATCTAGATTGAGCTCAAGGACCAATGTGTGAGAAAGGCTGCACCTACGACTTGACATCTACGCCCGTCTAGGTCCGCAGGGAAATGTTCACGAAAGGCTAGGCCTTCAGGGAGGTCAACTTGATGTCACAATGAGGATTGTGAAGAAAGGGGCTCCGCTGCCCGCTCCCGAAGAACCGATTCCCGTCAATATGCTACAGGAAATCCCTCGCAAGCGCAATCTACCAACACGTCGCCTAGGCAACACAGCTAAGAAGGTTGACCCTTGCGAACCAAAGAGGAAGTTAATCAGCGTCGCCCAAATCGTGAAGGTCATCAACATAACCAACCAACCATGTGTGTAGAAGACGTTGAGAAGCTTGTAAGTAACTGACTTCGAGACTTCAGGATTGGAAGAAATTTCGAAGATGCACTATGCATGGAGGTAAACCGAGCAAACTCCTCACCTTTCACTGCTGAGATTGAGCAGCTGCTCCCCTGAAACGATTCTCAACGCCTTTTTTCACGTACTTCATAGGGAATTTCGATCCCGAAAGCCATCTGAAGCACTTCAAGAGCATTATGATCCTCTATGAGGCCGAAGATGCGTTAATGTGCAAGGTGTTTGCAATGACTTTGCGATGAGCAGCTCAGGACTGGTTCCACACCCTACCATTCGGGTCGATCATCAGCTTCAAGGAGCTTGCTTACGTCTTCACCAAAGAATACACTTCTTACCGAACGATTAAGAAGAACCCTGACCACCTGTACAACTTGCGCAAGAAGCCCGATGAATCCCTTCAAGATTACATCAAGATATTCAAAGCAGAAAAGGCCAACATTGTAAGGTGCGATGATCAAATCGCATCCTCTGTTTTCAAGAAAAGTCTTTCAGCTGAACACGACTTATACCGCGAACTGACTAGCACTCCTTGCCATACTCTGGTAGAGGTGTTTGCAACTGCAGAACGCTACGCGCTTTTGGATGACGATCAAATTGCCGTAAAGAAGTTTATCAAATAGGAAGATCAGCCAACCAAGCGGGCATGCCAAGGAAGCAACATGCTTAATAACAGGAGTGAAGACAAACGCAGGTCGCGCCTACAAGGAAACGCTATGGCAAAGGAGAACTACACCAAGTTCTTCATCCCTATACATCAAATCTTAGCCCAAGTGAAGGACAAGTCTTGGGTAAGAAGACTGTCATCCTTGAGGGGAGATCCGAACAAGAGAGATACTAGAAAATATTGTGCTTTCCATGCGACGCACGAGGACAAAATGAATAACTGTTTTGCTTAGAAAGCGCATCTCGAAGAACTCGTGAGAGAAGATTATTGTACGGGAGCCACCCAACAGATTGAGGACTACGATACCGCCAAGGAGCCACCCCAGAAGGTCATAAGGATTAACACAATCCTAGCCGATTCCGAGGAGTCTGGTTGACCAGCAAGGAAAAGAAGAGGAAGATTAGACAAGCCATTGTGATCTCCCAAGTCTTAACTAGCCTCCCACTGGCAGAAGACGATCCCGTGATTGGCTTCCAAAAAAAAAAGATATAATCAGCCACAAATACGCCATTGTCATCAGCATTCAAATCACTTAGGCCATGGTCAACCGAGTCTATAGAGAAGAAGGTAGCGCAACCAATATCTTATAATTGGGTTTAGAGACAAAGATTAATAAATAAGTTAGGTGGCTCTACAACGGTTACTGTGGGCACGATAGATCTTGACGTCTATTCCCTACCTGTAATCAGCTTGCAAACATTCATGGTCATTGATGAAGTCTCCCCCTACAACGGCATTCTTGGCAGACCATGAATTGACAAGATTAATGCCATCACCTTTGCCACACATCATAAAATCTGCTACCCAATACCTGGAGGTAGTGTTAGCCAGATCAACAGTGATCAGGCAATGGCGAGAAAATGCTCAATTCAAGGGCCAAAGAGAAGTAAGCAAACAAAGTTTCTCCCTATGAAACATGCAAATTTAAAGGGAGTAGAACAAGTAGAGGAGAAAGCAGATCCCGTTCCTGACAGTCGAGTAGACCAGAAAGGAAAGAAAGCAGATCACCTTCAATATTTTTATTTTTATTTTTTCAGTAATGTATTTTTATGTACGTATAATAATGCTATAGATGCCAAATATTTGTACAACATTCCAAATGATAGAATGAAAGTAGGAGGTAATTAAATTTCCATCCTTACGGAAGATTGAATTTCATATGTATGTCTTACCGAAGTTTCATGTTCCAAAAAACTCTTGTAGTTAATATCTTACACATTTTTATGATTTGATTTTAGATTAACTTATGGTTGGCTTAATCTTATTCTACCTAAACATGGAATACATAAAAAGAAGAAATTCAATGACGTATTCAAAAACATATATGAGGATGAAAATGTAACAATCAGTTCCAAACACTACTACAAAAAAACAAAATAGATGATGGGAATTTACCGTTGTTGTGATGCTTTGAAAATCATCGTTAAATTGACCGTCATCTTTTGGAGTATCAAACTACGACGGCTTTTAACCGTCGTTTATTTGTAAAGATGACCGTGTTTAATAAAACTGTCGTTGTTCTGATGTAAAGATGGCAGTTTTTTTTTAAACCTTCGTTATTTATAGGTAAGACGAAGGTTTATAAAAAACTGTCTTCATTTATGGATAAAAACGGCGGTTGTTTAAAGAACTGTCACCTATTTGTTGTTGTGAAAAAATCGTCTTGCATCATCCGTAAAACTAACATAGTGATTTTGCATTTTAGATTTTATACAAATTCATAAATAAACCCAATTCTAGACATGTATTTATAAAAAAACTCAAGCACTATTTAAACATAGAAACACACCCAAAATCAACCCCAAAGTCAACTTTTTGGGTGTGTTTATAAATGGGTTTTGAGTGTGTGTAATGATGGGTTTTGGGTGTGTTTATATGTTTAAATAGTGCTTGGGTTTTTTTATAATTTCAACCCCCATTTTGGGTGTTTTAGTGAAACTCCCTAGATTTTAACTAGAAAAACAACCACAATAGTTTGTAAGCAATAAATTCAAGTCCAAATCTGCTATTACCCACATCATACATATATACTCAAAAATTGTTTCTTTTATAAAACTTGAATATTCAACAGTAATTACATAGTTTACCAATCTTGATTCCTACTATGTCCATACAAAATACCATATCCATAGCATTAACCTATACTTATAAATAAAGGAACTACATATGGCTCATAAATGTTGCCCATTCGATGCGAACTTCTGCTGGAACTTCAATGTCCACACCATGGATGCCATTATAGTACAGCTCTACCAATCCTACAGTTCACCATTTACATGACAATAAACAATTAATTCAGGTAAAAATATATAATAAAAAAATAACCATAGCAAAAGTGTTAAGAGTTTTTTTATCTAACTAAAGCACTCAAAGCATAATAAAGAAGGAGAAAGCTGAAGGAAAAAAAAAAAAAAACAGGAGCACATTTCTTGAACTCTCTGTTTTGTTCCTTCTCTCAATATAGGAGGAGACTATTATTCACCTTAGCTTTTCTTCCTACACAGTAGTGCACTTAAGACCTCGATAGTCTTGTTCTCTTACAAACTGAAGATCGTGTCCTTGCCATGGTCTTTCTTACAACTTCAACACAGCAGCAGACAAGGAGTGACTAAAGCTTCACTTTAGCCAAAGCCACAAACGTTGCCTTCCTGCATACAACCCCAAAAATGCTCAAAGCATATAATATTACAATTAAGTATTAACATTTTAAAAAAAAGCTTATAAACCAAAAACGAAAAAACAAATTAAACCATATAAGTTTAGAGAGAAACTGAAGAAAAAATAAAAAAACGTATAACAAACAAAGCCTAGAATAATTACCTGGGTAGTGGAAGAACTGCACAAAACAAGAAGATCAATGAATAAAGAAAGACCCTTCTCTGATAAATAAAAGGAAAATTAAAGGATGAACATAAAAAATCACTTTGACAAAGAGAAAGCTACTCCTGAATCAATGGTTGCTGCCAAAAACTTGATTGGAAAGATGAAATAGAACTTATGCTAAGTGATTAAGCATCATAAATTTGCTACATATGTCCCGACATCTTTCATCTCCTTTCTCACAAGAGTGGCCTCTTCCCACCTGCAATACATTCATTGTCAAACATAAATCAGTTTGTTCAAATATATGGGGGGCAAAGGACCCCGATATGAAAGCAAAACAATGCCTCTATGGCTCCTACATCATAGCTTCAAAACCATAGCTTCTAGCCTCTTATGATTCTGGGTATAAATTGCTTATGCAACATACAGATGCTAATGGAATTGAAAATGATGAATCTACCATAAAAAAAAGTATGCATTTGGTAAGCATTTTTCATACCTGCCAGCAGCTGCAAACATATTAGAAAGAACTACGTGGTTGCCAGAGTCTTTAGGATCAAGTTCAAATAACTTATCAGCTGCCACCCTCCCCAATTCTGTCTTCCTATACATTTTGCAAGCCCTTGAAGTACCCCCCAAATGGGAATTGTTGGACGAATTGGCATCTTTGTAATAAACTCATAAGCACGCTCTGCCATTCTGATCAACAAACTTAAGCAAACTATTGGGTGACAGTATTTTCCCTTTTTTGATTAACATCAAATATAAACTTCTTAGCCAATTCTACATATTCTTCGATATAAACGGCAGACCAGGTAAAAAAAATTAAAAAACTGAAGAAACAGAGAGGGAGAGAGAAAATACCCCAAAATTTGAAAACGTAGAAACTCCATCTCCCACAACTCAATCCTCCCCCTTCTTGCTCTGAATCGCCCGACCGTGCACAATCTCAGGTATCTCAATCTTATCATTGGCCAATTTACGCTTCAGCAGCACCGAGAGCGAGCTGTCTGATGATTCTCATTCTTGTTGGACATTGTTCCCCCACACCCAAACACCTCAACACAATCTCAATATCCTCCTCATCCCACGACCTCTAATCTTCCATCTCCGATTCTCAAACCAAATCTTGCAAAACGCAGCCAGTAAAAAAGCGTCCTCAAAGAGACGCAAGATGCGCAAGGAATTTCCTAAAATGAGATCTCCATGCTTCATGACAGAGGTATCCAAGTTCTTATCCGTTTCTTAAGGGAGGTAGGACAGTCATACAGTTGGCCATAAGGAGTGTCCCAAAGTAGACGCAGCATGCAAAGAAGCGTCCTCAGGGAGACGCAGCATGCTAAAGAGCTAAGCTCAGAATCTTTCTTAGCAAGGGAACTATTCAGCTCAGATATCATCACCCGTAAGTCAGAAGTCTTCTTCTCATAAGTCTGCTCGGCAAAAAGCTTGCTAATTAGTTCAGCATTCTTCTTCTCCAACTCTCTGAGCTGAACAAAAGATGGGGCAACAACAGATGAGTTCCGAGACTACCTTCAATTTAGACATGCAAAATAAATCGTCATCCAACCCTAACAATACTATCCCGCGAAGGGAAAATGAAGGCAACACATCACCCACCACAACATGAAGTGAACCAGCACGTACCCTCACCCAGCTGCACAAACCCTGGAAAATGCAAATTATTAGAGGTCCATCAAAAGATCCATGTCTTTGGCCTTCATCCTCGCTGCATGCATGAGGCTATGATGAGCCATTCCCTCTCCACCCATATTTAGCACCTACCAGACACCAGGTACATCAATTTTGATCCATGTCTGGTGAGACGACCGAAGCATAATCTCATAACATCTCGAAGCCGTTGTTGAACCATTTCATGGTTATATTCTTCAAATTTTGTGAATTGTTGGACATCATATTTCTTTGTCTCTTCAAATTTTAACTTGAGGGACTCAAAGTCCAGCATATGCTTTGTTCAACTTGTTGGCCAAGTTTCCCATCACTTGGCCATGAATATCGCATTTGCTCTCCCGCCAATCTGTTGCCTTAGACAAATATTGGAGGTCGTGCTTCACATCAAAGATTTTTTCAAACAGATCATTGTTCTCAGCCTCACTTCCAGATGAAGTGGGATCATGATTTGGAGTCATAGGTGGATATGGGAACGGCACATGCCACGGCTGATCTCCCGGGTAACTGACATGATCGTTTAGAGGGCGTACGTCCAACATCTTTAAGTATCGGTGAGGACAATTCACAGCTCCAGTTTGCAAAAAAAAATCGTTAGATTCAATCTGCATTTTTTACTTCTGAAAACTAGTAAACAACAATATGGCCAGCTTTATTGGAAAATGTTTACCTTTGAGTAAGTTAAGAATAATTACATTTCCCAAACCTAATATTAAGAAGGTGCCTATGCTTTTGTTATATATAGCAACTTGTCTAATTTATATGATATTGAAGCAGTTAGTTACATCTCTATATCTGACGAAATTGGGTATGTAGTTGGTGCATTAAATTGATGGGATTGCACTGTACATCATTTACTCATTGGCTGTAATTTAGACCATTAGAATAATAACAATAAAATTGGATTAGAAACAAAAAAAAACAAAACAAAACCTTACTGGGAAATTGGAAATTGTGGATTTGATGCAAAAAATGGAGTATGTAACTAAGCAAATTTTGGAAATTTGAAAAAAATACAAAACAAAATTGCAAAATTGGAAAATCGGAAAAATACCATACTAGGAAATTGCCAAATTCTGAATTTACTCAAATTAGACAAAGATTGAAAATGACAAAATCTGAAGAACAACGAAAAAATGGAAACGTTATATGCTTGAAAAACACATACAAATCACTGCAAATAAAATTGGAAAATTGAGAAAATACGAAAATTGCCACATAGGAAAATTGGAAAATTGGAAACCAATTGAAATGGCAAAAATGGGAAATAGGAAAATTACCGTACTCGGCAAATTGAATTAGTTGGTACATTTGTCAAATTAGGCAAATTCTTTAAATACAAGAATGGAAAAACGAGGAAATTGGAAAATTCAAAAATTACAAATATAGGAAAATATGAAAATTTGGGAAAATACGAAAATTGCCACATAGGAAAAAGGAAATTAGACAAATATGAAATTGGAAAATTGGAAATGAATTGAAATTGTGGAAATGGGAAATATGAAAATTATCATATCGGACAATTTGAATAAGTTGGTAAATTTGGCAAATTCTTTAAATAGCAAAATGGGAAAAGTAGGAAATTAGGAAATTCCAAATTACAAATATAGGAAAATAGTCATACAGGCAATTGGATAATAACTCCCGCCTAATAACTCCTGCCAAATACTCCCACCAGTGAATCCGGCAAATTACTCACTCATTTACTCCAGCTCATTAATATCTTCCTATATTAAACTTCAACCTATGAAGAGAAAACTTCCATCACATTAACTTCTGCTTGCAACCATTACCTTCCCCACTCATTTCACTCACATCGCATTAAGTCCCACACCAACCCACAATAAATACCCAAAATCATGGATCCTAACCTCACACCAAACCCATTGCTTTCAATTACTGAAGGAGGGGAGACTGAAACACCAACCAAGTCAGCAAATTCACTGATTGTAGACTTAGTCCATGGCCTGTAGCAATATCGAGATAATACCATGTTTTGGAAAAATCTCCATGCATACATAGTTTCAAATTTTTTGGAGGCCCAAGCTAGGTGGGGTGTCATAAAAAAGCGCACAATTCGCTCTCGTTATCATGCCCACATGCATCTCCTACATATAAAGGGTATGAAAGCAAAAATTGAAAACGCCCCTGCCACTGTAGTTATGGTATTCAAGGAATCTGACGAAATGGCCCAGTTGAAGCAAAAACAAGTGGAAATCGGATTCGAACTATTTTGCAAGTTTGCAAAAATAGTGGATCCATAAGGAAACTAGGACAACATCACTGTGGGCGGGGTCCGAATGTGTCAACAGTAAGAAACTTTTGACACATTAATATGACTTTAGAGACTGTAAAATATAGTGGAAACAGCCTGTAAAATGGAACTATGAGGTGGCCTCTTTTGTATTAGGCAACTATGGGGCGGCCACTTGTTGTATTATGTAAGTTTTGAAATTGGATTTGATGGAATTATAATGCCTCTTTTTGTATTTGTGCGTATACAGTTTCCTTTATCTCTGTCAAGTTCAAAAGATTATAGCGGCAATAACTCCACAATAACCATGGGTATATGGCAATATGATATCAATAAGAGCACACTACAATTACAATAGGATCCTATTACAATAGGTACTGCATCATACTCTACCATTTGATTGACTTATACATCCTTTAAAAGACATATAGCCTACATTGTACACCTTCAATATTGAAAGAGGGATATGATTTAAATTTTTCAATACTTCTTAAGGAAACTTTTGAACCATTGTGCCGAGAGTTTTGGGTGCCTTTTCAACTTGTCATTGTAATCTACATAAGTGATACCAAATCGAACATTGTATCCAGAACTCCATTCAAAGTTGTCTAGCAATGACCACGGAAAATATCCCTTCACTTTGACACCATTTCTAAAAAGAAATAAGAAAACAAGAAAAAGTTAAACGTTTTGATTTTAATCAAATGAATCAATAACTCAAATATAGGAAGGCTAGACTGTATATGTACTTAATTAATTTGTTAATGAACACTTACTCAATTGCACTTTGAACATAATAGAGATGATGATTGTAGTAGTCAACTCTAAGGGTATCATTAAGGGCTTCCACAAGTGATAATTTGGGATCATTGGACTCATCCACACCTACAATATAATGTATTATTATGTAGTCTTTTTTGCACTTATGCATGTTTTACACCAAATATATGTGAAACATGATTATGCAATTATTTAAGGCTAGAAATAATTACCATTCTCAGTAACATAAATGAGTGGATCATGATACTTATTCCTTACGTACAGTAAAAGATCTTGAATTCCTCTTGGATAAATATTTAGCCAGTCCGAAGCACCCTGCACCCCCATTTGAAGATATTGATGAGATTGTTAGGATTTACATTTGTATGTGGAAAACAATCAGTCGTCCAAATTATAAGCAATTAATTTAGTGCTTTGATGTGTACCTTTGGACCAATAGGGACCCCGTGACGCTCAGCTGCCACAACACATGAATTTCAAAATCTAATTAGTATATGAAATTTAATTGCTTGAAGTAAGTTCTTAATTTGTACTCACATGAAAGATTAACTCGAGCATCTGTTACGTAGCTTGCATATACAGAGTTATTTTGAGGTGCATCACTTGCATAGTAACCAGCATAATAATTTAGTCCAAGAAAATCAAATGACCCAATCAACAACTTGGATTGTTGTTCTGTGAATTTTGGTAATCGACTTCCAACAAAAGATCGCATGCTTTGTGGATAGTCACCACTTGTCAATGGCTCCGCAAACCTACAAGAACGTGAAAATTTCAAATATTAACTTGATAGTTTCTAATGTACTGTTGGCTAGTAAGTAGTAAATATTATATTCATAAGTAAATTAATATGCACTTGCCATCCAAGCATAAAATCCAAAGCTCGTAATGCAGCATTTTTATTCTTCGCTTCTTCAGACAGGGGTACAAACCAATGTGACACTAGTGTTATCCCTATCACTCCTTTTTGAGATGCCTACACAAGAACATTAAGTTTGGTTGATTTAGAATCACAAAAATTTAAAGTAGTCGCTCTAGTGTTGCCAATTAGAATCCAATATTATGACAAAACAATAACTAATTAATTGTACCTGATATTTATTCTTGTACAATTTTACCGCAGTTACATGAGCAAGGAGTAGGTGGTGTGTTACCAAGTATGGTTCAGTAGATGAATCTCCGCCGGTGCAGTTTAGCTGCTGCCAAGCGGAGCATCGTCCAGGTGCAAATAACCCGATTCCATAACCATAGTTACTAAAGGTATATGGTTCATTCAACGTGGTCCAATGCTTTACTCTATCACCGAATTCCTTGTAACAAAGTTCTACATAGTCTTGAAAATGATGGCTGTACATACACAATTGAAAATGTATATGTTATAATTCTATTTATTTAATAAATTATCAATATTATTCAAAGGATAAAATTTATTCACTTACATAATACGAGGGCTTAAAAAACCACCGTATTCTTCTTCTAAAGTTTGGGGAAGATCCCAATGGAAGAGTGTCACAAATGGCGTCAAACCTATAAATAGCGAATTAAAATGTTACGATTATGAGTGCATGTAATTGTTATTGTATTGATGATTGATCATGGAAGGTGGGATGACTCACCATTGCGTAGGAGCTCATTGATGAGATTGTTGTAGTAGTTGATTCCTTCCTTATTCACGCCTCCACTTAACTTTCCATCTAATAATTAAAACAAAATCAGAAAATACAAAAAATAAGTGAATCTTTATACATAAATTAAAGTTAAAAAAAGTTGGAATATATGTTTCAATTATTTTAATTAAATCTTTTAATTGAAAACAAATTTTTTGTTTATAATGTACAATAGACAACAGGAACACATTATTTAAGTTAAAACAATGAAGGCAGAAATATTGAAGATTGGTCACAAATCAAATGTGAGGATGCAGGTGAACTTACTTGGTAACAATCTGGACCATGAAATAGAGAACCTATACGCATCCCACCCCATATTCTTCATAATCCCCACATCTTCCTACAATACGTAACAATAAATAAAACAAGTCATAAGGAAAGAAAGAAAAAGGCTAAAAATTAAGGATGTCATATTCAATGTCATGTGTTTTTTTCGTGCTTCAAAATTTCGTATGTCCACATTGGGCTCTTCTAAAAAAAAATGGTCTTGAGAATAAAATTATGTGATTGGTGTACCTTATAACGGTGATATTGATCCACAGCGATATCTCCATTGCTTCTATTAGTAATCCTTTCTGCAATTAATCACAAAAAATCTCATTTAGAGCATAGAGTTCACTGAAATCATAGAATTTGATCTAATTGATGATTTGATTGGACAAACCAGGATATTTGTGGGTGTAGATATCCCATATGCTTGGTCCTCTACCATACTCTTTTGCAGCACCTTCATACTGAAATATACACACACAAGAGAACACAATGAAGATGTAAATATTCTTGCATTGATCCACGGTCTGAATTTGAAAGAAAACCAAAACACAAATCATGCATTGAAGGGTAAATTAAGGGCCAGAAGGACTTACTTGGTAAGCTGCAGAACCTACACCAAATATGAACCCCTCTGGAAAACTGCTCCTATTGAGAGAAGCAGTGTCATAATTAGTGGGTGTAGCTCCGATATCAGCTTTGCTATCTGTCAATGCAAAGCCAGTTAGTAGCAGCACGCCTAAGAGAAAAGATCCTAATTGCCTTGCCATAACTCCTGTTTTGTTTTGTTGGCAATCTTGATAAGTATAAGGTTGCTCTGGCCGGCATTTTGCATGGCCCTTATATAGAAGAGGAAGTACGTTCTGCACATGAGAAATGGTAAGCAATTCTGCCCATGAGAAATAGTCAGCAATTAAATTAATTTTTTGTAAACACATTTCATGAAGTATGAAAAACGCAATGGTGTAAGTAGCCGCTAAGTCTGATCAGGTCTCCTGACCAAATGGGTCAAATTATGAAAAGAATTTGACAGACACTTGATTTGTTGACAATGTTAATTTATAGATTGTTAAATTTTTTGTGCATAATATGTGATTCTTAATTCTACCTCCGAATGCCATCTAGAATGGTGGGGCTTTCGAACATTGAAACACTATGTACTGAAGCTTTAGGCACTTACTTTGGGTTGATTCATTGTTTCACTTCCTCTAGCTCAATTGTACCTAAAAAACGGACATATACCACACAAAAAAATTAGTGACAGTGAAAAAAAAAAAATTAGTGACAATATTATACATAAACCGTATGTATCTCTAACATATCAAAGGGATGATATTAACCAACTACGACAAAGCGTTTGTTAACACACCACTGCAGGCATGTTAATACAGGCAAAAATTCCATTCGGTAAAAAATTTATTAAAAAAACTCTTATCTGTACATATAAAGCAAAGGAAAATACTTGCCACCTTCCCTGGAGTAAGAACTCCTACTTTCTTGTCAATCACAATTTGATATGTGTGTAGAGATTTTCTTTTTGTGGTTTTCATGAATTATTTTAGCATATGTATCAAATTATGATTTGCATGAAGTAGGAATGAAGGAGAGAATCAGTGTCCTAAAGCAAAATGCCTTGGTGGTTAAATTTTCAAATAACACAAAATTATTCTTATTAAAAAAATTCAGAAAGGAAAAATAGGTAAAACAATAGTCAATATTAAAATAAAAATAATGTTTTTGAAAAAAAAATTTATAGGAGTCGAAGTCCAAGAGAAATTTTCTCTAGATATTGATAAAATTTAAAAAAAAGAAGAAACAGGAGCCCAGATCCAACATAAATTTTCTATAGATAAGGATAAAACAAAAACAAATATAAATAAAGAGCTCTAATAGGAGCCCAAGTCGTACATGCACAGAGTAACCTTCCTGGAAGGATCCCCTGCTTGCGTACACGAGGGCAAATCGTAAACTATTATATTAAAACGTCTAATTATGAGGAAATCAATCGACGAACACAGTTTTGTCAAACAAACAGTTCGATAGTTCAAGAAATTTAATTGGTACAATGCAGAGTGAGATCTACAGTCGAATTAAGACATGAAAATTTGACAGTCAAATAATTGGTACAATGCAGAGTGAGATCTACAGGAATCTCCCTCAAATAAGCTTATTTGAAAGACTCATCTAAACAAACATTACAGGCTTGATCATATACAAACCTTCAGCTTCTTGGAGGAAGTCGTTGGCCTTCAAGAAATCTACACAAAGAAGTTTTCAAAAGAAAGTTCAATTCCTGTCTTTCTCAAAGATTAATTTTCAAATTTTCTTTCCCAATAAGGGTTTCCATTTTTCTTTTCCATGTATTTAAGGAGAATCTTTATCACGTAACGGATGGTAAAAAGAGGAAAATAGAAAGAAGAAAAAACGTCAGCGAAAAAACGGGAAAAGGACAAAAACGCCTTGATGGAAATCTTATAATCTGGGAAGAAAAATCACTGAAAGAAAAGGTAAGCAAGATATTTATCTTATTTGAAACTATCTTGAGGTAATCTTGAAAGAAAAGAAAATTGCTATGAGAATTTTATGTTGAATTCATAACTTTGACGATAAATATGAGGATAAATTAAATTACATTCGCTCTAAAGAGGATTGTTTTAGTTCGTTCGAGGAGCCCCTTCATGTTATTCAGGATGCCCTGTTTTGTGATTCTATAAATTGGTCCTGTAATTTTCTGGTTCATTAATAAAGTTTTCCTCGTACTGTATGTACGTCGAGGTTCCCTTAAAAAAAAAAAAAAAAAAAAAAAAAAAAAAAAAAAAAACTCTATTGCCTTGTGATGGAAACAACAAACATGACTTTTTGTTTTTGTTTTTTTGTTTTTGGTTTGGAGGGAAAGCGATATAGTATTTTATTGGAAAATCAGTAATCGGGCTATTTCATCGGAGATTTAGCGAGTTTCTCTACACCAATGGGCTCGGTTGTTGGTCCTTATATTTGGATTGGGAACGATCTTGAGGTCCTTATAATTTTTCACGTGATAATTGCTGATTCAGTGTACAAGAATTCTCAAAAAAGAATGTACAGCAAATTATCTCTTGAAAACGTCAAAAGGGTAGCAAAAAAAAAAGGGCATGAATGAAATGCTACTTCTTTATGTAAAGATGAGTTTTCCATGTACGCTAGCTAGCTATATAGACTCGTTCAAGCACTGGCATCTGAAAATTATCATCAATTCTTCACGCTAGCTCTTCTTTCCTCCAAATTTCAAGAACTTACTTTTTGAATTCAATTTTTTGTTGTTGTTGTTATCTCCTGGAATTTTATATTTTTAGTTGTATAGTTTATTTGAACTGCTTATTGAAGAAGATAGTTCGGACAAAAAAATAATAATATAAAAGGCTAGGTGTGCACGTCTCTATGCAGGCTTCTACCTACATATTACCATTCTAATTAATAACCTTTGCTCGTTCAACAAAGGTCACAAGTACCTGCTATGTCGTTAGATGTGCTTCTAATTACGAGCTACGCTAGATGATACATAAAAACAGTAAAAAAAACAAGAAAGAACGGTTAACTATGTATTAGTACCCAAATTTAGGGGTCGTTAAGTGATGACTTGACAGATTCGTGACTTGTTTTTTTTTTTTTTTTTTTTTTTTTTTTTTATATTATAAATGTGTCGGGTGGATATTCTTTTAATCCCATTCTTGGGACAAGTGTTGAAATATGGTGTACTACCAAACCCTAATGCCGAATGTTAAACAAATCCCTAACCCCCGAACGTTATTATCAGACAAAGATTTCTTTTCACACAGCCTTCGAATCAAAACAATTTCGAATTGCCAAAAGCCTTCGAATTATGTCAATTGCAGAGAGGGTAAGCGAATCTTGCTGAATTTAGGGCATGTTTACGTATCAGTAATGGGTATGGGAGGAAAGGGAATGATTTCCATTCCTGATTTCCCCTGCGTTTACTTGCAATCAGGAATGAAAAAATAAGTGGGCCCCACCTCAAAATCTGTAATCACATTCCCTCAAAACTGGGTATCAGATCAACTAGGGGGGAGTAGTCGATACGATTCCCATTCCTGTTTTCTCTTATTAACTTCCAAAAATACCCTTACTACTTTACTATAATTCCAAAACAACTCAAACCCTAAAATAAAAAATACCCTTACTACTTTACTATAATTCCTGTTTTCTCTTATTTTTGTAGTATATCATTTATCGTCATGAGTTCTACTGCTACTTCAAGTGGAAAAGTAAGGGGAGGAAGGGGACAAAATAAGCGCTATTGGACAACTAAGGAGGATAACACATTGATGGAATGCTTGATGGAACTCCATCAGAATACCAATTGGCGAGGTGACTCAGGCTTTAAAAATGGATACTTGAATAAATTAGAAACTATGCTAGAAGTCAAACTTCCGAATTCTGGGTTGAAGGCATCACCCCATATTGAATCAAGGGTGAAGACTTTGAAGGGAAAATATGGTGCTTTAGCTGATGCATTATCTCAAAGTGGTTTTGGGTGGAATGAAGAGGAGATGATGTTGGTATGTGAGAAAAGTGTATTTGATGCATGGGCGAAGGTAAATCTAAGCATATCCTATTATGTGCATATCAAATGAAAAAAATACATATGTTATGCTATGTCTTTAATATTTATTTAAGAATACTAATGCAGATATATATATATATATATATATTGTAATTGTAGAACAAAAAGGATGCAAGTGGTTTGTATGGCAAGTCGTTTCCACATTACTATACACTTGGAGAAATATTTGGAAAAGATCGTGCTATTGGAACAAATGCTAGAAATGCTGATGATGATGAAGAAGACGTTAGGCGAGATGATGCAAGTGTTCATCAGAATAGAAGTGTGGGTGATGATTTTATTGAGGAGATGTTTTCACATCCTGATGGTGGGTCACAATATGGGGGTTCAGAATATGAGGGATCTCAATTTGATGATGTTGAGGATTTAGAAGATGATGAGACAACTTTTACACAACCAAATCCCCAACCCTCAAGTGCCCAACAACGTGCCCAACAGAAGAGACCCGCACAAGATGTAGCAAGTGGTCCAAGTAATCCTCGTAGGAAGGTAAATGCTTTGAATGAAATGTCTAACAAATTTGGACTTATGGCTGAAGCTGTAGCAGGAATGGCACCTCAGCTTGCAGGCTTGGTTAATGTTCTTTCAACAGAGAAGGATCTTGCTGATATGCAAGCTAAACTTGGTGGTGAATTGAGGAAAATAGAATTCCTATCTCCTTTGCAAGTATTTCGTATCACCAATATTTTAGCCAAAGAGCACGATTTGCTGAGGGTCTTCTTTACCATGACCGATGAAGAAAAAAAAGATTATGTATTTAATCTTATGGAGCATGGCTTACAGTGATTGTTATTGATGAGTAATGGGCAAATGACTTACTAGGTTCATTATATATCTCTTCTTTTGGTAGTATAACTATTATGTATTTAATCGTATGAAGATTATGCAAGTTATTATTATTTGATTGTTTACTAGTTATGTAAGTGAAAGATATTTGTTTATTGGAGTTTATTTTTTCGTATGAAGATTTCTTTGATAACGGATTCCCTTTTACTGATAAATTCAAAACCCCCTTTCCAATAGTTTGGTCTGTTCTTTGCATATTTATTGTGAATAGAGAACTGAGATAAATGAGAGAACTGAAAACAAAAAACAGAAAAGCAACACATGCAAATGCAATTCCAAACAGGAACTAGGAAAAGCATCAAAAACCCAAAACACAAATTAGCAAAATTACGATCCATGGATGACACTTGACACTCACAGACATCAACACAATGACACGAACTCACATGTAGAAATATATCCATCACTTTCACTTAGGCACTCTTTATTTATACTACATATGCTGTCGTTCTTTTCCTTCTTCTTTACGTTCATCTCCTCTCCAATGTCTCGAATCCTCAAAGCTTGGCCTGGTCTTTACCGAGGCTCTGCTGCTGCTTCCCCTTACTTCACTTGTGCAAATCATGTTTACACCGCATTATTGAGAATTATATATGTGTTGTAGTGAAAATGTGTAGGGCATTTTAGTAATCAAATTAATTTGGATTCTGATTCATGAAAATTAGTAAACAATAACAATGGGAATCAACCCCATTCCTTAACTAATTCCGTATGTTTAGTAAACAGCGTAATGGGAATGATTCTTCCCATACCGATTCAGTAGTTCTCCGATTCCTGAATTCTCTGATTCCTTTCCATACCCATTACTGATACGTAAACATGCCCTTAGGGTTATCGTGTCGGCTTCGAGGAAATATCGCCCCAGAATATGGTAAGTTTCAAACTTCTGAAACATGTGGGTGTGGGTTTCGTACTTTAGTGTTTTTTTTTTGTTTCGGTTTCGAACATTAGTGTTTTTTATGGGTTTCCTTTTCTGTGGGTTTTAGCTGTTACCTTTTCAAAAATAGGGTTTCAACTGTTACCTTTTAGGGTTTGGGGTTTCTTTTTATAATGAAGGAGACTTTGCTTGGTTGGTAAAGTAGTCAACGTAGAAAGTTAGGTTCGGCATTCATGTAGGACAAATTATAGGCTTGTTCCTACGAGGGAAATTTAGAAAAGGAACAAAATTCAAAATCAGAAAATTGGGGTTCAAATACAGAAAATCATGCTTGAGCATCAATATGACGTTAGAAAAAGAAGGAAGGCATATCGTTGGGATTTTCTGATTGATTGAGAAAGTTTGAAGCAATTATAGATTCTCTATATTTAATTTAATGTTTTATTTTATATTTTTAGAATAATTTATCTACAAGGATATTATTTCCTAATATGATTTTACTTAGGAATATTTTGGGAAACTTTTGTTATTTACTTTTGGTTTTCTAATTAACTTTCCTAGTAAATCTAGGCTTTTCTCTTGTATAAAAGGAATGCGTTGGGGCATCTTGAAAAATTCAGTTTATTACCAATCAAATACTTTTGAGTTTTACTCAATTTTCTGGTGGATTCCAATTTGTTGGTGGATTTTGACATTATGACTTTATGGTTATCGTTCGATCTCCCTATCTCTTTATATCTCGATGCGTCAGTTGGTATCAGATCTAGGTTTTGCATGACTCAAGGTGTCTCCAATGGCTCGTATAGAGGAAGAAGATAGGACCTATGAAGATGGGGAACCAATCACTCTTAATGAATTTGATGTTGCAGTTGTTCCATACTTCATGGGGATTGACTGCACTGAAGGCTTTCTCCAATGGGTTGCAGATGTAGAGGAAATATTTAATTCAATAATGATCCCAGAAGAGTAGATAGTGAAAATTGTTGTGTCCAATTTAGAAGACAATATCGCTTCTTGGTGGGATCAGATGCGAAAACCGAGAAAAAAAAAGGTAATCCTATCAGTTCTTGGCATTGGATGAAGAGACTTTTTGTGAAAAAATTCTTTCATTTTGAGTATGATATATATTTGTTAAGGAATGGTTACAAGATTGCTCTACCCAATATCATGGCGAGTCAAGAAAAGATGGAGGAAGATGTCAAAGAAAAAGAAACTTTGATGGATGTTGAATTAATTGATGACATAGTAACCCACAAGATGGATGAAGAGATTAAAGAAAAACAAGAGATTATGCCAATTGAAACTCCTATTGTTGTTGAAGATTTCCCAAAAGATGAAGAACAACAATTGGATTCCTCTGATATTAAAGGTATGGATAAATATGAAGTTGGAGAGGAAAATAATTCATACAAGGAGTTTGATTCCCAACTCGCATATTCTAATTTTGTTTATGGAATTAATTATATGATTATTGTTGGAATTTTAAAAGGTTTTAAAAATTTAACCGTTTTATTTATTTAATTATTTTGGCTTTTTTATTTTATTTATTGTGGGGGTTATAAATATTTAATATTCAGGCTTTATTTCTAGTTGGTGAATGCCTTAATTTTTTGGTTGGTGAACTTTTATGGTTGGTGAAGGTTACATGTTTCGGATGCCTATAAAAGGTCACTCCTCCTTCACATTTGATACACACACAAGACACACAATACACCATCAGAATATCACATACACATTCTAATTCTTTCGTTTTCTACTTTTATATATATTAACTACTTTATATTATTATTTTGGGCAATGGTTATGTGACTTGTATACCTATATCCGTCTATGAACGTGCTCATAGTGGATTTTGAGTTTGTGTACAAGGGATTGTATCTTGGAGTCTTGTAGACCGTCCCTACCTGCACATAAGGAGGCTACAAAGGCTTTAGGACAGCGTCTTTGACGTGCTTCACCGTACCAAACTCACTTTCTTACTTTCTATTTATTTTCCTTTTACTTACCTATTATTTTGTTTTCTTCAATTTCATTATACCTTCAAAACTTTCCAATTTGTTTATATGTTATTTATAATATAAATTTTTGTATTTGGCTTTACGGAAAGAGGAAAACTATATTTTTTAATAACAATCTAAAGCCTTTGTAAGTTAAAGTTGTTTTCTTCCCGTATTGCTAGCTTTAATATCTTTTCACTCTTTGACCGAAGCTTTTGCATTTGTATTGGATTTTCAAAATGAAAATTACGATTTATTTTGGGTTGATGCAGTTTGGAGCTTCCATGTTGTCTATACAATTTCAACTGCTTTAAATATTGTTGATACATTTATATGTTTATAATTTGTTGCTAACGTTTGGGAAATTACTGCTAGTGTTTGAAAATAAAAACCTACAGACTAATTTATGTGGTATTATTATTAAAGCATCAACGTTTTATTACTTTGTGTGGTGTGTCCGTTTTCTACAGCACAATTGTTTTTAAAATGCATTTCAGAATCTTAATAATGTTAATAGCATTCAAGAGCTAATTAATGACCATTGAAATAATGGAAAAATATATATATATTGAAGTGAGCTATGTTTTTCTAAGTTACTTTTTGTTTCAAATAGCTTGTATTGTTTCATTACCGATTACTTAATTATTACTCATTAATCAATTTACAGTGAAACATCCAATGTTGAATGATTGAAATGTTTCAAAATCTTTGGTCTATTTTTTTTAATTGAAATTTCAAAGCAAGTGTATATATATATATATATATATATATATACAGTCTCGATCTCTTGGATCACAGGAGTCCAAGAGATTGTGGTCACCCACCATTGTATATTAATCTAATGGTTCAAAAAAGTTTCTTAAAAGGAGTGCAAGAGTGAGTGAAGATTTTATTACAAATCTTTTGCTGAAGCAATCAAAGTATTCATTAATATTTTACCGTGTTATTAATATATATATATATATATAATATCAGTTTTATTTTATTTTATGTATTTAGTGGTTTTACTATTATATTTATTATGCTTATTAAGATGACATTGAATTGGCATTAGAGTACCAGCCGTTAGACTAGCTTTATGTGATATCAAACTTGAAATTGTAAGCATGCAGTTATTATTTTATTTTGATTGATTCGTTTTGTTTGTAACGGAAAATATAATTTGAATTTAGTGGTTTTGGACGTTAGCTCCTTTTGGTTACAAAATTAGTTAATTGCTACTAACTTCTTTTGGAAGCTTTTGCATTGCACATTCAATTACGAGACCTTTTATTATGCAGGTTTAATTTCAAAACTTTAATGTTAATTTCTTGACGTTTAAAGCTTTTAATTTTGGCAGTAAAATTGTTGATATTGTTAGGTGATTATTGCCTTTAATGTTCTGAACATTTATGCAATTTAATTACTTCTTTGTTTTAATGCCTTGGATTCATTTTAAAGTTACCAACGCCTATATATTTCGATTGTGCAATCCTTCATATTAGTTACTTTAGTTAATCTTGATACAAATATATATATATATATATATATTGAGTGAACTAATGTTCTTTTGATTATAAAGTCTTGACAACTGCCACATTGAGTAAATTGCCATGAAGTGTACATTGTGAAATCCTCTTGAGAAAACTGAAATGAAATAATAAATTATATCAACTATGCAAAAAGAATTGGGAAGAATTAAAGACACAAGTCTTGTATATTTCTCTCCAAAGTGAGAGCACCGAGTGGTACGGAACCTTCGCGACTCTTCTTACTGGGAACTGCCATTGCGGTGGTTTCCAGCCGCCGATCTATTGTTTCTAAGTGTGCGTCTCCCTGAATTTCAATTGCCCATGGAGGAGGATCCCCTGGTGTCTTTCCCAAGCTTTCTCGTGTGACGAAGAGGGTTCGGGCTGCTGCGGATTGCGATTCTGAGTACGATGTGGAGTTGGGTTCCAATCCCATTTCGATGCAGGGGTTGATGCAAGCAACTAAGATGGATCTGATGCCAGAGTCTGAGCATATTTCTAGGCCAACGGCTGATCTGGTGAATGAATCTAATGGTAATATGATGCCTAATTTCTTACCTGGTATTCATAGCTGTCGTGATAAATTGATGAATAAAGTTAATATGACAAAAAATGTGGGAATTGATATTAACTGCTTGGATACTGATTATGAGGGTTTGAATGATGAGGATGATGTGTTCATTTCTCGTGGTGAGCGTGGGCCGAGTATACAGTTCTCTGATCGTGCTATGGCTCGATTTTGTGAACCTTGGAAAAATGCTTTGATCGTTAAGCTCCTTGGTCGCTCTCATACTTATAACTATCTTCATGATCGCTTAGCTCAGAAATGGAGTTTGGTGGGAGGGTGGAAGCTTATTGACTTGGTGAATGATTATTTTGTTGTGAGATTTGATCTGGAAGAGGACTTAAATTTTGTGTTGACTGGAGGGCCTTGGATGATTGCGGGGCAATACTTAACCATACAACAATGGCGGCCTGGTTTCTGCCCTTCTACTACACACATCACAAGAATGGTTGCTTGGATTCGAGTATCTGCCATGCAGCTTGAATGTTTTGATGTTTGGTCTCTTAAGAGGATTGGCAACCTTCTTGGTAAATTGCTGAAAATTGATTCGTTGACTACTTCGCAAAATAGGGGTAAGTTTGCTCGTTTATGTGTGGAGTTGGATCTAACTAAACCCCTTGATGCCTTTGTGCAAATAAATCAGAACTGGTACAATATTGAGTATGAGGGATTACCTGATATTTGATATCTATGTGGGTGTTATGGTCATAAAAGGGAGAGTTGTACTCTGAAATCTGTGAATTTGTCCGATGAGGCTGGGAAAGCTCAAGGTGCAGGAGTGGGACCTATGAATCCTGACTCTGTTGGGGTTACAGAAACTGTGAAGATGGCTGAGGGGATGAATGTGCAATCTAGAAGGCAACCAAAAACTATTCATAAGGATGTTCCTGGGCAAGGTTCTGGTGGAAGGAACAAAGAGTCTCGTTTTAATGCTCTTAATGAGATTGGTGAAGATTTTGACATAAGTGGGCCCGATAATGTTAACCAAGTTCCGACGAGGGGTGTCCCTATTTTTAAATCTGTGGAGCAAATTGGTAAGAAAGTTTGGACTAAGTCTAAACATGCTAAATCGGGTTCTAGGCCAGTTCTGAATGATATCTCCAATAAGAATGTGCAGAAAGTCTTTAATAGTAAGGTAATGGATAAGAATTCGGGCTCCTCTAATAAGTTTACAATGGGGGCTTCTCGACATTCTCGTAATCAGTTTGTTGGTGGTAGGAAGCCTTCTACTCTTAGTGCTGTCACTGAGCATTTGGAGAGTTGGGGTGATGGTCAACATATTCATCAAGAGAAAGGGGTTTATATTTTTGGGCATCAACCTCCAAATATAACAACACATTCGGAATTTCATGATGAGGATACTAATATTCATGAGGATGCTTTGAAGTATGATGATGATAATGTTCTTGTGCCTAGACGGATTGATCAACTAGGGCAAGTTGCCAAGATGGATTTGGTTGAGGGCCAAACTAGCACTTCTGGTGGAAATTTGACTAGTACTACCTTCAACACGGTTGAAGGTATGGCTTTTGATGCTTAAGTAAAGGGTTTACCCTTAGTGATTGTTTATCTTTTAGCATATTTTTTATGAATATTATTAGTTGGAATGCTCGAGGTGCTGCGTGCACTAAGTTTAAGACTACTGTGATGAATTTGAGTCGTACTCATCATATGGATATTCTGTTCATTTGTGAGCCTAGAATTAGTGGTGGGAAGGCTATTGATGTGGTTAAATCTTTGGGTTTTTCCAATTATGAAATTGTGGATGCTAATGGTCTTTCTGGTGGGTTGTGGTTATTATGGAATGCTAGTAAAGTCACAGTTGATATTGTTGGTACCTCAGCTCAATCTATTTCTGCTTGTGTCTGTTGGCCTGGTCAAACTCCCTGGATGTTTACTGCAGTGTATGCTCATCCTTGTATTGCTAAGCGACATAAATTATGGGATTATCTTTCCTTTGTTGGAGTTAATCATAATATGCCTTGGTTAATTGCTGGAGACTTTAATGAGATGTTGAGGTTTGAAGATAAGTTAGGAGAAGCTTCTTTATGCAGATTAAGAGGGTTTAAAACCTGGTTTGACAACCATGATATGGTAGATTTGGGTTTTTATGGATCCAAATACACTTGGACTAATAAAAAAGTTTTTGAAAGGCTGGACAGAGCTATTTGTAATTTGAGTTGGCGAAGGTTTTTTGCTGATGCAATTGTGAGACATCTCCCGAGGACTAAATCAGATCATAGTCCCATCAAAATCTGCTTGGCTTCTTGTTTTATTTCTTCCCCCCTTTCTAGACCTTTCAGGTTTGAAGCTATGTGGCTCCAACATGAGAATTTTCAGGATGTTTTTTATGCTTCTTGGGGGTCTGTTATTGGATCTGCTCTAGATAAGTCTTATGCTTTAATTACTCCTTTGAAGCAATGGAATATTCAAGTGTTTGGTCATCTGAGACAAAGGAAGAATAGGTTGTTGGCTCGCATTGATGGTATCCAAAAATCTTTGTGTATGGGTCCAAATCGTTTCCTTAGTAATTTGGAACCTGAGTTAGTTAAGGAGTTTAATGATGTTCTTGAACAAGAAGCTGTTTTTTGGAGGCAAAAATTCAGGGTTAATTGGTTGCAGAAGGGTGATAGAAATACAAAGTTTTTCCATCTTACAACTATTATTAGAAGGAGGAGAAATAAGATTGAAAGACTTAAGAATATTGCTGGTGATTGGGTTAAGGAGGCAATGGGAATTAAAGCTTTAGCTGTGACTTATTTTTCAGACCTGTTTTCTAATGATCATGTGGTGGACTCTGAGATTGGTTTTCCTAATTTGTTTCCTGGCATAGATGTGGCTGATTTGAGGCTTTTAAATAGACCAATTGCTTTGGAGGAAGTTAAAGCTAGTCTGTTTAATATTGGAGGGCTAAAAGCCCCTGGGATAGATGGTTTTCCTGCATGTTTTTATCAGAGCCAGTGGAATCATTGTGGTGAAGATATCTTTCAGATAGTGCTTAAGGCTTTCCATGAGTGTACAATTCCTGAGAAGCTTAATATGACTCTTATTACTCTAGTGCCTAAGGTGGAAAGTCCTTTGTCAATGGTGTAGTTTCGCCCTATCAGCCTGTGTTCTACTTTGTATAAAGTGATATCCAAGGTTATTGTTGCCAGGCTCAGAACTATCTTACCTAATCTCATAAGCCCTAATCAGGTTAGTTTTGTCCTTGGTAGGCATATTATTGATAATATTCTTATTGCTTAAGAGTTGATGCATAAGTTTTAATTGTCTAAGGATAAAAAAGGTTTCATGGCTTGGAAAATTGATCTTTCTAAGGCTTATGACCGCCTAAATTGGAATTTTATTGAGCATGTGCTTGTGGAGTTAGGTCTGCCTCTCAATCTAATTAAGTTGATCATGAGTTGTGTTTCTACTGTGAAGTATCAAATATGTATCAATGGAGAGCTCACTGAGTCTTTCCAGCCTAAGAGTGGTATTAGACAAGGGGACCCTTTGTCTCCATACTTGTTTGTGTTGTGTATTGAAAAGTTGTCCTATATTATTTTTGAGGATGTTCGAATGGGTAAATGGAGACCTGTTAAGTCCTCCCAAGTTGGCCCTGCTGTCTCTCACCTCTTTTTTGCTGATGACCTAGTTTTGTTTGCTGAAGCTACCTCTAATCAAGCTAGAGTTTTGAAGAATTGCTTGGAGGTTTTTTGTCAAGCCTCTGGTCAAACAGTAAATTTTGATAAATCTGCTATATTTTGTTCTCCTAACACCTGTAAGGAAATTGCTAAGGAAATCAGTTGTATTTGTGGCTCTCCTCTAACTGAAGATCTTGGAAGGTACCTGGGTATGCCTCTATTGCATTCTCGAATTGATAAAAGGACTTATAGTAGCTTAATTGACAAAGTGCATAAAAGACTTGTTGCCTGGAAGGGTAAATTTCTTTCTCTAGCTGGTAGAGCTACCCTTATTCAATCTGTTACTTCGGTTGTGCCTGTTTATGCAATGCAAACTGCTAAACTACCTACTAGTGTGTGTGATGCACTTGATAAATTAAATCAAAATTTTTTTTGGGGTGGGAGTGAGAAAAGGAGCAGGGTCCATCTTTGTCAGTGGGATCTTGTTTGTAGGCCTAAGAGTAAAGGGGGTTTGGGTTTTAAAAAAACTGGTGCTATGAATCAAGCTTTGTTAGCCAAGATTGGTTGGAGGTTGCATATTAAGGATGAAGGCTTGTGGGCAGAGATTTATAAGGCTAAATACCTTAAACGCCATTCTATTCTTGATGATTCTGTGATTTTTAGGCAGGATTGTTCTTCTACATGGAAAGGTGTGCTTCATGGTGCTGATCTTTTAAGGAAGGGTATGTTATGGAGAATTGGGGATGGTGGTACTGTTAAGTTTTGGAAGGATAATTGGGTTTTTGATGCTCCTTTAAACCAAAATGATAGTGGTGTGCATATTTGTGACCCAGATTCTGTTATTTCCAGTTTTTATAGAGATGGTTGGTGGGATATGGAGAAACTAAGGGCTGCTTTACCTGAAGAGTTGGTCCAAAGAGTTATTAGCTGTCCTGTGGGGTTTAATAGTGGGATACAGGATGCTCAAATTTGGAAGTTTTCCTCCAATGGGATTTTCTCTGTAAAATCTGCTTATAATATGGTTTTTGAGGGCTCTACTTGCTCTGATGTTGCTTGGACGTTTTTGTGGAAGCTGAGGATTCCTCCCAAGTTGCATATTTTCTTTTGGCTTGTTTTTCAAGGAAAAATTCTTTCTAATGAGCAAAGAGTTAGAAGACAGCTTTCTTTGGATGCTTCTTGTGGATCGTGTCATTGGCCTATGGAGTCTATACTCCATATTCTTCGTGATTGTGTTAAGGCTAAGAAGGTGTGGAATGCTCTTCTCAATTCTAGTCAAAGTGCTAGATTTTTTACTATGGACTTTCAACCTTGGCTTAGAGTAAATTTGATGTCGAAGATTGTTTGGGCTGATGGTATTCCTTGGAATTTGGTCTTTGTTTTCACATGTTGGTATATATGGAAATGGAGGAATCACTATGTGTTTCATGGTGATGAAGAGTTGGCTTTTGACTCCATACAAATTATTACTGCTGCTGTGAAGGAATGGTTTAAAATTTCTAATGTTTCTTCTACCAAGTGTGCTAAGGTTCAGGCTTGGTTTGCTTGGGAACCTCCTCCTGCTGGGGTCTTTAAACTAAATGTTGATGGCTCTAGGAAAGTTGCTTTTGGCCATATTGGTGCTGGAGGTGTGTTGTGTGATGTTTCTGGTGATTGGTGTAGTGGGTTTGCTGTTAATTTGGGTAAATGGCAGATTCTAAAGGCTGAATTATGGGGTCTGTTCTTTGGTCTGAGGATGGCTGTTGCGAAATGGTTTAATAACCTTATCGTTGAGATGGATTCGGCTGTTGCTATCCAGCTTCTTCAGCAGCATGATTCTCTTACTTTGCACCCTCTTGCATCTCTGGTCTCTAGTTGTTGGCAATTAATGCAGCAGCTTGAGAATTGCAGCTTGCATCATATTTTTAGGGAGAACAACAGTGTTGCAGATCGTCTGGCTGCTTGGAGGTTATAACTTAGATCTTGGTATCTGCGTTTTTGATGAGGCTCCACGTTGGATTGGGACTTCTTTGATGGATGATTTGTTAGGGGTGTCTAGGCCCAGGTTGATTTGTGTTGGTTAGTTAGTTTTGTTTGTTTGGGCCCCCCCCCCCCCCCCCCCCCCCCCCCCCCACCAAAAAAAAAAAAAAAAATAAAAAATTATATCACTGTAAGTGGCATTAATTTTGAGTTTTGGTGTAAGGCTTTCAAACCCTAAATTTTTGAGGCATTTTTTGTTTTTTTTTCTCTTTTGAGGCTTTCGATGGTTTCACTGTTATATTTAGAATGACTATCAAGATGATTGTGAGTACGTATCTCATGAATTTAAAAATAAATAAATAAAATTTTGGTACAGTCTTCACATATTTTGAGATTTCCCTTAATTTGTGGGGGTTGAGTTTTTCCTTAATTATGTGGGTAATTGTTGGAATTTTTGTGGGTATTTCAAACACAAAATTAATCTAAATACTTATTTTATGCTGAATTTAATTTTCCAGATTTTGAGTGATTTGATTACCTCTTTAAAACTGAAGTTATTTTGTACATTTATTGTTTGTCTGTCGCGAATCTCGCGGCCTGGTGCTCCGGGCCGAGGGGATGTGCGTCAACACGTGACATCCTTCTTTTGGATGCAGTGCGGTTATGCGCGGGCGTGCCAGCACGGTTTACTGTGCGTCGAGATGATGATGAGGTTCGGGTAGGAGATGGTTTAAATGTTGCGCCTGTTTTGCGTTCGACTCCTAATCAAATGATCGTGGCCGAGTGAGGAACGAATCTCGGCCGTCAGGTTCACGGCCTGAGCTACAAGGTCGTTTAGTGATGGTGTTGGTGGTGGGTTTTAGGCGGTGCTCCGGCGCGTTGCTCAGAGAGCGACGGTCGTATGATATATGGGGTGAGTGAGGCGATAACAGAGATGGTGCTCCGGCGCCTTGAAAATCAAGGGTCGTATGATATATTGATGAATGGATTTTCCTTACAGTCTACCACTACTCCTAAGAAAGCAAATAAAGGTATTGAAGGTGCATTACAGGAAAATATAATTTGCTCCGTGGAAGGCTTTTGGTTTTGGTGTTTGAACCATTTGAATGTGGTCCTGAGCTTAGTATTTATAGGAGTCCTGGAGGGACATTCGAGACTGACAAGACCTGCGTGCTGGAGCCTGGCCGGGGCAAATGGGTAGTCAAATCGGCATTTGGGATAGTGAAGCATGGTGGTTTGGGGTTGAGAAGCATGGTGGTGTGACCCCCATAAATCTCGGTCACCAACCTGATCGTGGGTTCTGCCCCCTTGGTCGTGGGAACGCATTTAATGCCCTGGTCTGGTGGTTGGTGACCTGACCCTAAGTCGTAAGATTACTTGTGAGAATGTCTGCGCCTAACCACCCTGATTCCCATCACCAAATCCTGACTTCAGTCACTTCCCTCGTGCATTGAATGTTTCTTGTGACTAGTGGGTTTTGCTGCGAAGTCAAAGGCATTACTTCATTAAATGGAGCGTGGGGTCCTGAGGCCACGTGGCGATTCAACCACAGCTTTTCAAACCGTGTCTTTTACGGCCTTCGGCCTCGGCTTTTAAAACTGCAGTCGCGAGGCCGAGGGGATTCTGCCTTTGCAGCTTTTCTTCTGCTCTTAGGAAGGCGAAATGCCTGACGAAACGGTAGGCGCTAGGGCCGAAGGGAAGTCCCTTCAATCAGTTCATGACCGTGATTTATTAGGCACAAACATTTATTTTATAAGTTTTCATATCTCCTTTTATCCAGATTTATTATATTTTAATTAGCACTCAAATGCTTACGTTATTTGCGTTTTGATAATTATTAATATTTTTATTTTAAAAAGTGTGGACCAATTTGTGGAAGTGGAATTTTCCTAAATGGGAACTTTAATACTGTAATTTCATTTGTTACTAACATTAAGAAATTTTGCTGAAAAATATTAGATTCATTTATGTAGGATTTCCTTCTCTCTTTCCCATAATTTTTTGTGTGTTTTTAATTTCTTTATGCTCTCATGGGAAAGATTCATTCTATTCATTTAGTGACATAATACTTTTTATATTTTATTGGCAAACATATTGTGTCTGTATGAAATTTGTTTTATTATGCAAGTTTATTATGAGACTAATTTATCTTCAATTTGATACGAAAATATTTGCAACTAATGATGATTTTGGCATAAAAATTTGGCAGAGACTTCTTATTGTCTTATAGGTTCATATTGAGAATCGACAAGATACAATTTCAACTTGGATATGTGATCATGATTTCAGCCATTTGGAGTGCACAAAAGGAAGTAAGGGTATCCTCAAATACTTAGTGTTTATAGTTAAATTTATTTAATGAATTAATTGTTATATTGTTGTTCATAAGTGGTAGCAGGTGTATTCAAAGTTTCATGGACTTGAGAGGTACTCTTGATCAAAAGATTTAATGTATGATGTATTTCCGTTATACTTAACTGTATACCAATGCGTATTTAATTTCCAATTATACTGAGGTGAAATCCACTAATTATTTGTGTGCAAGATTGTGTAGGAAATATTTTAATAACATGTAGGTTTAAAGCGCGCTAAAATGAAAAACAAAGACATGACCTACATTATATATGCCTTGTGAAGGCTAGTCTTGATATGCATGCCCCGTGGAGGAGGCTATTAATGCAAAATGTCGAGGGGGATGTGCTTAAGCCCATAAGGGAGTCACCTAGGGAGGTAACCCAACTTCTGTGATTGGAGATCCCATGAAGGAAGTTCAATGTGGTAGAAACAATCCATATTGCGTGACTCATATGGCACTCATAAAACTATAGAGATATCCTTGAGATATTCTTCTGCTCATCCCTAAGGTAAAAGTGCTATTTTATGTGATGTCAGGAAGGGATTTATCCCTGAATGAGTTTCGAGGTGGGCAAACTCCTGCAGGGTGCAGGTCACATGTACTCTTGGAGAACTCACCTAAGTGAGAGACGTCGTGAGGCCGCGACTATGAGAATTGGGCTATTCTCTAGTAACTCTCAATAGAATCAAGATTAGCGCATTGCCATAAATAGTGCTACCCTGCATCCAAGTCTCAACTAATACTATGTGTGGGATATGTTGAAGTTTGGTCAAAGGTGCCGAGTTCAATACTGTGTACACTCAGGTTCCTCAAATGGAGACTATCATCACTAAGTGAATGTTCAAGCCCAGAAGGCACCTACACCTATTACATAGTATTATATTGCCCGTATATATTATATATATTTTTCACTGTTTTTTCGTCACGGTAAAATTTTGAAAACCTTGTGGGGGATTGTTGGAATTTTAAAAGGTTTTAAAAATTTAACCGTTTTATTTATTTAATTATTTTGGCTTTTTTATTTTATTTATTGTGGGGGTTATAAATATTTAATATTCAAGTTTTATTTATGGTTAGTGAATGCCTTAATTTTTTGGTTGGTGAACTTTTATGGTTGGTGAAGGTTACATGTTTCGGATGCCTATAAAAGGCCACTCCTTCACAATTGATACACACACAAGAGACACAATACACCATCAAAATATCACAAACACATTCTAATTCTTTTGTTTTCTACTTTTATATATATTAACTACTTTATATTATTATTTTGGGCAATGGTTATGTGACTTGGATACCTATATCCGTCTATGAACGTGCTCATAGTGGATTTTGAGTTTGTGTACAAGCGGTCGTATCTTGGAGTCTTGTAGACCGTCAGTACCTGCACGTAAGGAGGCTACAAAGGCTTTAGGACAGCATCTTTGACGTGCTTCACCGTACCAAACTCACTTTCTTACTTTTTATTTATTTTCCTTTTACTTACCTATTATTTTGTTTTCTTCAATTTCATTATACCTTCAAAACTTTTCAATTTGTTTATATGTTATTTATAATATAAATGTTTTGTATTGGGCTTTACAGAAAGAGGAAAACTATATTTTTTAATGAAATTCCGTACCCTTTGCTTAGCTATTGTTTTCCTACAAACACTCGAACTAACTTAAGCATTGGAGGACCTTTGGCCAACACCTCTCGGGTGTGGTCTATTTACTCCAGTCTTTTTTTACAGGAATTGAGGAAGAGAGAGAAGGAAGATCGAAGGTTGAAGGATCTAGAAGCAAATATTCTCCCGCGAGATTACTTGCACAAACATTTGGTGCTTTCATTGAGAGCACGAGTTATACTCAATGCGTGCTTAAGGAATTTGTTCCTCCTATTTTCCAATCCATCGAATCCTTCCAAACAACCATGGTTGGAAGCAAACGCTTTAGGAGCAAAACTGCCGCGATGGCTCAATCCGTGACGGCCCAAAGCCACTCCACCCATGATCTCGCGATCGACATGGCGACACCGCCACCTCTCACCACCGTGCTACCTACCGAACTCACAACTGAGACCATCGCATCGGCCACTGTCGCCGAGCATGGTGGAACCTCTCATCAAGGTGGGCTCACTACTACCAGCGACTTTGGCCCAATCTTAAAGCAACTTCAAGCATTCCCTCCATTGCCTCCACGCCCGACGCACGGGCCCACGTACACATCCAATGAAACCCTAGCCCGTGTGCAATTGGGCTCTACACATTTCTCTCCTCCCGATCCATGAAGTCAAGTAGACCTTAATATGAGAGTTGACTAGCTAACTCAGAGAATGGACGACCAAAATAATTTGATGAGGCAGCTCCTCAACCAAATAAATTTGGCTAAAAAACTTGGCCTTAGACAACAGGGCGAAGAGAGAAGGATGGACGAACGCGCCGATAGGCAGTTTCATGGGAACCAAGCAGGTTGAACGGGAGTAAGCAGATAAAGAGATGGACAACAATGTGATTAGCTTGCCCGCATGTCACAAGCATCTGCAAGCCACACACAAAGCAACGTGCGGGCTAGGCTCCCAGAGAGGTCAAACTGACAATCACCGCAATGAGGATCGTGAAGAGAGGCGCTCCGCTGCCCGCTCGCAAAGAAATATTCACGAAAGGTTAGGCCCCCAGGGAGGTCAACCTGGCAACCCTCACAATGAGGACTGTGAAGAAAGGCACTCCACTGCCCGCTCTCGGAGAACCAATTCTCGTCGCCAAGCTACAGAAAATCCCTCGCAAGAGCAGTCCACCAACACGCCTCCTAGGCAGCGCAGACGAGAGGGTCAACCCTCGTAGACCAACGATTAGGTTAATCAGTGTCGCTCGAATCGCGAAGGTCGCTAACGTGATCGACCAGTAATGTGTGTGGAAGACGTTGAGAAGCTTGTGAATGACCGACTTCAAGACATGAAGACTGGCGGGAACCTCGAGAATGCACTACGTAAGGAGATGGACCAGGCGATCTCTACTCCTTTCACCCTTGAAATCGAGCAGGCCACTCTCCCGAAGAGATTCTCAATGCCTTCGTTCACACATTTCAAAGGGGATTCCGATCCCGAAAGCCACCTAAAACACTTCAAAAGTGTCATGATCCTCCACAAGGCCGACGATGCACTGATGTGCAAGGTGTTTGCAATGACCTTGCGAGGAGCAGCTCAAGACTGGTTCCACACCCTACTATCCGAGTCGATTAGCAACTTCCAGGAGAGTACACCTCTTACCGGACGATCAAGAAGAACCCTGACCACCTGTACAACATGAGCAAGAAGTCCGACGAATTCCTTTGAGATTACATCAGGAGATTCAAAGCAGAAAATGCCAACATTGTAGGATGTGACGACCGGATCGCCTCATCTGCCTTCAAGAAAGGTCTTCCAGCTGAACATGACTTGTACCGCGAGTTGACTATCACTCCCAGCCAAACTCTAGCAGAGATCTACGCGACCGCGGAACGTTACGCGCTTTGGGATGATAATTAAATTGTCACAAAGAAGTCTACAAAGCAGGAAGATCAGTCGACTAAACGGGCAAGCCAAAGAAGCGATGGATTTAGCAATAAGAATAAGGACAAGCTCAGGTCACACCCACAAGGGGACGTTAAGGCAGGAGAGAACTACACCAAGTTCACCATCCCCATACATCAAATCTTAGCCCAAGTGAAAAACAAACCTTAGGTAAGAAGACCGCCACCCTTGAAAGGAGATTCGGACAAAAGGGATACTAGCAAATACTGTGCCTTCCGTGGGACGCATGTACACACTACGAACAACTGCTTTGCTTTGAAAGCACACCTTGAAGAACTCGTGAGAGAAGGTCACTGCACGGAATTCATTGCGAAGCAAGCCATCCAGCGAATTGAAGATCGTGACATCGCCAAGGAGCCGCCTCAAAAGGTCATAAGGATTAACACAATCCTAGCTGACTCTAAGGAATCTGGGCTGACCAGAAATGAAAAGAAAAGGAAGATCAAACAGGCGACTATGATCTCCCAAGTCTCGACCAACCTTTCGCTAGCAGAAGACGATCCTGTAATCGGCTTCCAAAAGAAAGATCTGATCGGCCTCAACGTGCCACATAACGACGCCTTTGTCATCAGCATTCAAATTGCTCAAGCCATGGTCGACTGAATCTATGCAGACGAGGGCAGTGCAGCCAACATCCTACAATTGGCGGTCATCTAATAGATGGGTTTAGAGACAAAGATCAATAAATCAGCCAAGTCTCTGACGGGCTTCAATGGCGCAACAACGGTTACCGTGGGCACAATAGATCTCGACGTCTATTCCCCACCAGTAATCAGCTCACAAACGTTCATGGTCTTTGATGAAGCCTCACCTTACAATGGCATTCTGGGCAGACCATGGATCAGCAAGATCAACGCTGTCACCTCCGCCACACATCAGAAGATTCACTACCCAATCCTTGGGGGCGGTATCGGTGAAATCAACAGCGATCAGGCAATGGCGAGGAAATGCTTAGCTCAAAGGCTGAAGAAAGGCAAGCAAACACAGTTCCTCCCTGTGAATCGGGCAAATCTAAAGGGAGTGGAATAAGCAAAGGAAAAAGTAGATCCCGTTCCTGACGGCCGAGCAAACTAGAAGGGAAAGGGAATAACTACTCCCCAATAGCAATCAAAGAATCAGGACCAAGTTGAGGGAATCCGTCCGGAGGTCTCTCCTGAAGAAGGATGGAAGACCTTGGAGGACGTTGAGCTAGTACCCTTTGATCTTGACAAGCCAGAGAGAACAGCGCGGATCAGCTCGCACCTAAGCCAGAAGGAAAAGGCAGAGCTTGTAGCCTTCCTCCAGAACAACAAAGACGTATTTGCATGGTCACCATCCGACATGCCTGGCATAGACGTCAACCCAGCTATCAAGCCTGTAGCGCAGAAGAGACGCAACTTCGCCCCCCAGCTGGTTGCCATCATTGAAGCCGAGATCGACAAGCTTCTAGCTGCCGGTTTTATTGAAGAAGTCTCCTATGTAGAATGAATGGCAATCAAGAAAGATAAAGGTATGTGGAGAGTGTGCGTCGACTACACCGACCTCAACAAGGCATGCCTTAAAGACAACTTCCCACTGCTAAGAATTAATTAGCTCGTTGATTCAACTTCCAGCAATCAACTACTAAGCTTCATGGACTCTTACTCCGGCTACAACCAAATCATGATGCATGAGGACGACAAGACAAAGACCTCCTTCATCATCGAAAGAGGTACATATTGCTACAAAGTCATGCCCTTTGGGCTGAAGAACGCTGAAGCAACCTACCAAAGGCTGGTGAACAAAATTTTCAAGGAGCAAATCGGCAAGACTATGGTTTACGGAGATGACATGCTAGTCAAAGCTTGCGAGCGAGCAGGCCACATCGAGAACCTTGCCGAGGCAGTCAGCTTACTCCGAAAATACAACATGAAGTTGAACCCGAATAAATGCACATTTGGAGTCTCGTCCGGCCGATTCCTTGGATACTTAGTCACCTAAAGAGGAATTGAGGCACATCCAAATCAAATCAAGGCTATACTCAACATGAAGTCACCTACCACAACAAAAGAGATAGAGAGTCTAACGGGTAGGGCGGCAGCTCTCAACCGATTCCTTTCAAGATCTACTGACAAGTGCATGCCATTTTTCAAAGTCTTGAAGTAAGGACACAAAGACAAGTGGGATGACGAGTGTGAAGTAGCTTTTCAAAACTTGAAAACTTACCTCACTTCACCTCAATTACTCTAAAAACCGATACCATGCGAAGACTTGTTCGTCTACCTGGCGGTGTTCGACTCAGTTGTCAGCTCAGCTCTCATCCGAGAAAAGTTGGGGGCACAACATCTGGTATTCTACACTTCAAACGCTCTCCTCGATGCAGAAAATGGAGAAGCCCATTTTTTCGCTTGTGGTTTCTGTGAGAAAACTAAGGCACTACTATCAAGCACACCGGATTATTGTCATAACAGAATTTCCTTTGAGATCAATCATTCACAGCCCCGACGCTTCTCAGTGACTCATGAAATGGGCTATCGAACTCAGTCAATACGACCTCCTCTACCGGCCGAAGACTGCTATAAAAGTCCAAGCTTTAGTAGATTTTGTTGTAGAGTTTACTTCGACATCCGAAAAAGAGAAGATGGTCACTAAAAACAGAAAAAAAAGCAGACGACACTTCCCCCACCGATTCGAACCTACCTAACGACATGTTGCAGTTGCATGTAGATGGAGCAGCAAATCACAAAGGAGCAGGAGCAGGAGTCGTCATAATCACCCTAGACGGAACCTTGTTGGAACAAGCTATCACACTAGGCTTTTCTGCTTCAAACAATGAGGCAGAATATGAGGCATTGCTTGCAGGACTGCGCCTAGTGAAAGAACTGCCGATCAAGAGATTGGCCATCTACTCAGACTCCCAGCTCATCACGAATCAAGCCTCAGGCGAGTACATGGAAAAGCATCCAAGAATGGTCCAGTACCTCGATAAAGTCCAAGGACTTTTGAAAGAATTCCCTACTTTCACCATCCAACAAGTTCCACGAGCAGAGAACACTCATGCAAATGCGTTGGCGAGCCTAGGATCAGCGCTGGACACCCAGTCCAGACGCTCCATCCTAGTTGAATACCTTGACCGGCCAAGCATCGAAGAAATAGAGCCAATCGACCCAATGCAGATTGATGAGAACCCCAGTTGGCAAGACCCCATTATCGACTACTTAGTGAATGGAAATCTGTCAACGGATAAGTCCGAAGATATGAAGGTCTAACAGAAAGCTACGAGATATTGCATGCAAGGTGACAAGCTCATTCGCAGATCATACTCCGGCACTCATCTCACTTGCATAAAATACCCTCAAACACTTGAGGTCCTTATGCAAATTTCAAGATAGCGAGTGTGGAAACCACTCTGGGGGCAGATCACTCGCCCAGAAGGCTCTAAACATTGGCTACTTCTGGCCTACCATGCGCCATGACTCTACCGAATATGTCAAGAAATGGGATCGCTGCCAGTGATACAAGCTAATCCTTAACCTGCCTGCCGAAGTCTACCATCCGCAAAACAGTTCATGGCCATTTATGTAATGGGTCATCGACTTAATGGGTCCCTTGCCACCGACACCCGCCAAGAAAGAAATGATGATCGTCGCCACCGACTACTTTACTAAATGGATCGAGGCCGAAGCTCTATCCTCTATTAAAGAAACCAATGTGGAGTGATTCATCTAGAGAAACATCATCTGCTGGTTTGGATGCCCACAATTGTTAGTTACCGACAACGACTCACAGTTCATTGGCAGTCAGGTCACCGCAAAACAGTCGCCTATAAGGAGCGTCCTAAGGGAGATGTAAGGCGACGACCAGAAGCGTCCTTCGGGAGATGTAGCCCGCAAAGAAGCATCCTAATGGAGACTTAGGGTGCGCTAGGAATTTCCTAAGGGAGGTATCCGAGTTCCTATCCGTTCCCTAAGGGGGGCAAGATAGTCATACAGTTGCCCATAAGGAGCGTCCTAAGGAAGATGCAGGGCGATGACTAAAAACGTCTGTTTGGAGACGCAGTCCATTAAAAAAGCATCCTAAGGGAGACGCAAGGTGCGCTAGGAGTTTCTTAAAATGAGGTCTCCATGCCTCTTACGAGAAGTATCCAGGTTCCTATCCGTTTCCTAAGGGAGGCAGGATAGTCATACAGTTGCCCATAAGTAGCGTCCTAAGGGAGACGCAGGGCGACGACTAGAAGCATCCTTCGGGAGACGCAGCTCGTAAAAAACTTCCTAAGGGAGACGCAGGGTGTGCCAGGAATTTCTTAAAAGGAGGTCTCCATGCCTTCTGCGGGAAGTATCTAGGTTCCTATCCGTTTCCTAAGGGAGGCAGGATAGTCACACAGTTGCCCATAAGCAGCGTCCTTCGGGAGATGCAGGGCGACGACCAAGGCATCCTAATGGGTGTGCAGAACACGCCTGGAGCCCCTTAAGGGAGGCCCTGTCACTCGCCCACTTCCTAAGGAGAGCCATCCTAAGGGATATGCAGAACCCACCCAGAGTCCTTCAAGGGGGACCCTGGCACTCATGAATCTCCAAAGGGAGATGTGCAATCAAGACACAGGCTAGTTACTCAAGCAATTCACAAATCAATTTGCAAGTTGAAGTGAAGAAATAGATTGAAATTTCCATAGCAAAGTGACCAACCGGCCAAGTTCAAACAAAAAGAAGATTGTTAAACAAGACCAATTATTCTAAACAAAAAGCAGACTACAAAAGTTGAAAAGAAATAAAGGAGTCTTCGTCTACTCCGAAACGCCAGCAGGAGATCCTTGATCTGCAGCCTCTTCAGCGTCCACCTGATCAGCCACACTCTCAGCAGCTCCACACGCCTGATCTATGACGTCTGCCACCATTCTCATCGACACATCTCCGGACATAGGCCGAACGGGCCACGATCATCGACACATCTCCGGACGTAGGCCAAATGGGTCACACACATCGACACGTCTCCGGACATAAGACAAACGGGCCACTCTCATCTACACGTCTCCAAACGTAGGCTAAACATGCCACAACCCAGAAATACTCAAGCAGTTCACAAGACACTATGCGAATTGACGTCGGCCTTTCTTTTTTAGGGGGGGTCTAGCAGAACACTCCTCATGTCCAGCTGGCAAGTCATTAGAGTCTAGACCATTCTACTTCCATCTCGCAACATCCTGGGCAGAGGGCAGACCACCAACTTCTTCTGGATACTCACTCAGCAGCAACCAGCTGCCATCGCCGCTTCAATCGGCCTTTGACTGCCAGTCATGACGTCAACCAGCCTGGTCCCACCCAGCTGGTCCTCACCTTGAAAAAGAGAAGAAGAAGAAAAAAATATATGTGCTCGACTTACCTTGGGATGCACGACAACTCCTCTCTTCAACAAGCAGTACAAATTCTCCAAGATCTTTCTCAAACCAGAAAGTAGAGAAGTTAAGTTTGCGATGTGAGAAAGAGTAAAGAGAAGCCCTATATTTATACAAGTTGGACCCGGGCCGAGGAGGGATCGCAAGCTCATTTCTACTGGAAATCCAACTCCAACAACAGTCAGGAGCCTACACCAATCGGGAATCCGATATGCCAAAGGAGTCCAACTCACAGAACAAAGCCCAGACACAGTTAGAGAGCTTGAAAAAAATAATTTGATCTCCTACATGCCACACAAGCGCCATTCTGAAGCTGAGGGGCATTTGTGGGAGCATATATTTTGGTCTCCAATCAGGGCACGCCACGTGGAAAAGAAGATTATCTCTTAAATTAATTAATTGAACCAGTTTATCTGGCCAATTAATTAATTGGGATAAATATCTTAATTAACGGATATTATCTTTATTTAATAAGATAATACCATTAATTTAGATATTATCCTAATAAAGAGAAGATAATATCATTAATTCAGATATTATCTTCATAAAAAGAGATAATATCATTTAATTCAGATATTATCTTCAATAAAGAGAAGATAATATCATTAAATCATATATTATCTAAGTCCGACTCGATCCTTACGAATTTGGGTAGAGAATAAACTCAGCATATTCTCTACGAAACCCTAGCCCCGAGGCTCTTATAAATAGACGACTTCATTCATCATTCAAGGTACTTCGAAAAACCCACATCTAAACCTACTCCTAAACCCGAGAAAAATACCCGAAGCTCTCTCTCCCTCTCCACTCTCCATATTTTCTCCACACGGCTCCGGCCATCACATACGGCTCCAGCTGCCCGGTTCACACCATATATAAACTCCGTACCCTTTGCTTAGCTATTGTTTTCCTACAAACACTCGAACTAACTTAGGCATCGGAGGGCCTTTGGCCAACACCCCCCGGGTGTGGTCTATTTACTCCAGTCTTTTTTACAGGAATCGAGGAAGAGAGAGAAGGAAGATCGAAGGTTGAAGGATCTAGGAGCGAATATTCTTCCGCGAGATTATTTGCACAAACAATTATGTTTTATGAGATTCTAACAAATAGACATTGTGGGTCATTAAGGTTGAGCCTCAAGTTTGATTAGTGATCAGTTTGCGCATACGCGCTTGTGACTCAAGCCATACATCATGACTGTACTGTAGCCTCTAAACAATCCACAACATTTATTCAATTTTTTTTTTTTTTTTTTTTTTTTTTTTTTTTTTTTTTTTTTTTACTTTACACTGTGGTATAATGGTCAATGGAATTTGAATTAAAATTTGAAAATTAGGAACAATCAGCCAAAGAACTACAAACAAATGGGTTTAATAATTATGTGTATGTTGACAATCATCAAAGGACTAAAAATAAATGTTTAATTTTACATGAGGGTTTAATGGAAACTTAATCTTATACAAGGAATAAAATTGAAATTATTGTATGTACACAAATTTGGAATTCAAATTTTGTATGTACATAAATTTGGAATCTCTAAAATTATTGTACATATATAAAATTCACATTATTGAATTAAATACAAATATTGAATGACGAATATGATCTAAAGTTTTCAATACTGCTTAAGGAAACTTTTTGAACCAATGCGCCGAGAGTCTTGGGTGCCTTTTAAGCCTATCGTTGTAATCTACATAGGTAATTAATACCAAATCGAACACTGTATCCCGAACTCCATTCAAAGTTGTCCAGCAACGTCCATGGAAAGAATCCCTTCACTTTGACACCATTGCTAAAAAGAAATTAAATATATTTATGTCAATAATATGAATCAATAACTCAAAATCTAAAACTAGACCATATACATATATATATATATATATTCTTAAAAAAAAGAAAAGAAAAGGTCAACTACATATTAGTATCCAAATTTTAGGATTCGTTAAGTGATGACTTGACAGCTTTGACGTGATTTTTTTTTAAAATGTCATGGATAATTTTATTTTTCACACCCACTCTTGGGACAGGTGTTGAAATATGGTGTACTCTAAATCCTAATGCCGAATGTTGAACAAATCCCTAATCCCCAAACATTATTCTCAGACCCTGATTTCGTTTCACGTAGCCTTTGAATCAAAACAGTTTTGAAATGACAAAAGCCTTTGAATTATGTCAATTGCAGAGGGTAAGCGAATCATGCTGAATTTAGGGTTATCGTGTCGGTTTCGAGGAAATATCGCGCTAGAATATGGTAAGTTTCAAACTTCTGAAACATGTGGGTGTGGGTTCCGTACTTTAGTGTTTTTTCATGGTTTCGGTTTCGAACGTGTTTTTTTATGGGTTTCCTTTTGTGTGGGTTTCAGCTGTTACCTTTTCAAAAATAGGGTTTCAACTGTCACCTTTTAGGGTTTGGGGTTTCTTTTTATAGTGAAGGAGACTTTTCTTGGTTGGTAAAGTAGTCAATGTAGAGTTAGGTTCGGCATTCATGTAGGACAAATTATAGGCTTGTTCCTACGAAGGAAATTTTGAAATGGAACAAAATTCAAAATTAGAAAATTGGGGTTCAAATATAGAAAATCATGCTTGAGCATCAATGACGTTAGGAAAAGAAGGAAGGCATGTCGTTGTGATTTTTTGATTGATTGAGGAAGTTTGAAACAATTATGGATTCTCTCAAGAATATTTAATTTAATGTTTTATTTTATATTTTTAGAATAATTATCTACCAGGATATTATTTTCCTGTTATGATTTTACTTAGGAATATTTTGGAAAACTTTTGTTATTTCCGTTTTGTTTTCTAATTAGCTTTCTTTAGTAAATCTAGGCTTTTCTCTTGTATAAAAGGAATGCGTTGGGGCATCTTGAAAAATTCAGTTTATTATCCATCAAATTACCTTTGAGTTTTACTCAATTTTCTGGTGGATTCCAATTTGTTGGTGGATTTCGACATTATGACTTTAGGGTTATTGTTCGATCTCTCTATCCCTTTATATCTCGATGCGTCAGTTGGTATCAAAGCCAGGTTTTGCCTGACTCGAGGTGTCTCCAATGGCTCATCCAGAGGAAGAAGATAGGACCTATGGAGACGGGGAACCAATCACTCTCAACGAATTTGATGTTGCAGTTGTTCCATACTTCATGGGGATTGACTACATTGAAGGCTCTCTCCAATTGGTTGCAAATGTAGAGGAAATATTTAATTCAATAATGATCCCAGAAGAGTAGATGGTGAAAATTCTTGCATCCCGTTTAGAGGACAATGTCGCTTCTTGGTGGGATCAGATGCGAAAATTCGGGAAAAAAATAAGGTAATCCTATCAGTTCTTGGCTTTGGATGAAGAGACTTTTTGTGAAAAAATTCTTTCATTTTGAGTATGATATATATTTGTTAAGGAATGGGTACAGGATTGCTCAGCCCAATATCATGGTGAGTCAAGAAAAGATGGAGGAAGATGTCAAACAAAAAGAAACTTTGATGGATGTTGAATAAATTGATGATATAGTAACCCACAAGATGGAGGAAGAGATTAAAGAAAAACAAGAGATTATGCCAATTGAAACTCCTACCGTTGTTGAAGACTTCCCAAAAAATGAAGAACAACAATTTGATTCCTCTAATATTAAAGGTATGGATAAATATGAAGTTTGAGAGGAAAATAATTCATACAAGGAGTTTGATTCTCAACTCGCATATTCTAATCTTTTTTATGGAATTAATTATATGAGCAAGTTCAAATGCCACAAATTGAAGAGCTTATATACACATCAAGTTCTATGTCTACTTAGGTTCTTTTTAAGGAGAACTGGAGGTCAAGTTTTTTTACAAGTGAAGGGGCTTGTTGTAGGAAAAATTATAGGATTTTTCCTACAGAGGAAATTTAGGAAAGGAACAAAATTCAAAAACAGAAAATTTTGAAATATGAAAAATCATGTTTGAGCATCAATTATGGCCCTAGGAAAAGAAGGAAGGCTTATCGTTGAGATTTTCTAATTGATTGAGAAAGTCTAAAGCAATTATGGATTAAGTCAAGATTTATATTTACTTTAATGCTTTATTTTATAGTTTTAGAATAAGATATCTATCATGATATTCTTTTCCTAATATGATTTTACTTAGCAATATTTTGGGAAACTTTTGTTATTTTCTTTTTGTTTTCTAATTAACTTTCCAAGCAAGTCTAGGGTTTTCTCTTACATAAAAAGGAATGGGTTGGGGCATCCTGAAAAATTCAATTTATTATCAATCGAATACCTATGAGTTTTACTCAATTTTATGGTGGATTCCGACATTGTTACTTTAAGGGGTGCATCAGATGGTGAAGATAATGGGAGAAGGTTCAAAGAATACAATCCTGAAACTGGCAGCAATAATCTAATTTTAAAACTAAGAATGATGTTCGCAAATTTCCATGTGTTTAGAGAGGCACTCAGAACTTACTCACTGAAGTATGGACACGAAATGTGGTATAAAAGAGATGTGAGGTTAAAGCTAAAGGAACTTTGTAGAACCAAGCATTGCCCTTG